GCATGGGAGTGCCAAAGTTCACAACCGATAGGGGACCACCTACTTTGGCCACGTCCTTTTCCGAGTACTAAGTCGTTTTGCGCGCCGCTTTTTTTTGTATATTGAGACTTATTTCTTTATATTGTATATCCTCTCACACAGTGTATGCTATTCCTGAATGGTGTTGTCTGAAAGCAAGGTTAAATAACAGAAGGAACGCAATATACCATCGTCATATTGCTATGAAACCCAGAACTTCAAAGGACACCAAAAACTCACCCAGTCACAACGCCTAGGTTAAACTTAGCCTTTGTGAAACTGGGCAATTTTGATGAAATTACAACTTATTATGATACATGTGAAAAGGCCGTGAAAAGTCAGTGAAAAGGCCGTGAAAAGCCCGTGAAAATATGGTTCTTGATGTTTACCACAATCTCCTGTCATTTGGGTAAATTGTAGCCTTTTAGTCAAACCTGTCCTTTGTGATAACGGACTTAGTAAACCTATCCTTTGGAAGCACTGGGAAATGATGTTTTGACGGTCGGTAAACGTTGGTTAGTCATATCCCAGTATAAATGGTTCAAACCAGATAGAACCGAACCCTTGATTTTATTTTTTCGTAATATATTTTCTTCCTCCCCGAATGCGTAGCGAAGAGTTCTTTGTTTTCTTGGTCGTCGTACGTCTGGGGGCTGAAGCCTTGTTTGCGGCCCGTTGCACGTCGCGACGTTTTGATCGGAATGTACATTCCTGGGCATGACATAAGCTTACGCTGGGCGCAAGATGGCTCAGCATGGGCCCGACGACCACGACGACGACGACAACCACAACAACCACAACAACCACCACCACCACCACAACCACAGCGTGTACGAACCGAAATAACCTGCGGTGTGGGCGGCCACCCCACGCGGAGCGGGGTGAATAAACGATTTTGCCTTCATTGCTCCTGCTTTGTTTCTTTTCGTTAGTCTTTCTGTTTGTGTACGTCATTCTGTACGTAAAATGATAGCAAAAGTAGATTTAACATCGATTTCTTTTAAATGAACCAAAACGCAAAGTGTATCAGCGTGTTCATGACAGTTCAGTGTGTTATTCTATATTGCTCGCTTAACTTGCAGCAATGCTGCCACCCTGCGGCTCATCCACCCTGTAGCTTGACTGCCACCCGCGGCTTCATTGCCACCCTGCGGCTTGACTGCCACCCGCGGTTTCATTGCCACCCTGCGGCTTCATTGCCACCCGCGGCTTCATTGCCACCCCTCGGCTTCATTGCCACCCCGCGGCTTCATTGCCACCCCCCCACCCCCCTGCGGCTTCATTGCCACCCCTCGGCTTGATTGCCACCCCGCGGCTTCATTGCCACCCCCACCATGCGGCTTCATTGCCACCCCGCGGCTTCGTTGCCACCCCGCGGCTTCATTGCCACCCCGCGGCTTGACTGCCACCCGCGGCTTCCTTGCCACCCCGCGGCTTGATTGCTACCCCGCGGCTTCATTGCCACCCTGCGGCTTCATTGCCACCCGCGGCTTCATTGCCACCCCTCGGCTTCATTGCCACCCCGCGGCTTCATTGCCACCCCCCCACCACCCTGCGGCTTCATTGCTACCCCGCGGCTTCGTTGCCACCCCGCGGCTTCATTGCCACCCCCACCACCCTGCGGCTTCATTGCCACCCCGCGGCTTCATTGCCACCCCTCGGCTTGATTGCCACCCCGCGGCTTCATTGCCACCCCCCCCATGCGGCTTCATTGCCACCCCGCGGCTTCGTTGCCACCCCGCGGCTTCATTGCCACCCTGCGGCTTGACTGCCACCCGCGGCTTCCTTGCCACCCCGCGGCTTGATTGCTACCCCGCGGCTTCATTGCCACCCGCGGCTTCATTGCCACTCCGCGGCTTCCTTGCCACCCCGCGGCTTCATTGCCACCCCCACCACCCTGCGGCTTCATTGCCACCCCGCGGCTTCGTTGCCACCCCGCGGCTTCATTGCCACCCCCACCACCCTACGGTTTCATTGCCACCCCGCGGCTTCATTGCCACCCCTCGGCTTGATTGCTACCCCGCGGCTTCATTGCCACCCTGCGGCTTGACTGCCACCCGTGGCTTCATTGCCACCTGTGGCTTCATTGCCACCTGAGGGCTTGATTGCCACCCCGCGCCTTCATTGCCACCTTGCAGCTTGATTCCCACCTTGCGGCCTCATTGCCACCCCGCGGTTTCATTGCCACCCCGTGGCTTTATTGCCACTTCGCGGCTTCATTGCCACCCCGCGGCTTCATTGCCACCCTGCGGCTTGACTGCCACCCGTGGCTTCATTGCCACCCTGCGGCTTGACGCCAACCCGTGGCTTCATGTAAACTCATGTCTGCATACATATCGCTTCATGAAAAAAAGTTTCTTGTGTTTCACTTGTGCCAATATGAGAGATTTGTTGGGGAAATGTAACGAGCATGAGCTTGGAAAGCCTCTGGTTCCATTTGCAACAATCATGAGATCTTTGGGAACCCTTTTTACAAGTCCTGCATTCGTGACTTCTATGCGACGTTCTTGAGTAACATTTACATTCTATGGTATAATCGCTTCTTGCATGTAACCGAACAAAATATAAAGATTCTTCAACGTAACGTGCCATGCACCTTAGACGTCACTTGAACGTTAATGCCACTCCATCCCACCCCACCCACTGCATCAGCGTAAGACATCTGGACCGTAACGTGCCACTCACCTTCCACGTAACTTGAATGTAAAAGCCGCTCCATATTAACACCGAAACCTCCCCCACTGCATCTGTAAGACCTCTTCCACGTACCGTGCCATGCACCTGACACGCAACTTGAACGTTAATTCCCCCCATTCACTTCTCCACCCCACCCCCCCTACTGCACCACCCCACTCCATGAAGATCTGCACCTCCAAACCTTTGAACATCAATTTCTCCACCCGCATTTTCGTCACATAGGTCTTTGAAATTGACATGCATGCCCTGCTGCATTTCGCTTCTACCAAATCTATTTACTGACCACCCAATGTTCGAACATGCTCTGAACAATCTATCCAAATTTCAAGTTTTACTGTGCTTCGCCATTTTGCAGGTATGACTCCTATCACTTGCTCGTTGGGTTGCCATCCTCCATGTACAACGTCTGTGCTATGCAAAAGTTTCTGCAACAACAGCCGCTTGCAACAGTTTTCTTTTAATTTGCAAGCACGAATAATTCAATCACACGCAGCTCTTCAAACTCTCAAGTGAATTGCTCACTCGCTTCAGCGCGTTTTAAACTTCAAAGTGGGGCAGCCTCTCTTTCCATGCTTTTCTGGCCGAGCCTTTCCATACTGATTGCATTCTCGCGTGCAGCTTAAGCGCTCAAAATCGCAACTTGTGTCTGTCACTACGCCGCTCCCTTTTCTCCCTTGTTCAAGGCCCGGACTTCAGACCTTTCAGCTGGTGTTTACTTTGCTCGCTTGCCACCTTGGGCTTCTCATCTCCGCTCGGGACAGCTCGGCTTTCCCGCCAGGATGGCGCGCTTTTTCAAGCTCAGTACCTTCGCTGAGGCGATGTGCATGTGCATGCAAGCTGACACCTCACACTTTTGCACTGCATGTCAGGTCGAAGACGAGATTCTGGTCTTAAGCAACTTGTTTGTCTGGAGCGGCCGCACCGCGTGGGCTGATCTTCATGACGAGGACGCGGGGGGGTCAGGCTTCAATGCAATTCGTTCAAAGCTGGCTAACCTAAGGATGCCACCTTCCATATCCAGTTCTATTTACGTGTCCTTGCTTCAGATCTTCACCTATATACTAGAACGCTACTCCTTCTTGCGTCGAATGCGGCCTCTGCATCTTCCACTTCCATGGCCCTTCCCTTTACACGTCAGGAATTTGGCCCCGAACTTGCAGCAAGTCCCACGGCAGCGGCTTCTTGTGCAGAGGCGCAAGCATGCCGAACAGGTTTCAGCTTGTGTGCCCTTCTCATGCTGCAATTTTCACATGTCACACTTCACGTCCGGGGTCTTTTGCTGTTTCACATGGCCTTTTCTGTTTATACCGTCATTCTTTTGACACAGTTCGCCGGGGGCACGTTCTCAATCTTTTTTTTGCATTGCATCTCGCGCAGGACTCGGATGATTTCCAAAGTGTTGCTTCCTACTTCTCGGTGGAAGACTCACAGGAGATCGCGCGGTTTTGATGCTGCAACTATTTTTGGTTTTATTCAAATGTCAAACCTGTGTTTTGATTGACACTGTCTCGTTTTCGCGCTTCACGCAGTGTTCGGATCATTGTATTTCCCGTTTCCTTGCCTGTATACCCTTTTCTGTTTATACAGTCATTCTTTTAACACAGTTAGCTGGGAGCACGTTCTCACTCTGTTTTTTGTGGCATTCCATCTCGCGCAGGCGTCGGATGATTTCCAAAGTGTTGCTTCCTACTTCTCGTTGGAAGACTCCAAGGACATCGCACGGTTTGATGCTTCAACTATTTCTGTTTTTGCTACGTCCGTCTCTGGTTTCATGCAAATACGAAATATGTCGTTTGCCTAACACTTTCGCGCTTCGCGCAGTGTACGGGTCGTTGCACGTTCATTTTTGTTGCATATATCCTTTACACTGTATACCCTCATGCTTTCAACACAGTTGTTCAATGCACGTTGTGAATTTCCCTTTTGTTGCTGTTTGTTTGCTTTTAGGTGCGAGTGACGGCCATTCACACGACTGGTTCGGATTCTTGTCTAGATTTTTTTGTCCGAAGTGTGCGCGCCAGGATTTCCTTCAGCTTCGCGATCTACAGTGCGGGCAGCCACACCCTGCATTCGCAGGACACCGCTTCTGCCGCTTGCACCACAGCGCAATCAACCAATCCTTTCGCCGCTCGTCCTTTCTTCCCCCGAAAGCAAAAGTGCTTGAGCCGGATGTCCGAATTCACGCTCCCGTTCCTTCGGGTTGGCGCGCATTCAATGTGCAGGGCGATGGACGGTGCGGATACAGAGCTCTTGCGAAATTCTTATGAATTTCTTGGACGGATGTCATGCAGCGACTCCTTCCGTTGATGCTGGCCGCGCAGCACACCTTCCAGCCTCATGAGCTCATGGCTTTTGTGATGGCCATGGACCCTGCCAACCCCTGCTCCCGCGCAGCTTGGCTGTCGCACCGCCACATTTTGTTGCTCAGCCAGCTGCGCGATTGGTTTCCGGACGGCATCGCAGTTCGCAAACTTCACGCCGGCCTTGACTTCATCCATTTTCAGCCTGATGGCGATGTGCAACTGGCGTCTCACATTTCTTCCGCATCTGTTTGCGTTCTGGGACTGCTTAGCATCCGTGCCCCCCATTTCGTTCTGCTTCACTCTACTCCTTTTGAAAAGTCGCGGGCGGGGTTGCTTGGGCGATCTTCTGCCTTGCCTGCGGCCCGTGCCATGCAGCCATCGAGTTTGGATTTCGCCGGCGGCTCTTTTGCTTGCATGGTGCCGACCAACTTTGAGGATAGACCTTTGCGTTTTGCTTCCGCAGAACGGTCCTGGAGTCTTGCTCTTCCAGAGCAGCAACTTGTCACTTTCACGCTGCGCTCTCTCCTGTCCGGCGCTCACCTCTGCACTGTGACGCTGCCAGTTTCGGACCTCTGGAACAGATCGCTCCACATGGTTCTCATCAAAGTCATTGCTAATGTTTTGCAGGCGTCGCCCTTCCACCTGCGGTTGTTTGCGTCCTCCGACGTGGTCTGTCCAACCCCGACTGGCCCGCAGCTTGCGCCGCTTGTGTCCGTCAAGCTTCTGCGGATCCCAACGTGCAAAGACTTAGCTGACGAGCTCCTCCGAGCCATTGACTTGAATGACGTTGCTTGCGCTCAGGAGCTGTTGTTTGATGGGCAGTGCCCCAATCACCCTGCAGAAGGCACCCTGCACCCTCTGTATGCAGCCCTGAACAAGAAGAATGTAGATATGGTCCGCGCTCTCCTCCTGGCGCGCGCTGATGTCGCTTGCCGGTATGATTTCGGCGGCACCCCGTTGCATTTGGCTTGCAGGCAAAGCATGCCAGCAGCTGTTGATCTTTTAATCAACGCCAATGCCCCGGTGGATGCAACTGACGTGGAACAAGATTCGGCCCTCCATGTCGCTGCAGTTTATGGGGATGCTGCCTGTGTTCGGCTGCTGCTTGCCGCATCAGCGCCAGGCGCGAGCCGCAACCTCCGCCTGGAGACCCCTCTCACCGTTGCTGTGGACACAGGTGCGCCGGTTGCTGTCGTTGCTACATTGATGCAAGCTGCTTGGCCCGACAGCTGGCAGGTTCTTTTCCAAATGGATTTATTCCATATTTGCCGGGCGTTGGGCTTATGTCGTTTTCCATTGTTTGCAACTTGCGGCGCGTTGTCTTCCCAACGAGACTGTTATCCTTTGTTGTCCGGGGGTGTAATCTTGCGCGAAAGCGCAGAAAGCAGCAACATATTGGAGGCGCTGGAGCCTGAGATCCTCGTCCAAATTCTGCACTACGCTCTCTCTCCGCAAACTTTCTGCTACACAATGCGCGTCTCCAATGAATTTTGCGAGCTAGTCCAATCACCGCATACTTGGCCCGGAAACTTGCGCCTCGCACCATGCACATGCCAGCGCCTCTGTGCGAACCTCTGTCTTCGAGCGGTTGTCCAGGCAGTGCCCCATTCATGTCCTTACTCCCCTGTTGCCCATTTGACTTTCGCGCTCGCGCCGCGGCCCCGCAATCCATTGTGGTCCTGGCATCACTACCATGCTGAGCCTCATGGCGCCAATTTCTGGTTCACGAGTTCTGCTTCTCCTTCACCGCCGGTGTTCGCTTTGAATTTATCTTTTGCACGCTGTGCTGGTTTGGCGGAGTGCCCGGACTTGGAATTGCTTCTAGGGGTTTTTGCTTCCGGCTTTTCTTCTTTGCAGGGTTTGCTTCACTTGAGCACCTTCCCCCCCGACGCCCGCAATGTGGCTGCTGCGAAGCTCAACATCAATTCCGGCCAGTGCTGCTCCTTGGCCTCTTTCCTCACACATGACAGTTTCCAAGCCAACTCATGTGATCTGTCGTTGGCCGGCATCGCTCCACAAGAGTTAACTTTTGCATGTCGCCAGCAAGACCAAATCTGCTGCCTGTTTGGCAATGACGGTTCTGTGCTGCTGCAGTGGCGCTGCGTCGGTTTGCCAAAGAACACGCCGTTAAACTGTTTCGTGGCGTTGCATTCTCCATCGGCTCCCCTGTCCAATTTGGCGCCCGCTCCGTCAAACGGCTTCCGGCGGCCGGTGCGGGTGACACAGGCGCGCTTGCATCAAGGGGTTGGCCTCGCTCGCGTGCTGCCGTGCCTGGACCTATGCGGGGGCTTCTGGGATCGACTGCCGCAGACTTGTCAGCACACAGTTTTGGCGTGTTTGTGTGCTCTTAACGATCTTGTGACGTTCCTACAAACGCACAGAGCCGCTTGTGCCTTTCTGATCGATGCGAGTCAGCACAATGCACTGGTCGCGTCTGTTTCCCCTTGCTGTTGCACGAGGCTGTGTTTGAACAAATGCATTGAAGCGCTGCTGTCCCAAGGTTTTCCGATCCACAAGAAGTTCCTTTTGGGGTGTTTCAACCCGCGCTCCTTCCCTCCTCTTCATCGAACATGGCAAACTTTCCACTCTGTTGACTTTCGCCACGTCGTTCGGATGGCTTCGCGCATTTCCCCTTCAGTTTCCACGGCCGTCATCGAGTTGTCGCCCGTGTTGCTCGGGCAGTCGCAGCTCTACTTGACAATAGGCATGAGCACGGGACCTCACCCTGCAGCAGTTGCTTGGCCACACCTCTTCAGCCTGCAGGCCCCATTTTCCCAACGCGGGCTTCAGCTGGAGATCCGAGATGGGCGTTGCAACGGCGCGCGCTGGTGCACAGAAGTCGAGCGAATGCAAATGCACGCGCTGCGCCCCATCGATTTTTCGCGATGTCAAACTTTCACCTTTGTATGCTCTCCTGCAAGTGTTGCGCTGTTTGATTCCCGTGGGGACTTGGTCTCGCTTTGTCCGCAGCCTTGGCCGGCCACAGAGTCGAATGAGCTGAAAGGCTTCATAGGCTTAAGGGGCGCCGCACCTTTGCCCCGCCCGGACCGGGACACCACAATTATTCAGCCAGTCTTGACTCAAGCTCGTCGCGAAGCCTTGCAGCTGCAGCCTCTGCTGCGTATCGTCGGGCCACATGTGTTGCACATTGGTCCCTTGACATTGACCGGCGGTGGCAAGGCGAGTGGATCCAAAGCCGGCAGCCGCCGCCCAACCGACCCGCGTTCCACCAAGGCTCACCGCCAAGACGTGGCCATGCCCAAACGGGCTTTGATCATCAAACGCAAGTGGGCCGAGCTCATTCTTTCAGGCGAAAAAACGTGGGAGGTTCGCGGGGAGCCGACCACGAAGCGGGGAAGGATTGCGATCGCACAAGCTGGTTCCAAACAATTGGTGGGGGAAGTCACCCTGGCCGAATGCTTTCTCATCGGTGAGCAACCTTCACCTGGCGTTTGGGTTTCCACGGGCCCTCCTTCGCAGTACATTTGGGCACCCGACAACGCAAACAAGCATTGCATTACTGACCAATCGTCGGTGAACTACAAGAAAGCCTATGCGTGGGTCATGGAACATGCGCGCAAGTATCCTGCGCCGCGGCCGTACACCCACAAACCAGGCTGCATGAAGTGGGTTAAGCTGGATGGCGGTAGTGTGGCCCAATTTTCAGCCGGCGCAACCAGCGCGGCAGGCAACCCTTTGTGGTGCGACGCAGTGGATTCCGACTCCACTGGATCTGTTTCTGTCACCTCGGCCGCTGCTTCCGCTCCAGTGGTATTTTGCGACGATCATTTCCATTTTGAGTCTTCGCCAAGCCGGCTGCTTTCCCCGAATCGAACGCCCGCTTCGACATTGCTCGGCGCCAGTTGCCCCGGTTCTCCGCGCCTGCGTGCTCCTCACAGTCCAACTGTTACTGTTGGGGAGGTTCCGGCGATTTCACTGTCAGCGGCCCTCCTTCGTGACGATGCTTCTGATTCTAGTTCTGATGCCTGGGCAGACGCGTTTTTGGCTTTTCTTTCTTCCAACTGCAGAGCTTCCTCGTTCTTTCAGGCGTTGCAGAACGCGTGTGGCTTGCGTTCTGCTTGCTTGGCAAAGACTTGCGCGCAGCTGGCTTTAACTTCGTCTGCGTGGCATTGCTTCTTCTCCGATCCAAAACGCTTTTCTTCTGAGCTTCCTTTCTCCTTCATTCAAGACGTCCACTCCCACCTTTCGTGTGCGCCGCTACTGCTTTGGATCCTTCCGGCCGGTGATCTGCTTCTCTTGTCGGATGGTTTTTGCGAGCCGTATGAAGGCAGTGTTGTGGATTTTCCAACGATTGTTTTCAACTCTACCAATGCTTGGTTCTTTCCCGTGGTGATGACATTGCGCCCCATTGTTGTCCCAGCGTTGAGCTCTTGTCCCGCAGTCGGATATCTGCACCTTCTCGTTTTTGGATTGGCTCCCACGCTTCTACCTCCGACGGAAAACCTTTTCCATTGCTTCAAAACTACGCGCTTGGAATGCGTAGGTCACTTGGAGACGCTGCGTGACACAGTAGCGTTGTCCATTTGCCCTTGCATCCTGGAAATGGGCCAGCATCTTTGTGGTCGGAGGCTCTCGCAGCTTGCTCTTCCAACAGAGGTCAAAAGGATGTTATAAACGATTTATGCGGCCCAAGGCCTTATAAATCAATTTCTCTTTTCTTGGGATGTTACACTTCTGTGGGCATGCTCCGCATAATTTTCCTTCAACCGAACGAACATGTGACATATGGCAATTTAAAGATCATCGCACGTCTGTCAAGACGATGAAAACGTCGTTCAAATTTGCTTTTTCTAACTCTACCACAGCACCCTCAGCAAATTTGGAAGGCAATCCTTTTTAGACCATGGACATGCTCCTAGGAGAGCTTGACTTTTGGATCCCACCCCACCACACCATCAGCAGATGCCACGCATCGCCAAGAGCACGCGGCCGGCCAATCACTCTTTGATTGCATTGGACTTTCCATCCCTCAGCAAGTCCTTGACATTAAGCATGCGCCTGCATGATACTTCTATTAGACTTGTTTCTTTTAGGCTGGAAACTTCCGCGCCTGTACGGCGCGCGTGCCAAATATATAAGGTTGGCCTGGAAACATCACAATATCAGGTTACATTTAAATTTCCATTATTTATTTTCTTATTCTTGAGATATCCACCGTTTTCAAACAATCCCAGAGCGGTTTTTGTTTCCTCCAAAAATGCGAAAGCAGGCTTACACCTAAAGCATTTAACCAGCGGGAACCCTCAAAAGCACCAGCAATAAAACAAAAGAGTAGTCTCAGGACACGAGGAAGATAAAGCACCATTTGTATTGTATTGTTAACCTTTGCAGTTCCTGGACACTGTTTTCTTTTGCAAAACGTTTTGGTATAGCAAGGCAGCACCATGCTCTTCAGGGCAGCCCACATTGACAGGTAAAGGCGCTCAAACACAGTCGACAATGCTTTTCAATGCAAGCATTCCAAAAAGAGCAAGCGTGTCATCATTGGAGCGGCCCATGCCGCGCCCGCTTGTGCCCGTGAGGGGCTCTTCAGCTTCATGCGCAGTGATTGTCGGACGGCAAAATATTGAAAGTTGCAAGTGCATAGCGGGGGTTGCTCTCTGGCTTTATATATGTGCAAATATATATATATATACATATCTCTTTACTGCTATTTATTTTGTAAATCTCTCTCTTTTTCCAGAATATATATATACATATATGTGTGTGATATATATATATATGTATATATATATATGTGTGTGTAGTTTTTTTTAAATATATATATATATATATATTCATTCTCACGCATCCCAACGTGTCAGGCTTTTAAGTAGGGATACGTTCCTCAACTCCCATAGCCAATTTGCAAGTTTCGGTGACACGGCGGTCTGAACAACCATCGTCGCAAGTCCACATATACAGGGTCAAACTACATGCTTGATGTAAAAAACTACTAGCAGTAAAGTCGGCGACTGCGGTTTCGCTCCGGTATGCACTGCGACGAGATCAATGCGACAAAAATCATTGATGGAGGAATCGACACAGCGGAGTCAAAAAAAGCCATGCCCCTACTTTGCGGCACAAAACCGATCGTGGCAACATTGAACTGCTGTATAGGTTTCTAAGCGGCCCGGGAAACAAATAGGAAGCTCCATCCGACTGCAATCATGCATGGCTGTTAATTACCACATTCCGGAAAGGTTGCCCCATGGGCTGCTTACACAGACGCACAAAGCGTATATGTATTTTTACACGCAGGACTTTCTGCGCATGTCATTTTTTCGCCAAGCCTTTTCTAGCACTCTTCTCATGTCAGCGGTCAGCTGGTTTTTTTGATCAAGCACGCTTTGCGCAAAAACACATCACACAACCTGGTGATAGCATGGTTTGGCCACAGAGAGAGAGGTATTACCGGAGTTTTTCTCCTACCAATTTTTCCCCGGCGAGGCCCACGCAGGCTTGCCAAACAACCAAACAAGAAACATGTTGCAAGCCCTACTGCCTCTGAGCATAAGCATTCAACTCTTCTCGGAAGCAAGCGTTGTGCTGCAGCTCCCGGCAACAGCGGGCTCGATGACGTTAAAGTTCTTCCCGAATTAGATTTCTATGGCATGACCTTTGCCGCAAGGCTGTCCATGATGCACTTGTGCTATAGAGAGGCGTCATGTCTCCAAGGCTTTCAGTTTTGTATGTGGCGGGCATAAAATTTGCACATGTTTTTGCTGCATTTGAGATAAAAAGAAGGCGCTGCTTATACATACACTCTGCATGCCCGCCACCTAGCCGAAGATTTCCAGCACTGAATGAGTCCAAATACTTTGCGAAACATCGCTGGGATCTGGAAACATGAATTTCACGAAATTTCACGTTAAGTAGCTTGCATAAATGATTTATATCGTCTTTTTCACGAAATTTCACGTTTCGTGTGTTCCGCTTTTTCTTCCTCTTCTCACCTCGGAATTTCTGGACTCAAGAATAATGAGCAATTTCATGAATTTCACGCTTCTTTTTCGTGGATTTCACGCTTCACGTTTCATTGTCTGCTGAATTACATGAGTTTCACGCTTCTTTTTCGTGAATTTCATGAATTTCACGTTTTCTCTGCTGAATTTCATGAATGTCATGAATGTCACGCTTCTTGTTCGTGAATTTCATGAATTTCACGTTTTCTCTGCTGAATTTCATGAATGTCATGAATGTCACGCTTCTTGTTCGTGAATTTCATGAATTTCACGTTTTCTCTGCTGAATTTCATGAATTTCACGCTTCTCCTTCGTGAATTTCATGAAATTCACGTTTTCTCTGCTGAATTTCATGAAATTCACGCTGAATTTCATAAGATTCACGTTTTCTTTGCTGAATTTCATGAATTCCACGTTCTCTTTTCGTGATTTCCTTGCTTTTTGGCCAAGTTCTTTCAATTTCATGAAAACTCATTTTTTTCCACGGCTGCGCTTCATGAATTTCATCCGGCCCTGTGAGTTTCATGTTTTTCCCCCTTGGGTTTCGTGACTTTTGCACGTTTCGTCCCTGAAATAGGTGTGATGTTTTCACATGTTTCCTTGGAACTAATTTTTCTATTTATAAATATTACGCATACGCCATGCTGTGACTGACATATGTATATGTATTGGTCTTATATATTTTTACTTATATACGTGTTTGTGCGATTGTGGTTGTGCATGTTCGTGTACATCCATGCACAATAGATACATGTGATATGTGTATATACATTTATATATATTAATCTATATACACCATGTTGCAAAAAATGCCTTATGTACACATGTGTTAAATAGATTTGCCGTGTCTATGCATGGATATGCAAGCTTGAATGTGCGTATATGCTTTTTACATTTACACATGCGTGTATGTCTGCAAACATAAACATATATATTTATATATACATATATATTCAAGATATGTATATACTTGGGGGTGCCGTTTCGATTGCTTGAACCACAAGGCAACCTTTTCCGTGTAGGGGATATATACAAGCTTATGGATTCCTGTGGCTCTAAAACCAATCAGTTAACCCAATTGCACCACCAATTTTCCCGCCCAGCGAAGACCATATCGTCTCTAGGGCATGTTTTGACAACGTTGTCATATCGGAATGCCCATCCTGCAGCATGATCTTGATCCTACTGCATTGCAGGAATTTTGCTCAATGCTGTTTCCGGGCAGGTACACATTGCAACATGCAGGATGTAGAGACATGGGTTTTCAGCGCGAAATGCAGCAATGGTGAAACAAAGGTGCATCACAACACACATCAGCTTTTGCTCAGTGCTACACCACAACAGCCATGCCCACGATCTGAGGTCAATCGCTATTGTAACTTTACAGCGACCAACCCATGCAACCCACAAAAACCGATTTATACGACAAGCATCGATCTGTGTGAGGTGGCTCGAACACTGTGACAATCGCTGTCATCACAATATACGGCGACCAACCAAATTTCTCAGGCTCCTAGGGAGAAAAATGCTTCAGCAGCGACCAACTGGGTGCACCGGCTAGTCGCTGTTCGACAGAAGAGCGAACATTGGGCGCAATTCTGCTTGAACAGCGACCAATGGGTGCACCCGCAAAAATCGATTTATGGCACATAAACCGTTTTTTGCAGTGGTTCGAACAGCGTATGTGACAGTCGCTGTATGAGCTACACAGCGAACCTCCCAAGCTGCGCAAGCCGGTTCTAATATGTGATGGATGTTGAAAACCCATACCTCCTGCACATTGTTACTGCACGGCTGTGTACACTGCGGATTCAAATCATAAGAGCAAAGCTGCGCAAGCCGGTCAAATATGTGATGGATGTTGAAAACCCATACCTCCTGTACATTGTTACTGCACGGCGGTGTACACTGCGGATTCAAATCATAAGAGCAAAGGTGCGCAAGCCAGTTCAATTATGTGATGGATGTTGGAAACCCATGCCTCCTGCACATTGTTTCTTTGCGCACTCCGCATTTCATCATTAAAGCAAAGCCGGTTCCTATGCAAGCCAGTTCCAGAACATCACGAAATGGCTGAGGGGAGGTGAAAGCCTATACCTGCTGCATGTTTATTCAAGATGCATGTACTAAAACCTTGCATGGGCCCTGCAAATCATTGAAGGATTAATCTTGAAAGCAATAGCACCCAAGCCCACTGAAAATGCTCGATTTATAAGGTGTTCCACGAGATTGATTTATACAGCTGTTTAACCTGTGTTGGTTGTGTTGGCTCCTGCAGAGCCTGTAGACCTTTTGATCCTGGACAGCAACAGTTGTTTGTTCCACGTCTCCAGCTTCCACACCTTCCAGCGAATTGAATGGGGCGCCGCATTGCTCCGGCTTAAGAACCCAAATTGTTTCCTGTTCGTTTTCATCCATTCGACCAAGCATTTTTTGCAAGCGCTCTTGCGCGTTCCAGGTTCCACTGGTCACGCCGAGGCTTGGCTAGGCCGGGCGCAGCCCACGGCTCATGCAGCGTGCGTGGCGACCGTTCCATTGAACCTGGCAGAACCCACGCTCACCGAGCGGCTCAGCCGTGAAGCGCTGACAGTTTTTACGCCATGCGAGTTACTCACTTCCTCGCCAGACGCTGCCAGTTGCACAGCGGGTGCGTCGGGCCCTGCGCACATGGAAGACGACTCAGTCAATGCCTGTATAGCCTCGCCGGGCAATTTGCTTCGGGGTACACCTGAAGACTTCAACCGAGCTTTTGCAGACGTGTACCGCAAAGATCCAGAAAGAGCAAAGCTGATCTCTCGATACATCCTTGCCGACCTTGCCCCCTTCCCACATGAGCAGCTGAAAAATGCCTTGCCGGACGTCTATTCAATGACAGACAACCTTGCCCAAAAAGCGGGCTGCCCCTTTGAATGGGCTTTCCTCCTTTTTCTACCCGTTCTTGGCACTGCGTGCTCCAAAGCCAGGCTGTTCATCAACGAATTTTTCCTCGTGCCGCCGCTGCTTTGGTTGGGCTTATGCCTCGACAGCGGCGCCAACAAAAGCGGCATCATGACAGCCTTGGCAGACATCGTCTCTGGCTTTGAAAAGGAGTTGCTCCAAAAGGCGCTGGACGAAGCTCGTAAGGAAGCGCAGCTGGCAGAAGAGGAGGAGGATGCACACGGTGCGGAGCCAGATGAGCCTTCGTCAAAAAAACGCAAGACCTCCTTGTCGAAAGCATTGGCGGCCATCCACAACAACAAGCCCGCCTTGTTTTCCGACGAAGGCTCGTTGCCCGCCATTGGCATGCAAATGGCGCACAACGGGCACCGGGCTATTGGATTATATGATGAAGGCCGGTTCCTTCTCCGAGCGCTGGCCAACGGAGAAGGTTCCGGATTTAATGCCTCCACTATGTCCAAGCTCTTTAATGGCTCCATTTGGAAAAGGACGGTTGTGAAGGATAACAACCGCTTCTCCATGCACCAGACATGCCTTTGTTTAGCAATGACTTTCCATGTCGAGGAATGGCATGACTTTCTGGCCAAAGATGGTGCCTTGGGCATGCAAAGTCGGTTTCTCATGTTTCACAGCAGCCCCCGCCTCGAGAAAGCAGACGCAGTCCTCGAACCTGCGGTGTATTCCACGGGGGCTGCGCGCTCTCGAGGTGCGCCGGTCCTTCCAGCTTCATTGCTCACCCAGTTTGTTTCTGTCCTCACAAGAATCGAAAACGTTCACACTGCAAATGCTCCTGATTTTGATGCGTCGCGGGAATTCATTCCATATTTCTTTGCCCCCGATGCCTTGGATTATTTTCGAGAGCACTACGACGCCCAAGTTCTCACGCAAGAACAATCATACTTGCAGGACCCAAAGCTTTTCAGCCATGCCGGCAAACTGAAATCACTTCCCTGGCGTTTGGCTCTGTTGTTGCATTCTTGGGCGCGTGCGTGTTCTGCCGCCGATCAGTCAGGCACGGCTTGGAGCAGAGAGCTTTCTCGCGAAGTCGTGGAGCCGGCTAAAGCTATTTTCGATTATTTGTCCTTGCAGTCTCAACTGCTCGCGCCGGGATCCAACCTCGTCAGCACCTTGGACACGCACGACTTGCGCGAGCTTGCTGCGCAGAGGTATCCGTATCTTATCACTTTGATCGAAACCGACACTCTCCCAACTGCTCGCGCAGAAGCTGCCCCTGCCAATTCGTTGCCGGATGCTAGCCCGTCTTTCACTGTTTGGTGGGAAGCCCTTTCCCCGGACAACAAACTCTATGCTTTCGTTGCTGCGCACTGGGTTCTCACGAGCGCAAGCACAATCATGGTTGACCAGGGGACCTTGCTGAAGAAACTTCATGCAAAAGACACAGGCGTGGCATTACCAAGAGATGCTGCCAAGCCATATTGCCAAAACGCGTTTTTGCTTCTGAAATATTGCCAGTTGGCAGCCTTGACCAGGACCTCCGAAAAGGCGGCTCACAGGCTGCGCAAAAGAAAGCCTCCGCAATGCCCAACTTCCCAAGTTGCATTTTCAAATTTGCTGCATCTTTTCCAGCACAAGCAGGCGAACAGCTTGGCGGAGTACGCAGAATCCTGCCTAACGGTGACCGCGTCTATCTCCACTCTGTATGCTGCCGACTTGAAGGTCCTGTTGCCGCCCGATTTCGATGTCCCGCGCATGGAGCAGTGCTTGCAGCTGCTCACGCAATACGCCACTGACGCCCGCCCTTTCGAGCACAGTGCCAAAATTCTGAATGTCAAATCCCAGCGCGTGGCAGCCAAGCAGGTAGCGCCTAACAATCCTCCTCCTCCGCCTCCAGGAACCGAGATGTTAGCCGGGGCCACCCACAGCGACGCGTGCTCTTCGTTGATGTACCCAGGGTCCCTCAGTTTGTTGCCTGCTTTCGTTCTCGCGTTCCACCACGCGGATCCTGCATGTCGAGCGTCTGTGGCGCACGCATTGCTGCAACAACAATGTTTCCATCTTCACCTGTCTGAAAGGGACTGCGACTTTATTCTTGGCAAGCTTCTCCGACGTGCCCCGCATTGGCTTGGAGCTGAGTGCCACTTGCCAAAGCACATTCCCACGAGATGCGTTCAACCAGACGTGAAACATTGTCTGACGTGCCACGCACATCTCAAATGTGCCGCCGCTCGCGCAGTGCCTTGTGCGCTTGGCTTGCATTGCGTGGAACAGGTCCTGCTCCTCAGCTACTCTTGCTGCTCCTGCAGTCGCTCTTATTTTGGACCGTGGGTTGAAGGCAAAGATGCAACTGGTGCGCGGGCTAGGATGCTAGTGCAAGACAACCCACGCTACTTCTGCATCACGCAAAACATCGTCTTTGCGACAGCTTTCTTGGACCAAGTCACCGACATTCTGCTTCATTGCGGCGGTTCTTTCCGAGGCATTGTGAATGTGCTGCGGCCCAAGCTCCACATGAAAATTCGAACGCTGGAGAAGCATCTCCGCGATTCGTGGCTGCAATACTCCGTGTGCAAGTTTTTGACAAACAATCGCACTTCCATCAATTGCTTTGTCGGCAAGAATGGCATGGAACCCTGGTGCCGTGGACTCGAAGACCAGGTGCTTCACCAATTTCAGCGTCGCTGGCTCCTGCAACACCAGTGTTCCAAGTGCGAACGAGGCATTCTAGGCGTGGACGGCAATGCCAAAGTTCGTACCAAACTGTGCGCCAACACGGATGCGGGCGTATGGGATTGCAGGCCTCTGAACGCCCATTGCCTGACTGGATGCCAGAGTGCTCCCATTCCTGGTCGAAAATATTGCGCCGTGCACCTCCGAGATGCTGACCCGATTTTTGGTTGCGATCTCATTTTGCAAATGATCCTTTCCTTCCTCGCAACGACAGCAACCCTGCTTTCTCGCACCGAAGCTGGTCGCCACAAGTCGCCAGATATTGTCGCGCTTTTCCCGCTTTGTCGACGAACGCGGAAAGCGTTGAGTTTTGCTGTGAGCCACGCTAAGCTTCAATATCCAGTTTCGCTTCTTTCTGTCAAACGTATTCCGCGTTCGCGGCGGTATGCTTTCCAAACCAAGACAGGCCAAGCCTTTTCGCTATCAAGCGCCTTGGTTCCCACGCACTACCAACAGCAATATGGTCAATCCTTGTTGGAGCCCGTTTCACGAGAGTGCCAATCAAAGCCACGCGTCGGACATCAAGTCCAGTTCTCTGCGTCCGAGAAAAATGACGCGTGTCGCCGGCAATGGGAAAAATCTCGTGCAGCACGGCGCAGTGGGGGCGTTTTAGCCGCTGTCAAGGAATGCCAAATCATCAGCGCCATCAAGCTCGTGTACACCCACGAATCCCCAACAGGGGTCTACTTTTTCTTGGCTGAGCTGTTTGAGTTTCTGTCTGCCGGCCGCAATGTCAATTTGAAGACTGCCAAGCGGAAGACTCGCCTGCGAACACTTCAGCAAACCATGCCGCTGGTCTTTTACGATTGCGCGTGCACGTTGCAGCGCTTCATGGCTTCCAAGAAACGACGCCGCATGAGCAAAGTTGCTCGTACCCTCAGCCGGCTTCGCCTTGTCATCGACAAGTTCCATTTTCGCAAAGGGCACAGCGGCTGCAAGCCTGATGGCACTCGCCCGTTTCCCAAAACGTGGCCTCAGACGCATGCCTCGAGCTTCCCCAACATTAATGACAGCGCAGCTGAACAATCTTTTGCGTTTGTTCGCAAAATTGCGGTGGCGGCGCGGCGCATGACCCCAGTGCGTGGCCTTCTCTTCCTTGCGTCATTGCTGCACGCTCGCAATGTACAACTCGAACTCATGGGGATCAAAAAGGCAGAACTGGCAGCGGCCAAGAAGCGAAAATTCATGGCGCGCCGCAACTTCCAGGATGCAGTGGAAACGCTGCCATTTCGACGACCAGCTTCGCAGCAGCTCTAAATCCATGCCGACCTCCTGCTGTTTCACCCGCTTTACAAAAAAAGCCGACAGAGTTCGAACCGCAGCAAAATGAAATTTTCGGCAGCGACTTTCGTGCGAAATGTGTCCTACTTGCCAACCTCTATGTCTCCTGTTCGATCTCCATTGCCAAAGTCCTCCATCTCAGCCATGACACCGTGCAATGTGTATCTGTACTGTCGTCTCTGTTTCTTCAACATGTTTTCCATCATCCACGAAACTAACATGCAGTTTGTGTCTTGTACCGAACCTCCACGGCATATGCACACTAACGACATTTGGTCTCTGAACTTGCCTTAGGTTGTAGCGTATCAAATCGTATTTAATCTTGTTACACTGCCTTGGTTTGCAGCTTTCGGTTTGCAGCGCCCAGTTTCCATAGACTCCAGTTCCCTTAGATATCTATTGAGTTCACCACAATGCAGACATGCACTTCCCATGCCCTATTTGAACATAGTCCAGTCCAAAGCACATGCTTCTACCTTAGCTAAAACACACACACACTGCTGATGGGAGCATGTTACTGAGTAACATTACTCGAATGAGGAACTTTATAGTGGTGAAGTAGTTCATGCCTTGAGGGTTCCTAGGTCCAAAATCCTGGTCAGTCGAGTAGGGAAAGCAGTGGGAAACTCTGATTTCTGAGATAATCTCAAATTAGCAACATATACGCATGAAAATGGACAGCTTGTTCAACAGTTCAAAACCAACTTCTGCAGGTACAGGGAGGTGATCAGTCTCCCCTTCCCACCAATGGCAATAGCTTCGTTGCGTGCAGTATGCCAAAGGTGCTGCACGCCCCTGCATCTGATGGATTGTTTGAATCAACTTGTTAACAGAAACTCAGGTCCGCATGAGTGATAGCGGATTTCACACACACAATGGCCCCCCCGGCAGGGGAGGCAGCTGCTGGTGAACGCTGTTTTTCATCGCAGTATCAGTTTGCAATATATACATGTCCTAGAAATTCTTGTACAACATATGGGAAAGGTTCACTGTAAATCAAATGGTCTCCTTGGGACAGAATAAGGGTCCAGACTGCGTTCCCGTTGGAGAGCGACTCTTCTGAAAACGATCGGTTGAAGGGAAAGAGGACTGAACAGATGAAACATCAGCTGCAGTGAAAGACCGATCTTGACGTCGATATGATGTAGAACTTGCATTTTCAGAAAGTGGCTCGATCAAAACGTTCTTGATACTCGAGCGTGTCTGACCATCATAACTATAGGGCTCCCGGACTTGCGATCTGGATCGTTCACTTTCATTTTCGAAACGAGACTCAACTGAAGCGTTCTTGATACTCGAACGTGTCTGACCATCACAAATATAGGGTTCCCGAACTGGCGATCTGGAGCGATCGGTGAGACGTTTCCGAAGGGACCACTGTTCCAAAGTATTGCTAAGTTCACGCAACGAAGGCATCGTAAGAAGGAGATAGATTGGTTTGAGTTTGAGCTTAAATATACTCTTCAAAATTCAAAAACGTGTGATTCGAACTGTCAAAGTCAAGATTCGCAATCGGCAAAAGTATGATGAACACAACTGAGTTGAGAAAAACACAACATGAACATAACTGAAAAGGTAAATGAAAAAGAAGAAAAAATGTGACGTTATCGAACTTCAGATGAAAAACGTCAAAGAATGCCCATTGATGAAAATGTCCAACATCAAATGACTTCACGAAAGTGATGGCGAATGACGACAAAACACGACAATGCGAAATCCAGCAACTGTTTTGTCTGCGTTTCCTGTCATGGTATCTAGTCAAAGTGAAAAAGAGAATCAGGATCAAGTTGTGGATGACGTGAGCGTACCAATTTGATAATCTGACTTCTCAAAGTAGAAGACAATACATCACGTTGTCGTCGAGACCAAATGGACAGAAAATCTTGAATTTGAGGTATTTGTAGAGAACTGGGCCATGTATTCTGCAAAATGAGACGAATTCTGGCCAGAGCTCCGGACGTGAGTGCCTTAGTCGTACTTGAACTCCTTGTTGAACGAAACGCTTTGTCCACAGGTTGAAGATATGTAGTTGTACGCTGTAACACGTCAGCGTTGTATCCTAACAATTCAGATCCTTCAACTTGTTCAAGTAGAATGGGAGGTGAATAGAATGAAAGATTCCAAAATAACTGCATTTCTGAGTTCCAGTGTCCCACAGGAAGTAGCATCACTCGATTGTCAACGTAACGATGATGAAAAGTGGAATTATTGGTAAATTGACGAAAACAGGACAGAAAAGTATGTTCTCGCATGAGTGCGACAGCTGCACAGAAAATAGGTGCCCATTGACTACCCATGCTGGCACCACGTTTTTGTAAAAATGTAGACATTCCGACGGTGAAAAAACTGTGATTCAACAGAAAGCTACAAATAGGTAGAATGTCGCCCAAGCGAATATCACGATACATCTTGGTGTGTTGTCGCCATTGACCTCTAAAAACTCGCAGGGTGCGTTCATGTTGATATACGTGTGCTTGAAGTACAGAATCGAAGGTCTGTCCATGTTGTAAAATATATTGATGAATGGCGAATTCAATAGATCCGAGAATGCGGTCATGTTCAACTTGGTTGTAGAAACCAGCAATATCAGTCTGAAAGAGAAGAAGGTCAGCACCATGATCAATTTGGAAAAAGCATTTGATTTCGTTCATCACCTTGTTGATATCACTGTAGCGAAGTAAGGATGGATAAACAACTTTCAAAATATCTTGCAACACCACAGACAAAATATAACCCATCTGTTTTGGCCAAGATCGACTGTAATTAACGATGGGTCGTGCTTTCATAAACGAGCGTGACGGTTTTGGAAGAATATACGCCTTGCTTAATGATAAATGAAAATCGAAAGCCCAAGGATATCTGTCAGTGATCCATCCAGGAAGATCATACTGAATATTCTTCAGAATAGTGGCTGAATCAACACTACAAAGATGAAAAACAGAGGTGTCTTGAAATGTCTTACACAGCAAATTGTGCCACTGGACAGGACAATGTAAGGTGAGAGACGATGGAAAATGATCTGCTGGGGAAGCAATAAGTCCGTCGATCCTTTGTCGAGCCTGTCGAATACGTTTTTGAGTGTACAACTGACCTGAATCAAGTTGCAAATTCCAACAGTCTTGTAGAAAAGCCTGCCAATACTGGATCAGATCTCGGCGAAGTTTCCAACGTCGTAACCATTTTTCAAATTGGAAGGTATTTTGATGGAAAAATTGTGTCCACGTAGGTGTAACTTCATCTTCCAAATGTGCAGTCAGAATAGGATCCAGTGGAAAACATTCCGAGGCGAAGGATGAAATATGATCTGTTTTCCGTGGATTGTGTTGAACATGAAGAGGAAACAACTGACAAGCACACTGAGGGCGAAACTGAGGTGTCCACAACTTTAGAAAAGAACGAAAATTGTACAAATATTGAGCTAAAGTTCGATTTTTCACTGTCACAAACGGTGCACGAACTTTGTGAAAAATGGGAAAGTTACAGCGATGATGGTGAGTGAATCCCAGCAACCATTGTCGAAATCGACGTTCCATTGTATCCGACAAAACCTGTAACTGCATGGGTATATTCGCTGGTGGCGATTCAGTAGCATAGAATTTGAAAATATAACGCAATTGAGATTGTGCTCTGGTCCGAAAAGGTTCCGACATATGGTGGCTCAAGCGCCATAACAAGAAAATCAACTGCACATTTGACAACTTCGAACGTAGAATGCGAGAACAAATGAACTTGTCATGCGTGTCAGAACCAAGGGAATACAGGAAAATGTACAAACTTGTAGTATCCGTAATCCGACGACTAAGAATGCATTGAGCAGTTTGCAGACTGCGTTTGCGAAATCGTTTCACAAATTTCATCCCTTGAGTACTGGTCTTCAAAGTTGAAGGTCCGAATTGTTGCTTACCAATCCGAAGTTGTTTCATCAAAGGATTGATCCAAGGCCAATTGTAAATGGGGCGAAAAGTCCTTTGGCATGCTGTTTCAACTGCAAGAAGCTTGTCAACGTCAGTCTGGAGTAAAGGAAAACCAATAAATTGAAAATAATTGCGTTGTGCTGACCAGGCCTTCAAAGCTGGTTCGTAGTAAGCAAGTTGGTCTTTCTTTAACTGTCGGTATTTTCGTAACCGACTCTGTTCTCTCGAAAACATGGTTTGTTCAGTGGAGCCAATGTAAAACTGAGCATTTCGAAAATGTAAACGACAGTACACGATGCTCGACCTGTTCCACCATGTCCATGACAAAATTTCTGGAAGTTCGCACTGCCGCAAAATAGTCAGAAGACGTCGATTTTTGGCTGAAAAAGGTCGAATGATGTAAGCAAAAATGGTCCAAACACTAAGTATCCACATGATCCGTTCCTGTACATGCCATGGTAAAGCTGGAGAAAATTGCAAAGTGTAAATCATGAATTGGATGCTAGCAAACCACAGCGACTGAAAATGTGAGGCAAGCTTCGTTGTCTCTGCACCATGCATATGCTTGGAATACTTGCGAAATGGCTGCCCCCATGATGATGGAGGACTTACTTCACTGGTTTTTAATCCAAAATGTCAGTTTCGAAGGAATTGAACGGCGGCCAAAACCTTCAAATTGTATTCCGCCTTTGTTTTGGCCAGTACTGTACTGGGGAGACCCCAATCTGAAAGAATCGATTCTAAATTTGGTCTTTCAGAGGCTGGAAACTGATTGTATTCGTCAGTAATGGTCTTCAACATGGCATCAACATTGACTTGTTCCGTCTTAGGAACATTGTTCTTGATCCACTTGTCGAGTTCAGTCATGGTATGTTTGGGTGTGTGTGTGCCTAAGATGGGTGCGTTTTGTCCACGTCGATATTGTGAGAGTGGAGAACGGTCATCTTGGGCTCCCGGCATACTTGGCATCGACTGACTTTTTTGGCGTCTGAGTTCCTCTGTTGCTGATTGACGAAACATGGATGGGAGTGTTCCGCCTGGTGGTTCCTCAGTGTTCTGAGTCTGTGATCCTTCCTGAGTAGGAACTTGACTTTGGTTGGCACGAAGAGCTGCGTTCTCTTTCTTCATTCTTTCCAGTTCTTCTAACAATGATTGATTGGAATCTTTGGGTGCCAAAGTCTTGAACAAATCAACAGTCTGTTGAATCAACGCCTCAATTCCTGAAAGCTTGTATTTCCAATCTTGAGAATCACCTGGTTCTGAAGACAAATGCTGGATGAGCTTCGCAAAATCAACATTGTCTTTTTGTCGGTAGAGTTCACGAAAAAGCATGGTAGAAAATGTGGCTTCAAGGCGATTTCGAAACATCTCACATGCGACATACCTACCATTGGCAACAAGGCGCAAAGCCCAATTTTCAAGACCGTTGGCCACAATGTCGACAAGCTTAACATCAGAAATAGGAATGCCAGATGTATTGTTCTTTCGTGAAAAATTGGTCGACTCAACATGTCGTGGAAAAGTCAATCCATACTCCGTCTTTGTGTCATAATGGGTTCGTGTGGATTGCCACGAATCAGGTAAGTCTGGTGATCGTGCACGACTGAGGTCTTGGGTCCGGGACAGCGGTCGTCTTCGATCACGGTATTCCTTAGACTCATGTCGACGATGTCCACGACTGCGATGTCGAGATCTGGATCGAGAATCTCGGCGTTGAGACTGCATCTGTCCAAATACTGATCACAAACGGATTGAAGAACGACTTACTGACGGGTTTGATCCACTGTGAATTATACCAATCATGGAAAACAGTAGTGAAAAAATTTGAACAGAACCAGACAATTTTGATGCAAGTCAAATTGAAGTACTCAAGAATAACAGCAGCTGAATTAGACTTAACAAAATGTAAATACTCTTGATTTCGAAATCGTCACTGGGAAAAACATCAAACGTATGTGACTGTAACTCACAAAAAGGTGACTTGGACGAAATCTGAAATGACTCATGAAGAGATGGCTTGATAAATGAAACCGCTCAAAAAGTGATACAACAGAGCGCAGCTTTTGATCTATGGAGCGCAACAAAATTGTGTGACTTCCATGATCATTGATCATGATGATGGGATGATACAAGCTAAATGGCTAAGCGGACTCAAATGAGAACGAAGACCCCAACGTTTGTCACGTCCATGTACACTGTCAAAATAGTGTGTACAAGCATGTTCTCCAATAACACCGCCGAGAACGTTGGTCACATGTGGTTGTCTTGATTTAGACATACCGAGCAAACATGTAGGACGATCAGTGGTAAAATTGGAATATTTCTGTGCCTTTCTCAAGGTTGTGAGCATCTCTGATCTGGTCATAACAGGTCTTGCCACAGTAACGCCACGACAGAAAAAGGTCAATGCCGGGATCCATGTCTCGTCTTGTGGGTCAGTGGATGATGGTCTGATATACCCATGGAATAAACTGTCTGCAGCAGATTGTGGATTCGTGTTGTGTGCGTAACATATGTATTCTGCAGCAGGAATTTCTGGTTCTTGTGTAAAAACGACTGGTTCCAAGCGAGCGACAATGGCCACAAGAGACTGATTCTGGTGATCAAAGAGTAAGTCGATGCACTCCACGAAAGCCCAAACTTCAGAATGTAGAAGGAGAGTAGAGATCAATACTTCGAGTGCGGAATGGATGATTGAAGAGAATTTTTCAAACTTGGCGGAATACTCATCTTTGAGGATCTGCATATGGTCAGTCATAAGTTGTTGTTTTAACAGCGCAATCGAGTCAATAGTTCGAAAAGAGTATTGTTGCTGAAAATATGTCAAAGATGGCGTCCATTTGTCAACTGCCAAAGTGAGTGCACCAGTTTCATATGCATTCTTGATACGGTAAGGATCTTGATAGAGTTCTTCACGAATGCGGCCCATGCACTGATATAGGAACCACCAAGGTGATTTCTCAGGTTGTTCTAAAGTAATACAATCACAGCAAAATGTGGCAGTGGTGGGTAGCGTCCAAAAAGAAATCTGATCACTCTGAGGGTGTAAAAATTCAATAATTTCAACAGTCAAAGGAGGCCGTCCAATGCGAGTCGTAACCTTTGGTCTAGGTCCGGGTAGTCTTCGATCACTAGTGAAGGTCTTCTTGTGTCCATGATGGTCATGTAAACAATGTACGAACAATCCCCAACGTGGAATGGGAGCAACTGAGACTGACGGCTGGTCTATAAACATTGATGCCCGAACTCGATCCCGTTGATCTGATTCAGAAGTCAGAGGCACCCGGACCGTTCCATCTCTTGGTAAATCAGCTGTAACAGTGGGACGTACTCGATCCACTCGGTCATTTGATGTGATCTGATTTTGACGATCATCAGTGACTAAGGGCAGTGCAACTTGAGAGCTACGGTTCTGACGTTCCACAGTGTCTGGGGGCAGTGCAGAATGAGAGCCCAATCCAGAAACTACGTTCGATCCGTCCATTCGATCATCACGATCAACAATTGGTGCACGAAATGAGCTGGGTTGAATGCCAAGAGCATTGGAGAACATCATATTTTGTGACAAAGTCAACATTTGTTGAAACTGCATGTGTTGAACATGTTGAACATGTTGAGACTCCGTATGAAGAACAGTCTGGAGTAAGTCCCGTGTCTCTTGAATGTTGGATCCTTCAATTCGATATTGTCCGCATTGTCCTGTAAATTCAAGAACTGTAGGACGACTTTGGCGACTTACAGGTGTGATCCAGGATGGTGGAGGAGTAGGACTAGGTGGACATCGCGACTTTGGTACTGCAGCTGGAATATCAGATTTCGACATGGCTCAAACAGATACAGAGGAAAGGTGAAAAACAAAAGAACTAAATGATGACAGAACAGATCTGAGTTGCCCGAACGTGTAGAATGTAATAAATTCGTGTCTGTCTTTCAGAATTCCAGCCATACGGCTTGCTGCTGTCTTGTGACGTATTCCAAATCTTGTGAAATCTTGCATTGTATTTGATTCATGTATTTCGGCCTGAAGCCAATTCACACGGGAATTAATACCCGTCAGATTTCGAGGTATTGCAGTACCCCACTATTCTTCCGGAAGGCCGGTACCGATTCAACGCGTGTCACCAAACACGCGGACGGCAGTCACAAGTCAGTGACACTGTGCCCGTTACACACTGCTGATGGGAGAATGTTACTGAGTAACATTACTCGAATGAGGAACTTTATAGTGATGAAGTAGTTCATGCCTTGAGGGTTCCTAGGTCCAAAATCCTGGTCAGTCGAGTAGGGAAAGCAGTGGGAAACTCTGATTTCTGAGATAATCTCAAATTAGCAACATATACGCATGAAAATGGACAGCTTGTTCAACAGTTCAAAACCAAATTTCTGCAGGTACAGGGAGGTGATCAGTCTCCCCTTCCCACCAATGGCAATAGCTTCGTTGCGTGCAGTATGCCAAAGGTGCTGCACGCCCCTGCATCTGATGGATTGTTTGAATCAACTTGTTAACAGAAACTCAGGTCCGCATGAGTGATAGCGGATTTCACACACACACACATGGCATTTTGCCAATCGCAGCCTCACACAACCAGCGCTGCCCATCAGCACCTCTCTCCATGTGCCGTGCAACGAGTCGTCATCCGGCTGCAACGGGCTGCTGCTACGGAGCCGCTTGCCTTGCAGCTTAAGGTCGGGGGGTCGTCTGTACACGCGAAAACGGGTTCGTCTGTACACGCGAAGCGGGGGTCGTCTTTACACGTGAAACGAGGATCAGCTTCATGGACTTCATCTATTTCTTGTCCTCCTGTGCATCGTCTACACTAATCATATATATATATATTTTTTTTTTATTTGCCTCCGCAACGCTTCGAAACCGCGAAGAGTTAGAAGAGATGTTACTTGTCAGGTTCACAGAAGATAATGACGCAGGTATGTGTCAGGTGGAGTATCGATTCTCGCCTGGTCCATGTTTTCACGGTTCGAATGTTTTTGGCACGATATATTTTCAAAGATTCTCATGCTTACATTTTGCCATTTTCATGGTTGCCCTTTACATTTTTACTCGTGACCGTTCTAACTTTACCGCTACGACGTTACAATTTGGGTGATGCAAGTTTACACTTGTTGGTTGAGGTCTATGTTTAGTGCTTGCATGGAACAAATTTCCTACTTAGACTTTGCATTTCCCATGGTTCCTTTTCGCATTTTAATGGTTCCGGTCTACATTTTTTAGCGAGACTTTCCCAAAAAGTTTTCTTCTGTCAATTTTTTCTTTGCTGTTTTGCTTTCTATTTTCCAGTGTTTTTCTTCAGGCTCTTTTTTCTTCCGTGGTCTTTTTTGCTCTCCTCTTCTCTTCAACTGCTTTTGTGTCCTTGCCACTTTCAATACTTACGTTTTCAGTTTTTGGCAGGTTAGCTGCTACTTGTAGTGCTTTGATCTTGCCTTTGGTTCTATTCTGTGTCTGGTGTTGCTGTTGCTTTTGTTTGTCTCGTGTTCTTGTCTTCGATTTTTTGTGTCCCTTGGTCGGCCGGTCAGCCGGTCAACCGGGCATTCCGCCGGTCAACCGGGCAACCGCCCCGGTCAGCCGGTCAACCGGGCAACCGGGCATTTCTTCCCCTAGTCGGCCGATCGGCCGGTCAGCCGGTCAACCGGGCATTCCGCCGGTCAACCGGGCAACCGCCCCGGTCAGCCGGTCAACCGGGCAACCGCCCCGGTCAGCCGGTCAACCGGGCAACCGGGCAACCGGGGAGGGGAGGGGTCAACCGGGATCCGGTCAGCCGGTTGCCCGGTCCGGTCGGCCGGTTACCGCCATACTCGGATTTTCCCATCAAAAATGGTGATTTTCCATAGCTACGTTAAATTACCAGAGGGTACCTTGTAATACAATAGTATACAATAGTATACAGGTGTCCCGGAAAAGTCGGACAAGATAGAAGAATCAATCACGATCAAGATGCTTGAGATCGACTTTCCTATCCTTTTGGCATCAAACACCATCTATGTTTGGTGGATCTGGAGACGTGGCTAGCTTTAAAAAAGCACCTGCTACAACATCATTGTAATTTCTCAACGGCTGCCTTGGTACCACCCAAAACGGATGCTCGTCAGGTAGTCTACGTGCTGAATGAATTGCTTTCAACCGCCTCTTGTCGAAGATGAGGGGCGTATGTCCACTGAAAGGATCCTGGTGGATTATCCTTGCAGTTTTTTTCGGCTTTCCCAGGCCTAAGTGGGTTGGCAAGCGCATTTGACCCCAGGTAACTACCTGGAAAGTCTGGGTACCAAACCATCCAGTGCTTGGATTTCACACAGAAACGGAGCTCAAAGCTTGCCATGTGAAAATTTGAGGAACATATGTTTAAACTGTTTAGAGTTCTTTTTCTCCAGCAATCTGGAGTTGTCTCAAAATTTTGACCACAATTCTAGGTTCTAGCATGTTCTAGCATCATTTCCTAATGCGTTCGCCATTTTGAATGGCCAATCTTGTCATAGGGGATTTGCCCAGAAAAAATGATGGAGGTCAGCGTATTGAAGTATTCAAGGATCTGGGTGCGGTGGCAGAAATCATGGGGAAGATGATGAGAATCCATTGGAATGGGAGTGCCATATTTTCAGAGAAGCCCCCATGGTCGGTTTTTTTTCAGCGCCCTCTAAAGAGGGGAGTGCTGAAACTCCCCCTCAAATTTTGGGTGACAGTTGAACCAGACAATCCTTCAAATATGATATTGTTGGTTATATGGAATGGCTATAATATATAATTATATATATATATATATTATACATATATTAATTATATATATAATGTATATATATATCAATATGATATCCCCATGATATCCCTATGATCTCCGGTTCTTGAACTCCGATTTCCGACTCTTTTTGGGCTCAGGTCATAGCCTGCCACTACGATGCCAGCAGTGGTGAATTGCTCCCCACGGATCCCGTCGAGACGGTGCCTGGCGCTGAGGGGCAAACCGAAGCGGCGGCCATTCGCATCTCAGGTGGGGGGAGTCCCAGATGGTGGCAATTTATGGGGCCTTAGTCAAGTCTTACCCTCTGGTAAACTAACATAGCTATGGAAAATCACCATTTTTAATGGGAAAATCAACTATAAATGGGTCATTTTCAATAGCTATGTTAAATTACCAGAGGGTAATCCTCCATGTCTACATTTGGGGTTTTCGTACCAGCCAATTGATGGGAATTGAAATGGATTTAAGCCTCAAGAACCGTGCCTTAACGGTGATTTCACCCGGGAATCTTGGTGAGTTGGTGAAACCACCATGCCATGGCCAAAAAAATGGATGGTGACTCAACAGTGAAAACACATCTGAAACATGAACTTTGGATAACTTCGCTACTTAATGAGAATATCTTAAGCGGATATTCAGAAACACCCATAGGGCCCGTGTGGGTACAGAGCTATGGGACTAGGGGGATGATCATACCGTATGATGGCTATGGATCAAGAATGTCTACCTCAAGGACTATGATTGTTTTACGATATACCCTCTGGTAATGACTAACGTAGCGAACCGCTATGGTATAGATGGCCCAATCGAAATAGTTGTTCTAATATTACCCAGCTATAAAATGGTTTACCAGGCCGGGTACATCCATTTTAATGGGTTTTTCTAATTTCGATTGGGTAATCATCATTTCCATATTTTAATATTATTAATGGATAAAACCATATAAAACCCATTAAATAATGATATTTTCCATAGTTATATCAGTTTACCAGAGGGTAATAATGATGAAGTTGTGGTTCATTTGCTACAAAAATTCTCCTGAGCCTGGCAGCCTGGCAGCGTGCGGGGATCCACTGAGTCAGGAGATGGCAAGTTCTTGTACGTCTCCAATCGTGGACATGACTCCATTACTGCGCCGAGTCACCAATGGATGGCTACCCGAAACGGTCGAAATAGACTTTGGGAACTGGTTTAGATGGCACATTTGTAGATTGTTTGCCTATTGAAAATGGTGATTATCCATAGCTATGTTATATAAACTACCAGAGGGTATGTCTCAAAGCCGTTGGCTGTCGACCGCTGTTGATGAATTCAATTTGTTCACCCTCGATCGGCTGAGGGGCCATATTTTAAATTCAAGGACGGCCCACGCTTCCAACCAGTTCTTCGAATAATCCCATTCCCCTGACTCATTAAACTCTTTCACTCTTGCATCGAGCAGGAACGAGCGAAAGCACCAAACTGATAACACTCCACAGGCTGCCTGAGAATGAAGCATTCATTAATCAACAAACTCGTGCATCATCATGCAAGCATTGCTGCTGCCAGAAATGACTCTACCAGCCAATTCATTATATACTGCATAGCCAATTTCTAGTTATCAAACAAAACCACTTATGCTCCTGTAGGTCTGAACTTGCCCTCAGTTGCAGCCGACTAGCCTGCACGAAGGGCACAACTTGAATTTGACATGTTATGGTTTTCACATTTTTTCACATATCTAATGATAGGACAAGAAGGCAATTTCCAGAATTGGATGCTGGAAAAACTGGAAAATCACGAGAACTTTTCATGGTTTCATGTTGATTCAACCAACCTTTGCCGTTTATTTTCTGGGCCAATCTTAAGCCTTAAGCAGATCAAACATTGGGGAGGTCCAACCATTTCGGGCCTTGATGTTTTTGTTCAAGCAATCATAAAGCAACCATATATATATATATACATAGATAGATAGTATATCTTGCTGGTTGAGAAACCAATGATGTTGAAAAATGGTTTACCAGGGTTTACCATGTTTTTTTTGGGGGGATCCTTAAGCTGCTTAACGAACATTCCAACTGACCGGAGGTGCTCAGGGTGCTGGAGGATGGTCTCGTAGAACATCTGGAGCCCGTGGCGCTGTGCAGCACGAGCGTTGACGATGGGCGAATGGTCGCCCAGTGGCCACCCAGGGAGTGCCCAAGAGATTTCGTGGCTCGGTGGCGCGTGGTTTCAACTGGGACTCAACTGATGGGACTCAACTGATGGGACTCAACATGTACTTCTCAGGCATGATTTGAAACATCCAGTTCTCAGAGGGTCCAAAGCAAGCTTGCAGTGGTCGACAGTTGAAGCCAGACGAATGCGCTGAAGATAATTGTTCTATTGTACACGGCCTATTTCTATGGTCATTTAAGGTAGAGTAAAAAAAACAACAATACTAAACACCACAAGAAATATGGCCATGTGGTGGGTCATATGTTTTTTCTCATCCAAGATTGAGGCTCTTTGTTGCAAGGACCAGTATCTCATCGTGGGCAATCAGGCGCCGATTTTTTTGGGGGGTTCTTCAGCGGGGTACCCCAAGTTCTCATCCAAGTGAATCCAAGTTTATTTTGAATGTTACCCTCTGGTTATGTCAAAATAGCTATTGAAAATGACCATTAAGAGTGGATTTTCCCATTAAAAATGGTGATTTTCAATAGCTATGGTAAGTTTATTTTGAATGTTATTGATGTTTAAAACAAAAATCTAAATGGTAATAACATTACAAGTTTATATATTGAATGTGTTTAATCATATTTTTTAATAGGCACACCAATTAATTACACTAAATATTTCACACTCATCTAATGGTGATGAGAAGTTGTATTAAAACTCATACAATAGTTATCATCTATTGGTTATTGACGGCTTTTGACAGGCAAACCAATGAGGCTTGGGGTTGCCCATTTTGGGGAACCCTCACATGGTCATGATTTGAGTTTTGGAGCCTGTGTTGGCATTCCATTGTTCAATTTTGCATCAGGGTACCAGGCTTTTGAAGCCAAAATGGTATGGTATTGCCATGGCTCAAAATGATCAACTCTACAATCAATTCCCCAAAACGAATTATTGAAGATTGTGAAACATATAGCAAACATGGGATATTCATATGAGTCTTTGTATTAAACACTCTTAAGCATTGATCACAATCATTTTTTGATCATAGTACTTCCATGACCCCCAGGCCATGTCATAGTCAGATGTCATTTCGAAGCTGACCTTGGACTTGGCAGAATAGCGATTCCCTGGTGGTCTTGGAGCGAAATCCTGAGCTTGGAACCTTGAGCAAGATAGGCGCGGAGGGACCCAGGGACCTGATGGCGACCTGATGACGATGGAGCGATTCTCAATGATTCGACAATCATAATCTGTGTCAAACATTGGGAGCCACGGCTGAGCTTTGGACAATGATGATGATGTCGTTTTGATGTCTTTGGACTGGTCGAGTTTTGGTCGAAATGATCAATAGACACATCAATCAACCGCATAACTGAAAGTTAATGCAGCATGTTTTGCTGGGTGTATCATGGAGGAAAGTAATTAGATGATGGAAACAAGTTGATGGAAATGGAAAGTTGTTGGAGGATGCAACGGCACCAGCGGCACCAGGTGTTTCAGTCAGCTGCTCGGCGCCCGCCTGCATCTTGCCCTTGTTCTGAGAAAAGGTGGTCGAGATAATTGCAGTGCTCGTATGTTGAGGGGTGGAGATGATGGTTGCTGGTTGGTGAAATCTGTGGCATGGTTAAAACTTGGATTAAGTCCTTTTTCTATCTTTATTCTCGGATTTAATTGGGGCATGGGAATAATGACAATCGTTTTTCCATTGGGGTTTTGCTATACCAGTTTATATGTGTTTTGCTTCCCATGGAATGGGATAGATGACTGCAAACATCCATAAACCACATACAATGTTTTGGACATGGTACATATGTGTGAAAGAAACAAGAAATAACTGGTTTTCTGGGGATCATACCGCGGCATACCCCCATATCCACTGTGGTGAAGCACCATTTCGGTTGTTGGAAATATTCATGTGTTGGTGGCCCATCACCCGTTTACAAAGGTTACAACCCCTGTAATTCGCAGGATGGGTTGCAGCTGTGCCTTGCTGCCCCCACCCATTTGGCTCAAGCTGCAGTATCATGATGCCATGGGCATGAAGAACCCCCTCCCAGTCTGGAGCAACATCACCAGATTGAGACACGAAGGTAAGACTGGGCCCACAAATCCAGTGGTTATCAGTGGTTCCCTTCCCAGCCTGACCACTTCTGGCAGTTTTCAGGGCAACTCACTCCATGAGATTGACAGCTTTGGTCTTTGTTTTTCTGTCGTGCGATGGTGGTTTCGCCACCCGCTAAGAGAGATTCATGACTTCTGGAAGCCAAACACAAGCCTATATGGGAAAAAAGCATACACAATATCTATCTTCACCATGTTCCATCCTCAGGAGCTTATAATCAGCTTCATCAACCAGCATAAAGATCATAAAGTAGAAGGGTAATAACCTCCAGCTGTGGGCTGCGGACACCATTTTTCGGCAGCTCTTTTGGAGGTCGGGGCTGGTCGTTCTGGCTGCAGATCGTAGGAATGCGGTTCCAATGGGGTTCCGATCCCGGCCACGTGGCAATCCAACAGCAGCCAAGTGCCAAGTAGTTGCAGTCACTGGGAAGTGGAGTTGCCAAAGTCACTGATAGTCACTGGGAAGCTGGAACACACTCATTGACTCATCGTGCTCTTCATTTGTGAATTTTTCTGTGTCTTTTTGCAGGTCATTTGAGGATAGGCTGATAGGCTCCCCAGCAAAATCTGTCGATCCCTTGCCACAGGGGATACTCCATCGTTTGCCCCATGCGTTGAGGCTGCAGGCGTGGGATTGTGGTAGCCTCCTCCTTTGAAACAGCTGGATATAGCTGGTTGGTAATGTTCATCCCAAGGATGATCCATGGGTATTGATTCACAACCAACTTAACGGATACTTCATTAACCTTTGTTGATGGTATCCAAATGTATCCGGCAGAAGTTCCCAGTGACTAGACTGGCGGTTGTGTTTGAACCGTGCTTGCTGCAACTCTGGGGATTTGCACCCAAGCTTCTGGATGTTAATTGGATCTGGCTGTGGTATGCTGTGCTATAGCTGGGAGATACGGTGTTTCCGGCAGAAGTTGGGAGAGCGGCCAGTCACAGCCACTGATTCCTCACTTGAGCCATTCAAAATGCTCCTGGTTGATTGGTCACTTGGTCGGAGGTTATACTATGTTATACTAACTGTTACTAACTGGTTTATTGGGGATTGTGATAACCCCCACCAGGGATACGCATTTAGCGACTGTTATGATGGGAAAGGATAGGGGTATTTTTCGTTGCTCACTCAAGATGGTCTTGAACAAGGTGCCGTGAGAGTAGGTTGTTGTTCTCTTCCGTGTGAGGTTCGCTCTATACTCAACCAGCTGTGTTCCCAAAACTAGAAAGTTGTTGACGCAGATAGAAAGTGGCAGGTTGCTTCAAAGTGTTTATTGATGTTTATTGTTTGTTTCCTTTACACCTTGAAGTTGGCATGGAAGTTGGGGCCCTGAATTCACAAACACGCGCAGAAATGATCCACTCAAATCCAGCCATGGTCCAGGAATGACTTTCCATTGGTCAAAATTGGGATGAGAATGCCCAAATCTCATGGCCTATCATCATGGCACCGACTTTCCGCAGCGACATGGGCTATCCTTTGGGCTATCCCCGACTTGCTTTGAGCAGATCTCTTCATCCACCGCATCAGACGTGGTGAAGCTAATTCTGCAATATTTCCAAACCATTCCAGAGCCTTTTTTCGGCACGGCAGGCCTCAAGTTTCTGGTCATGGACAGTGAAAAGGAGGGAACCCAACCTGCTTGGATTTCCGTATAATTACTACGGCGGCTATGTATGGCCCAACACACATTTTCACTCAACATTCATTGGATTTTGAAATCCCAAACATTGCAACATGTGCACATCCAATGGTAGCTCTTTTTGAGCCATACCCAAGTGGGTGATGATATTACCTCTGGTCAACTAGCTTTTTCAAGTGGACACTCCACCATTTTTAGCTTCTGATCCATCAACTTCCAACTTCCATCTTACACGATAAACCAATTCCTTGGGGGTTCTTCTGATGCTAAAGCCAATTCAAACACATATGATAATTACTCACTGCCAGTAGATGAGTAAGTCATTGAGAACCGTGGTTTTCGAGGCACACACACAGACACAGAGGCTTTTTCAGTGCTCAACTCTGGACAACTTATCCTACAGTGGTTGCATTCAAAGAGATTTGGCGACCCAGATCCAATGGTCACATTGCTCTTGATCCAACCGCTTGTGCTTCATTAGTGCATCCCAAAAAACTGCGGATGTCAAAGCTTTTCTCCTGAGCACCCCAAAACTGACATGGAACCCAACCAATTCCTTTGGAATATGTCTGCATTTTCAGTTTTTTTCTTGATTTGGAGTTTCTTATGAAATGCCTGCGCTGCCTCTTCTCCTTGAGTTGCACCCCTTATCCGCTGCGGCAGGACAAGTATGACTACTTGTTCAAGTTCATCATTATTGGTCGAGTGGCTGCATTGGAAGCAGAGTCTTCTGAGTTTTTCGGATAGCATAGGCTGCATAGGTGTGAGAAAAATGAGCGATTTGTGCATCAGTCTCATCCCTCTCTCATGCGAACCAATATCTGACGCAGGTTTAAGCGCGAGATTCCGCGAGATGGAAACAACAACTGCTGGTCTAGGAGCAAGATGGAGCAAGTACGTATCAGACATACATAGACCTCCTTGATTGGTTTTTTCGGACTGTAACTCCATTTTGGAGTTCATGGACTGGAGAAATTCTGTTCCCAAGGTGATGCTGGTGCGGGCAAGTGCCGGACACAGACGGAAACCGGTATTTTTTTTCGGGTAGATGAGGAGGCTGAGCTTGAAGCAACTCCACAAACGTAACATGTCTGGGTGGGGTGAAACATGGGTTGATCATGATTGAGTATGATGACTTATAATTTGGATACAATGATACAACTGACAGGAACTACATACAACTGATCAGAATTGTAGCCTGACCCACATCTTTCATGGTTTCAAGTTTCAAATATTCATTCCTTTTCCATCATGACCAGTGGCGAATGCGAGTCGAGGTCCTGTTTACTTCACCAGTTCATCGACAACAAGTGTCCCGACACCCAGCTCAGTCATGCATTGGCATCTCGGCATCTCCGATAAGTTCATCATTACTTGATGTTCTTTACTTGGATATTTATAATATGATTACATAAAAACAGTTACATGTACCACAAGAACTTATTGATGTTCCTTGTATGGTTACATGATGTTACAACACATAGCTGACATAGCAGCTATCATTGAACCTCATACGAATGAATAGCTGGAGCCATGAAAAGCCACCGCCTGTGCTGAGTCAAGAAAGGGTCTTCCCACACCATCGGCGTGGAGTCGGGAGACTCTCTGGTGGGAATGGCACTGGTCCGGTGATAGACCTGATGAATATGTTTATGTATGTTTATGTATATATATAATTATATATATATGAATATGATTGTAACATATATGGAGTTGGGTTTTTTGTACCTGTACAGCAAAGAATTACCAATTACCATGTTGTCAATGTCATAGATGAAAGAAGTTCGCCCCAACCCGGACGTTGCTCCACACTTACAATCATCATCATCATCATCACCACCATCATCCTAATCATCATCTTTATCTTCATAAGGGATCAAAATTCGCCACCCCCTATGAGCAATATGTAGATTGGGGTAATAACATCATCTTCATCTTCATAAGGGATCAAAATTCGCCACGCCCTATGAGCAATATGTTGATTGGGGTAATAACATCATCTTTATCTTCATAAGGGATCAAAATTCACCACCCCCTGTGAGCAATATGTTGATTGGGGTAATAACATCATCTTTATCTTCATAAAGGATCAATATTCGCCACCCCCTATGAACGATATGTTGATTGGGGTAATAACATCAATTTTATCTCCATAGCCACCTGAAGTCAGACGCGGAGCAACGTCAGGGTTGCAGCGAAGAAGTTTATGCTGTCCCCGAACCACAGCGTCCACAGTTTTTGGGAACCGCCCCTAAGGGGACCCGCATTCTCATGAGGTTCCTATACTCTTTCCATACTGATTTGTTTCCCGGAGTGATAAGGGAAAGGTTATGGGAGAGGGTCCCATCAGCTATGTTTGGCTCATTTGCAGTTCATGTTCAGCATGGCTCACCAGATCAAAGCAATAAAAGAAATCGGACTCCTTTATTGGTGGTCTTCCTTCTCCATTCTCCAAGCAGGCAGAAAAGACAACTGGCAAGCATCGAGTTGTTCTTAGCTAGCTTAAAACTATCTTGAGCAGTGCGCATTGTAGCAACGGGATTGCATATGGTACTCGTCATGACACCCCATTTTGCATTTGGTTTACAGTATACTGGATTTATCAGTATTTGGTATACATTGCTTATATCTTTCCCCATATCTGGTATACCCCTGTCATCTGTTGGATTCCAGATTCCGTAGAAAGTGTAAAAGTCGAGACTCTGCAGGAAAGCTAATTTAAATCAATCCACTGCGATCTCCTCAGCACCATGTCTATAATATATATAGTAATATATAATGGTTATTACCCTCTGGTTATGACCAACATAGCCATGGTATAGATGGCCCTAATCGAAATAGATGGTTTACCGAACTTAAAAATGGTGATTTTCCATGGCTACGCTAAATAACCAGATGGTAATATTTAAACAGGTCCATGTTGAAATATGATGCTTGATGTCTATGCATGGTTAACTTTACAAAATTCTCTGTGTGTGTGCGCGTGTTGTGTTCAGGTTTGGCTCCAAAGTCATCACTGTTGGAGGTGCTGGTGGAAAACTGTGGATGGGTTATGTGGTTTTTCTGGTTCTGGTGAATGATTTTTGCCAACAAAAACTGGCTTGTTCAGTGATTCTTGCAGGTTATTTTCGGCAAAAATGGGATGTTCATTGATTTTGCAAAGAACAATGGGATTGAAACAGCATGTCATCAACATCAGAGGGACTTTCAATAACACAGTGGAATGCATAGGGATGGGTCTATACCTATGGGACCATTGGTTGAAGGGAAGTAAAATGCGTCCAAGAGCCGTTTCGGTGTGATCCGCAGTGTAGTAGTTGAACTTAACTACCCATAAATCTCATGAATTATGACTGTTTCGATGATGGGAACTCGAAATGGCAATAAGTTTATATATGTTTATAACATATATTGTGAGAATGTTTTTTTTTTAAGATGGGGATGTTGAACCTGTGTATTTACTGTAATGAATCATTTATTCGTGTGCATGATTCTCCTCTGCAACCGTCCCATCCTCTGCAGTGGCAGGTCGGAACATCAAACTGCAGATTTGGGACACGGCCGGGCAGGAGCTGCCGCGATAAAAACTTCACCGCTAGATGGGTGGCAGGGACATACTCCAAGAAGCAAGCTCTACGGGAGACGGGTGTTTGGGACATGTTTCCTATTGCCTGGTGTGTTGTCCCTTGCTCCAGACCGAATTTCGACGCTTGCTGCGTGATGAGGTTGTTATGATCTTGCCAGCCGTCTGGCTTTTTAGTTTCTGCAGGTAGGCAAGGCTTTTTTTCCACCTCATCCAATCCCTGCTCAATTTTTTTAGTCCTCAGGCATGGTGTTGCATCGTTGGATAGTGGTGGTTTCTATGCTCTGACTGCAAGAGTCTTGCAGGGCAACAACTTTGCCTCCGAGGTTGCCCGTGCATGTGAACATTCAGACCTCAAAGGCACAGAGGATCCAAGCAGGATCAAGTGTCCACACGAAACCATTTCCACCAAGACGTAGCACCCGCACAACCTGCCACTTTTGGCATCTCTTAGACCCTCATTGCTGGCAGAAGCCTCGACTGTTGCGGTTCGCGTCACGTCGATATTCGCGTCAGCAACAGGAGACTTCCTTGCTGTTGGGGCCTTAAGTGCAGACTTCCTGGGCGGCACTATTTCAAGCGCCATCGCCACCTTTGATGTCGAATTCCTTGCCAGCCTGCCTCCGGCTCCTGCTTGCTGGAGGCCGTTGAGGCTGACTGGCTGGCTCAGATTGCTGCCGTTACCATCAGCAACACCAAGACCGGTGAGAAACTGAAAGAGATTTGGTCTTTGCCGAAACTGAAAGCGGAGAGGCAGGCATGGCAGCACTTGCTGAGGAAAAACGCTGAGTTTGCTTGTGGGATACTCTCAAGGGTTGAGTCCTAAAAATTGGCGGAAATCTTGGCAGCTTTCTTTTGAAGGGTTTTCGCAGATCCGTGCTTTGCAAAATGTCAGGTGCCTCTTCGGATATCGTGTGCACAAAAATTTCAAGCAGTCACCTCAAGCAGGAACAGTGTTTTTCAAATTGCTGTGCAAACTTGGCGTAGATGCGCTGAAGATTTAGATTTACTGGTGGAATTCATCAAGACAGTTTTGCCAGCGGAAAGACTGCTAGAGCTATGGCGAGTGTTGGTTTCCCAGCCATTGGCTTTGACTATCCTTTCGGCAAGTTCCCCGGAGACTCTTGTCCTTCTGCTGAACATCTTGCCAGAAGGGTCAGAGAAGGTTGCGAGTTTATCCGCAGAACACGGATCTGCCCTCAATGGCCAGATCTGCAGCCTTGGGCAAGGCCGACAAATGTCGATGTTGGCACGACCGCCAGAATTTCTGCATGGTGAAGCAGTATCTTGTGGTTCTTGGTACAGGCTGGGCCGCCAAGGATCCTCACCGAACTTCAGGGCTGTGAAGTACACGGTGGAGGTGACGGAAAAATCGACGAAGTGAACTGTCCCAGCAAGAAGTAGCTGCCCGCAAGGTCCAGGTTGGAAACGATTTTGTCGATATTCATAGGATTTTCTATATATAGGCTTGAATAGTGAGGTTTGTGCACTACGAATTCTACATTTTCCATCCTGCAGTGCCCATCAAACTTCTGAAATAAACCGAATAGCAGTTTTCGCGGCACTGCGGCGCTTGGGTCGAGCCTTCAGCTGTCCATTGATGGAAGCCTGGCAGATCCTGGCGGTGTGGTTTCAAGCTTTCCATTGCTTCCGCTGCTTCCACTGGGAACCCGTCATAACCCGTCCTGTCCTAACAGTCCTAACAGGATTATGGATTGATTATGGATTGATTATGGCTAATATTTTGAGTTTTCACAGTGACTCACAGGATTTGTTCCATCTTGTTCCAATCTTCGGTGGATGCCGTGTCATGCCATCATATTCCTACCATTGCAGCGCTACCAGGAGCGTTACCGTTCGGTGACACGAAGCTACTACCGCGGCGTCGGAGACTCAGAGACTGGCAGCGGAGGGATCTTGGAATGGACCGTTTTTTTTGGTTCAACTCTGAAGCGGTCACAATTGCCATAGTCTTTGGATATTTTTTTGACTATGTGGTATATAATGGTATATATATATGTATATATATATGTATATATATATATATGTATATATAGTATGTATATAATATTATATATAATACTTAAGTACTGTTTTGATGTTTTGGGTGTTTCTGAAAAAAGCGCCGTTTGTTACCACCTTGCTGCTGGCGCCAAAGATCTATTAGCACCATGCAACTTCCAAGAGGAATCACCTGGCAACGGAATCACCTTTGATTGGTTGATGTCCTCGAAAAAATCTTGGTCAAAAACTCAAGCTACCCATGTTTGGGATGATAAATCCTAACACCGTCACCAAAATATTGCATTTGTATGATTTTGTATGATTTTGTATTGGGTGGGCTACAACCAACAACAACCACCAAGATCCACCAAGTAGATGCCCATCATGTGCTGCAAAGGCTGCAGGTGCTCTGATCGTCTACGACATCACCAATCGCCCCTGGGCAGTGATCCGATGATCCAAAAAAACAACGGGACTGCGAAGAAAAGCTGCCATCGTTGTGATGGGAATTCGGACTTCCAAAAAATAAAGTTTAGCTATTTGTGGTTCGTATGGACAAGGTTCACAGTTGTCTTTTGGAAGCAGCCTTGGAAACTACTACATGTATGCTTATCCTCACTTAGAAATGGCTATGTCTCTTCAAGTACTCCGAGAGTAACAAGTCCGAGAAAAGGACAGTGAAAAAGCTGGTGGACGGTGGAAAACTGACATTTCACTGGTACTCGTATTAGCCAACACGATCCATGGCCCGCAGCTCAGTAGGGGTCGAATCCGAACATAACCATATCTGTACTGTAACGACAAAGTTAAAGTCTTGTCTTGGGACCTGGGTATCCTCATGTTGGTTACATATGAAACTTATCTTATGATCTAATGATTATGTTGTATCCATATATCTAGTATATGATCTAATCTATATGAAGTATCATTATGTTTTGTATCACCAGAAATCATATGTGGGGTTCTCCTCTATTTTGTCCCAGGCCCAGGCAAGCGATTCGTATCAAAAATTCATCCCAGGTGATTCCTACAATCACTTGGTGAACTGGTTAGCTGATGCGAGGAGACGGGTGGGTTTCTAGGGCTCCACCCATCACCTGTTGATCATGGCTTGGCTCAAAAATTCAGAAAATCCGCCTGGGTTTAGAAAAATCCGCCAGGTTGACACTGTAGATTATTGAGCCATTATTGATGATTGTTGGATCTTGATGGATCTTGATCAAAATCCTCATCAAAGGGTCAGTAGAGTCATTGGTTTTTCTGCATTCCCCAGCTGCTTTCAGATGGAGCAACTCATGGATCCAGTGGCCACTGGGGTTCCAGAAATGGGGATACCCCAATAGCTGGATGGTTCATTTCATGGAAAATCCCAGTAGAATGGATGATGACTGGGCGTACCCCCATATATCTGGAAATGCCCAATATGTTGCAGTAGATATCATCTATCATTGAAGTCTACACTAAAGTACCTCTGGTATCACCAGGTACCGCAGCGCCCTGTATCCCTGCACCAACCAGGACTCTAGCCAGAGCTGACATTTCCATCATCACCGTTGGTACGGTCCTTACTGTAAAACATCCCAAGCCAGGCATGTATAAAATGCCTGCGCTCATTGGATGTTGTTTGCGGGATCTGAGGCTTTGCCAGTTTGCCATTGCGATTGGTTTTGAAACGATGTACTTTTACTGCAGGAATTCGATGGAATTCGTGGCTAATGGTGTTCGCGCAAAGCAAACAATTCCACAATGGATCGAAGAAATCGTACAGTGATGGATTATCCCATCAATCACTTGATTTAGCTGATCGCATGCTTTCATCCAACGTAAGGCCCAGCCATACACCCTGTTCACGAGACACTGTGACAGGGTGTTCTGCTGGAATACCCTTCATAGAACATCAATGAACATCATATACTATCATATACTGTAGAATCATAGAACTGCTTGGCTGGATTCAAACAATTCCATACAAAATTCCTATGATTTTTGGGGTTTCTTTATTTCAAATAAGTATCCCTTAAGAATTCCAGCCAGATGTCCATAGTTTCTCATCATGTATCCCTTAAGAATGGCCATTGGCTGGGTCAAACTCCGAAAAATCAAGGTAACAAGGTCGACCTGAAAGAGAAGCGGGTTGGGAGACCTGGGGACCCAATCGCTTCTGCAAACAGACGGGGTTGTGAAAGTTTTTTCACCATGAAACATGTGGCAAGAAACCCATCCAACTAAGTTAGGCTAGTGGTTTTGCAAAACATGACAAAAATAGGCCGAATTCTCTGAAACATCTGAAACGGGATAAACAACGATCCAAAAAGGAAGACGATTTTATGGCTTTGCCTGACGTGTGGAATGAAAAAAAATCTGAACATGCTAATTACACATATATATATATACATAATTACGACATAAACTAAGCATGGGATATGCAATCAACACTATGATACTGGTCATTTTTATAGGAACAAATCATGAAGACACAGAGGATTCATTTGGGGAACCCCATGATTTTGGACACCCAAATGAGCGCGTGGTCGGACCGTGGTTGTTTAAAGCCAGCATCCTCAGCCATGTCATGTCAGCTCACAGAATTGTGGTCAATCTTAAAAGGGACCTTTCGCAAGAAGCTGTAGAATTATTTGTTCGAAGGTTTAGAATCTGGTAAACTAACATAGCTATTGAAAATTGCCATTTATAGTTGACTTACCCATTAAAAACGGTGATTTTCCATAGTTATGTTCTGGTTATGTTAGTTTACCAGAGGGTAGAATCTGTGATAGATCAAAGATGTTTTTATATATGTTTTTTGAATCTTAGCGTTAACGAAGCGACCTTCGTCTGGAATGGTGGAATGGCATTATTACATTCATCCGCTGCGGCCTGTAGGAAGTGACCTTTCTGGAAGCCAGTCGTTGTGCACAGGAGAATGGTGGTGGGCACCCAGTTGGTCTGAGGGTAAAAAATCATGTCATGGCGGATGGGGATTTTACAGAGGTTGGCAAAATGTCCCGTTTTCGGGATTTGCACATCACTTGAACAAGTATTTGTTGCAGATGATGTTCCCTTTGTCGTTGGGTGATGCCAACAATTAGGACATTTACCAACCCCTGTTACTAGTCATGTTAGAGTGTAGTATAGTGTAGTGGGTCCGCAATGGGACAACAACATTCCAGGGCATCAATGGGCAGAAAATAATTTGTGAAACAGATGATAGTGTGGCAATCGTCTATGAACTATTGAAAATACAGAAATACCTAACCCATATCAGGGAAACCTATCAACCAACTAATATTTCCGCGCTATGTTATGTGAACAGCAGCAACCGTCAGCCTGTCACCCGCTGAGACATCCTCTTCCTGGAAACCAGCGCCTTGACGGGCGAGGGTGTCCGGCCAGCCCAGCGGGTGATAACATCGCTGGGGGCAAACCTGGAAAGCCCATATCTTATGATCAAATCAACGGTTTCCGATTATAAAAGATATTCCGGGCTTCAACCGCCTTAAACCAAATCATTGATTGTTTGTCGGAAATATGAGTCTTCCACTTTAACGTGAAGTCGTGATGGCATAGGAATCCACAGTCGTCCAAGATTGTGGTTGGGTATCCTGGTGTCATGGCCATCCTTTTGGGTTCGACTCGTCCGAAGTTAGGATGGTATTCGGTGTTAACGAGCGACACATACCTTGCATCCCATGTCTGGTACCCATTTTTTCGCCCCGGAGAGCTGGAGCCAACCTCAGTTGGAACCTCGGCGGGATCAGGTGGAGGATGTCTTCATCAAAGTGGCTCGAATGATCCTCAACAAGATTGAAGATGGTGCGGCTGAATGGAGCCGAATGGTGGGTCACACGCTGCGTCAACGCACCCAAAGTGAGTGAAGACCCTCATTCTTGAGGGATGGTTATCTTAGTATATCTTATAGTCACTTATAGTATGTAGTTATCTTGTCGAAAATCACATGCAAGAAACACATACTGGTTGGTGGTTTGGAACGTTTTTTATTTTTCCATATATTGGGAATAATCATCCCAACTGACGAGCTCATATTTTTCAGAGGGGTAGGTATACCACCAACCAGCATAGAATATCATAGAACTATCCTTGTTCCACCGGCCGTGGCAGGTCTCATTGATCCCCACAGCATGGTCAGGGAAGCTCAGGGCAGTGGGCACATGGGGATGTTGTAAAAATCAACGAGACAAAGAGCGGAACCAGTACGTAAAACAAATATATAAACATTTCTTGTTTTGTTGTTTTTCTTTTCGTATTTGAACATTGGTATTATCATAGAATTGGATGATGGGAAAATTTACAGGAAAGCCCTATATTTGATGGTAAAAACCATGGTTTCCTGTAGATTTTCCCTTAAACCAATCCAATGATATTATTTAAGCAACCATCTGGCTATCATCAATTCATGGCTGGATGAAACTCATCACCATCTGCCCAGACGTCCAACATCCATGCCGGCGCGCAGCGCTTGGAAGGCCGGCAGGGAAGCACTGGGTTAAGCTGGTGATGGGCTTGTTGAATTCCTATATCTTCATACATGTTCACACATTGTCATGGTTTAGATCCTGGGTTTATCTGAACATGTTAGGAAATCCCACCAATTTCCAGAGTTTATGATCATTTTGCCTATAAAATTGCAATTTGATTTTTGGACACACCCATCATATATTCAACCTTTTTTCAACAATATGGGGCCCCCAACAGGCTAACCAGTGAATTTATGCTGGATCCTGGTGGATATGAATCAACAGGATGGGTTTATAAACCAACTTATTTAATCAAGGGACCATAAAAGCAAGAAATGGAACATGAAAAGCTGTACCAATGGTCACCGGAAACAGATATCTGAGCTATCCAGTGGTTTGGCGGGAGCGATTGGGAGCTAGGGGCTAGGGGTATCCATATTCCCCATGCATGGAGAGCCACTTGGAGCTACGAAATGAGTTTCCCAACCACATTTCTTTTTTTTGGGGGGGTTCCGATGATAGTTTTCAGATGAATAATGACAATAGACATGTAGCTGGAAGTGGTCAAGTAAGTCACAGGCTATCCCAGCTGCTTGAGCCCGGCTCAAAGTTATACTGGTCATGTACCCAGATGCAATGTGATCCATCCCCGATAGGTAAGTTGGTTTACAACTTATAGGTTTACTATGGTTTATGGTATATATATATATATGTGTTAGAAAAAAAATATAGATGTGTATCACTGTATATCATGCATTCATGCTATATCTTTAGATGGATGTGTGTATGAATCAATTTGTACTCTGAGGCCCCATGTTGTCTCTACTCAACAGGTTCCACCATCTTTACCCTCTGCTAGCTTAACATAGCCATTGACTGATTCTCATTCGTAGATGATAGATGATTTACCCGTAAGCATTGCCAGCTTCCATGGCAAACTCTTAGATTGCCGGGTTTTCAAGTTTCTCTGGTGCCGGTCAAGCAATTTTATTTCTTGAAATATTAATTTAACATAATTTAACTAATAACAGTTAATATTTAGTAAGACATAGTAATACAGGATATATATATATCCCATATATCCCATTTAATATTTAAGTAAAGTGTTCGTCAAACATGCTTTTTTGCCGGTCAGATTCACCTCCATAGCACCTGGTTGGGACCGTACCAACCAGGAGCCTCCGAGTCATCGGGCAAGAGCTGCTCCTGTTGAGGCGCTGCCGCCCTTGGAACGGCTTCGAAATGGAATCATGGTTACCGTGGTTAGTAAGGGGAGTCATCCTGCTTTAGCACCGAACTCTTCATGACTTAGGATAATTAGAAGTTAGCCAGAAATGGATCAAGATGATGAATCGCTGATTAAAACATACATTGACATACATAAACGTGGCTGGAAACTAAGAATATCTTCCGCAGTTTTTTTTTTTTTTTTTATGGGTTTGAGCATGTTGAAGAGACTCTACGAGACTCTACGTGGGTGAATTCCAAACCAACGAGCCCAAAGGAAGTCATGATGGGATGACCCTCCAGGACTTGCCACGCCCAGTAGCCAACCTGGTAATGACGAACAGTTTGCGAACTGGAAAATTGCCATAGAAATAGTGAGTTTTCCCGTTCAAAATAGTGGATCTTTCCATAGTTGTGTAAACGTATTGTAAACGTTTATTAGAGGGTATAACAAATATCACTATGGCCATGATTAGCCATGATCAGATGTTGTAATGATAAAAAAAACATCTCAACTAATGATGAATTCTACAGGGGTTTCCTGACATGGGGGTACGCCTAAATCATTCACTTTAAAAGGATTTTCCATCACAAACCATCCATTTTGGGATACCTCCATTTATGGAACCCCCCATATACTTATATAATCTTACAAAGCTATCTAATCATGATTGGCCGGTTGATTTCAGCATTGCCGGAGGACACCGAGGACACCTGGCCTGTGCAGATGCGGCGCCGAGGAAAAAGAAAAGGGGCGGTGTACCGGACCCAACTTTGAAAGCGGGGCGGTGATGGGAAGGTGGGGCCCCAAAGATAGCTCAGTTGATGATCAAGCCGTAGAATTTCACGAGGGTTTTAACACTAGGACATACTACAGTAGTACTACTGTGGATGGGCCAGCGAAATCCTGCAGCACCAATTTGGGATATTTGGGACGGTTGAACCCCCATAAATCATCGGATGTTTACCACCGTTTTCAACTGGTGCAGGATTTCGCTTCCATCCGCAGTAGAACTTCGATGACCTTAGTGGAAAGCAATCATCAACCATCCCAGTAACCGTCCGTTAGGGATTCAATTTGATACACGCCAACTTGAAACGGGATGAATTAAATGTATTGAATACTCCCCTGTGATTGGTTAAACTATAACAATAATAATAATATATCAATATATAAATCTGGTATCATGAAATCATAATTGATATACCAACAATAATAACTTAAATCATGTACTATTGGCTATACCTCACCAGAAGGATTGTGATCCTGACTAGATCTCGATTAAGACTACGTAAGATCTTTGGAATGAACCTTGAAGTTGATGAGTGTCTCCTGGTAGCATCAGTCTGCCTTGGTTTTCTTATAACCATGGCGTTTCTACATATTTTTTTTTGGGTACATCCCCAAAATTTGTCAACGATGCATCCACTTTAGCTCGGGGTGCTTTAGCCGCCTCTCAGGCGGCTTGGACAAAAGCCGGAAGTCCACATCAATTCGGTGCCCAAGGGTGGCGAGCTAACCAGCGACATTCAATATGGTCATGTATCTCACAAATTAATCAAGAAGAACTAGGACTTGGCTGATTTAACTAACACGGATGTGGACATATGTGGATACGTATGTGGATCATCAAGAAATCCAATAGGATCATCAAAGTCATCAACAAAATTGACACCTCGTCAGAATCATCAATAATCAGCGCCTGGTCAAAGTCCTGGGCGGCCATGGGCGCAAATCAAGGCTGGGCCGAATGATACACTGTGCAGACCGTGCAGTACTGGATATTTACGATGATTTGAATATATGAAATCATTATGAATTATTTGATTTGATTTAATTTGCCGTTACGCAATTGGACTTGATTGTTGGCTTTATCCCACAGCAAGCGGCCACTTGTAGATACAGCCGCAAAATGCTTGGTTTTGCATACTCTTGACATTTCAAGCTCGAGATTTAGCTCAACAAGTCGGTTCACCAGTGAGGGTACCTCGATTCATGTCCTGCCACGTGTTGATCCGGGAGGGTTACCTGATGCAATTAGATTCTATTAGATAATTAGATGAATTTCTAGCTATGATCTAAATGCTAGTTGGGTAGCAAAATACGATGGGTATCACGAGTCGTATAATAACGTATAACCATAGAATATCATGGACTCATAACCACCATAACATGGGATATGGCATTGATATGGGGCCAAAAGGGGGCCCCTATGGTGACATGTGTCAAATGTGTCAAAAGCCTGGGAGCTTTGGAAGCGTTGGAAAATCGTGATGTGAAGTGGTGACTAATATGGTTATGAAGTGGTTTAATTAATGGTTAATATGGATGATATTTATGGCTATATGTTTTACGGTTCAGAAATGGATGTTGATGGTTTATGATCAGAAAATCAGTGGATGTGACTTTGGAAAAATGATGAGACAAATCTCTGGGACTTTCCGGGACAGAATGGATTGGATTTTACCATCCGCAAGTTACCCTCTGGTAATTTAACATAGCTATTGAACATGGCCATTTATAGTTGAGGTACCCATTAAAAATGGTGATTTTCCATAGTTATGTAAACGTTTACCAGAGGGTATATCCATGAATATCCCAGTATCCCATCATTATCCCATCAAGTGCCCAACAAACAGCGGCTCGCGCATCGCCAGGGTCAGTGTGCTGCTGCTGCCCACCAAGGGCGCGCCGTTCTCGGGCAAAACCCATGGGAAACTGTCAAAATCCAATGATTTTCTCATGATGTTGCCTGTAAACATAGCCATTTTGGGGTATATTTCAAATTTTTGGACTTACCATCTTACCCAAGTATCTCAGTTGGACTCTAGGATAGTTCTACCCCGCTTCACTATGCTAAAATGACGAGTTCCAACACGAGTTCGCCAATGGCAAGATGATCAGGTGCCGCGTCCGGAGGTGTTTGGTTCCTCCCGGAGTTTTGAGGCTTGTTCCTATTGAAGAAAGATATTTGGGGATGGGTCAAAACCCTGGTACCTAGTGAACCCCAAAATAGCTGGTAAATGGATGTTCATCCCACTAAAAATGTATCTATAGGTATTGACCCATACCCATTTCAAGATATTTCAAGTCTCCATCTGCCCTTTGCCATTGTCTCAAGGACACGACCATCATTATTTAGCACATACCGTAGATGAACAAAATCCTGCACCAGTTGGTAACTATATTGGCATGAAACGCTGTAAATAATCGGATTATGTTGGGATGAACCATCTACCAACTGGTGCAGGATGTTGTCCATCCACTGGTCTGTCCAAAAATTGGGGGCCTCACAATTGCAATGTCAGGGGGAGATACGATAAGCCATCAATTTTTATCAATTTTTGGGGTACCATGTTTTCAGAGAAGCCCAAAATTTACATATGGAATCATATGGATAAAACATAACGACCTCGAATTGCGGGATTTTGATGTAAATATGGCATGACGATTAGGATTAGCCTATATAACCAGTCCAAAATAGCTTTAGCTCACGTTTTTGAATGATGATAGATAATTAGAATCTATCCAGATGCATGTAACACATGTAACGCATATACCACGCTGATGACAGGATGAGGAGCAAGCAGTCCTGGTGCGGGGTCCTGGTAAAACTGTGGCGAAACTGTTGGGAAGTTCTCTCTATTCCCTCTCTCTTTTTTTCGATTCCTGATCGGATATCACCATTGGAGAATATCATGGGATTATGAGATGGGATTATGGTGGGATGATATCTCCAACCATGTTTTCCCCCTTCACGTAACTTTTTGTGGTGGGAAAATCATGGAACATATGGGGGTTCTTTGAAAATAGGCTACTCCCCTTAAACACCAACATATAGGTGTAGAAAACGCACCATGATCAGACCATTTTCCCATAGAAACCATTGGTTTTCCGATGTTTTCCGCATGGAAATCTTCACCCATCCGGGTGCCCCGGGAATCCACCGGTGGTCACAGCAGTGCTCACGCGAGGTGCCTCCGCCGAAGTTGCAGATCGGCAAGCGCGGAGGACAAGTGAAGGCCTGGTGAAACCAGCAAGGGCCAAATTCCCTGAGAGATGGAGATTTACCCTCTGGTAAACTAACAGTTTGCCAACAGTTTTCTATCATGGCCATAGAATTTTCGTTGATTTATGTTGATTTACCGGAAATTACCCATGAAACATGGTGATTTTCCATAGTTATTTGTACGTTTACCAGAGGGTAGCATGATTTACTCAGAGTGGGGCAATGAACCAATGTGGCTGGCCATTGTGGCCATGATCTCACCCCCGACACATGGGGAAAGGGGGATGAAAATTGGGCACCCTGAAACAGGATGGTTCAATAGCAAGGAGCAAGTAAACAGTGGCTGGCTTCTGAAACTTGGATGTGCTCGTAGAGCACTTGCAATCAATTTTATATCCTGTCCAAATTAGTTTGTTTGTAGATCAACGAATAAATAGAAACCACACCAGCTATATAATGCATATCTATACAATAATAATCACAGTATTGTTTGCAACAACGGCACCTTCCCCAAATATCAACCCCAATTCTGGCACCGGGCATCAACATTTCATCCAGTGGGATCATGAAAGCCTCGTGGTTCAAGCCCTGCAAAAACAAAACCTGGCGGTGATTGCTATGAACACCCAACTTGGATTGCTATTTATTTTGGTGAATGACCAATTCGGGCTCAAACAGGTAACCCAAGGTAGCCCAGGTACCCGGACCCCATGTTTGAGCCAGATTTACTAGGTGTATCCCATAGTAACTGGGTGAATTAATTAATCAGAAACCGAAAGACCCAATAATGAAACCATCCCTAAAATCACCGTAAATGGATGTTATAAACCATCCCTAAATTCTAGGTTTGTTATTGGGCTTCCCACATTAATGAACATTATAAAAACCAGCAAAAACCAGATGAATTAAGTTATATCATGGCATTTTTGTTTGAATCTACAATCCACCCATACAACGACAGGTCAACTCCGATACTGCCGGGCTGCTGGTCAGCGGTCATGGCGTAGCGTACGGCAGCCGAGTTCTGCTGGTGGCTTTTGTCGCTGGGGATGGCGGATAAAAAAACCTACGGAGTTTTATGGAAAGTTCACAATCCATAGCTGGGATCTATAGATTCTTATTCTCCCAAAAAATGTGGTGTTTCAATTCTCCGCAAATGTACATCTAGAGTGAGAATATATGGGCAATTCATTTTGGTTCATTTTATACCTGTCACAAGTCTTTTTTTTGGAATGCTCCGTTCACCCAAGATGGATCAAGCATGATCAAGCACAGGGGATGCGTTTCATAGGTTTGGATTCCTCCCCATATTGGAAAGGAACCATTTTTGCGGGGGCTAAAATCCAGTGGGATTTTCACCTGTGTTTCGCTATGGGCCCATCTACGGGTATGTTTCAAGGGGAACTTCAGTTGGAGAAACGAATTGAGTTTCCCAATGGTCCATGATGGTTATGGACCATTATGGACGTTGATTCCCCCCAAAACGCAGATTTCTGTCAATCATGGTGCCAGCAAACCATCCCCAAATAGATCATAAAACTGCTGTGTTTTGTGGATGATAATGGATGTCCACCTCCCTGCAACATGGTATAGGTATTGATCCATAGCCATACACAGATTTGAACCATACAGCATTATTTTACATTATTGATATATATATATATACCGTTAAAATGAAAGTTAGAATGCCTCCGCGAATTCCAAATATTCCTCCCCCTCAGTTAGAATGCGGCCCGCGCACGGCAAAAAATCCTTCAGTTAGAATGCCTCCCCACCCGGGTTTTAAGTTTTTTTGTTTTTGGAGAACCCTTTGCACAAATCCCTCACTTAGAATGCCTCCGCACTATGAATATCATCAGATGTTAGAATGCAGTTGGAATGCTTCCCCCTTGAAATTGCTTTCTACCAGCATTTCAGCAATTAGAATGCTTCCCCCTTGAAATTGCTTTGCCAGCATTTCAGCAGTTAGAATGTTTCCCCCTTGAAATGGCTTTTTACCAGCATTTCATCAGTTAGAGCGCTTCCCCCTTGATGTTGCTTTTACACAAGCATTTCAGCAGTTACAGTAAAATGTGTCTCCCTTGAAATGGCTTTTCTACCAGCATTTCAGCAATTAGAATGCTTTTCTAGAAATTGTTTTTTACCAGTATTTCAGCAGTTAGAATGCTTCCCCCCTTGAATAGCTTTTTACCAGCATTTCATCAGTTAGAATGCTTCCCCCTTGAAACGGCTTTTTACCAGCTTTTCAGCAGTTAGAATGCTTCCCCGTTGAAATTGCTTTTTACCAGCATTTCAGCAGTTGGAATGCTTTCCCATTGAAATTGCTTTTTACCAGCCTTTTAGCAGTTAGACTGTTTCCCCTTCATATTGTTTGTTTTTTACACAAGCATTTCAGCAGTTAGAATGCTTCCCAGCATTTCAGCAGTTAGAACGCTTCCCCCTTGAAATTGCATTGCCAGCATTTCATCAGTTAGAATGTTCCTCATCCTCCCTTGAAAAGGCTTTTTACCAGCATTTCATCAGTTAGAATGCTTCCCCCTTGAAATTGCTTTCTACCAGCATTTCAGCAATTAGAACGCTTCCCCCTTGAAATTGCTTTTTGCCAGCATTTCAGCAGTTAGCATGCTTCCCAGCATTTCAGCAGTTAGAATGTTTCCCGCTTGAAGTGGCTTTTACACAAGCATTTCAGCAGTTAGAATGTTTCCCCCTTGAAATTGTTTTCTACCAGCATTTCAGCAATTAGAACGCTTCCCCCTTGAAATTGCTTGCTACCAGCATTTCTGCAGTTAGAATGGTTCTCCCTTGAAATTGCTTTCCTACCAGCATTTCAGCAATTAGAATGCTTTTCTTGAAATTGTTTTTTACCAGTATTTCAGCAGTTAGAATGCTTCCCCCCTTGAAAAGGTTTTTATCAGCATGTCATAAGTTAGAATGCTTCCCCCTTGAAACGGCTTTTTACCAGCTTTTCAGCAGTTAGAATGCTTTCCCTTTGAAATGGCTTTTTACCAGCATTTCATCAGTTAGAATGCTTCCCCCTTGAAATTGCTTTCTACCAGCATTTCAGCAATTAGAACGCTTCCCCCTTGAAATTGTTTTTGCCAGCATTTCATTAGTTAGAATGCTTCCCAGCATTTCAGCAGTTAGAATGCTTCCCCCTTGAAGTTGCTGTTTACACAAGCATTTCAGCAGTTGGAATGCTTTCCCCTTGAAATTGTTTTTTACCCGCATTTCAGCAGTTAGAATGCTTCCCCCTTGAACTTGTTTTTTACCAGCTTTTCAGCAGTTAGAATGCTTCCCCGTTGAAATTACTTTTTACCAGCATGTCATAAGTTAGAATGTTTCCCCCCTTGAAATGGCTTTTTACCAGCATTTCATCAGTTAGAATGCTTCCCCCTTGAAATTGTTTTTTACCAGCTTTTCAGCAGTTAGAATATTTCTCCCTTGAAATTGTTTTTCTACCAGCATTTCAGCAATTAGAATGCTTCCCCCTTGAAATTGTTTTTTTACCAGCATTTCATCAGTTAGAATGCTTCCCCCTTGAAATTGTTTTTTACCAGCTTTTCAGCAGTTAGAATATTTCTCCCTTGAAATTGTTTTTCTACCAGCATTTCAGCAATTAGAATGCTTCCCCCTTGAAATTGTTTTTTTACCAGCCTTTCAGCAGTTTGAATGCTTCCCCCTTCAAGTTGTTTTTTACACAAACACTTCAGCAGTTGGAATGCTTCCCCCTTGAAATTGTTTTCTACCAGCATTTCCGGAAATAGAACGGTTCCCTTTGAAATTGTTTTTACCAGCATTTCAGCAGTTAGAATGCTTTCCCCTTCAAGTTGTACAGATATGTGCAAAAACGCGTGTTTAAATATAATATATATATATAATCCCGATGGGATACATGGAATACAAAATCGATAATTTCGGCCTCAAAAACATCTCCCGGAATCGGTAAAAAAACTATACATAGAATAAATTACTTTACTTCGTGTGATCCCCACCGTGACATTTTTACATTTTCTTACTGGCAAATCTTCTGGCATTCTATCTGACATATCTTCTGGCATTCTATCTGGCAAATCTTCTGGCATTCTATCTGGCATATCTTCTGGCTATCTGACATATCTTCTGGCATCTGGCATATCTTCTGGCATCTCATATCTTCTGGCATATCTTCTGGCATATATTCTGACATATCTTCTGGCATCTGGCATATCTGGCATATCTTCTGGTATCTGGCATATCTTCTGGCATTCTATCTGGCATATCTTCTGGATTTATCTGGCATATCTTCTGGGCATTCTATCTGGCATATCTGTTCTGGCATATCTTCTGGCATTCTATCTGGCATATCTCATGAGGTCCGGCAGGGAACACTTGGCGTGGATACTCGCGGTTGAGGTCCGGCAGGGAACACTGGGCGAGGATGGTCGTGGTTGAGGTCCGGCAGGGAACACTGGGCGTGGATGGTCGTGGTTGAGGTCCGGCAGGGAACACTGGGCGAGGATGGTCGTGGTTGAGGTCCGGCAGGGAACACTGGGCGTGGGTGGTCGTGGTTGAGGTCCGGCAGAGAACACTGTGGATCGCGGGTCGCAGTTGAGCAAGGACAACGAGGACGACGAGGACGACGAGGACGACAAGGACGACAAGGATGACAAGGAGGACGAGGAGGAGGAGGACGAGGCAGGAGGAGGCGGAGGAGGAGGAGGAGCAGGAGGAGGAGGAGCAGGAGGAGCAGGAGGAGGAGGCAACTGACATAAAATCTAACAACCCTCACCTGGCAGGTGGGGAAAAACATCTTCCGGAATCGGAAAAAAATAACATATACATAGAATATTTCCGGCTATCCATTTTGATCCAGGAAAATAAATCTTTTCAGGTTTTTGACAGAAGCATGGATTGCTGCAGCCGCCTGTGATTCAAACCAGTTCCGCAAAGGGACAACTGCGATTTCAGCATGGAAAGTGTGTTGCAACGCGTTTTGCTGGGGCAATCGAGGGGTGAACTATGAAAAAAAAACATGTTTTGCAATGAAAACAAATGGAATTGGGTGGTGTTCCTCAAAAAAATGATGACTATTTTCACTGGGGACCTAAATTCTATGTAAGTAATTCTTCATTGGGTTCTTCAAAACAAGGGCACTCCAGGTTCCCTGCAGGTCAAAAAAGTGGTTACAGTGGAAAAAACAACAGATAAAATGCCCCCCGGAAACTACAGCAGATATAGATCAATGAAAAATACATAGAAAAAAAGGAAGGGCAAGGAACAATATAGAAGAAAAGGAGGAGGCATTCTAACTGTATTTCGCCTGTAAAATACCAGTCAAAACTTACATTTTCTTACCAATTTTGGCGCCGCATTCTAACTGTGTTTCTGCATATTTACAGGTGTTTCCTCAGTTAGAATGCGACTGCCGGGGGGGGGGGGGCCAAACGGGCCACCATCACGCGAAGCCAAAACCGCATTCTAACTTTGTTTTTAACGGTATATATATTGATATGATGTTTTTCAGCAACCTTTGGGGATCTAAACCAGAAATCCGAAATCTGGTTATATCTAGTGGAATCTTCAATGGGAACTCTTTGAGGTCACCGGATGTCATCGGCCTCTGGTGAAGATCTAGTCATGAAGCTGTATGTGAAATGGGAGAAACAATTACCCGGCCTGGTAAACGTTGACATTTTGCGAACTGGAAAGATCCAGCATTTTTAATGGGAAAACTCATAAACTCACTGTTTCGACTGGGCCATTTTCAATAGCTATGTTAAAATACCAGAGGGTATAGATTTTCTGGTCATGCCATGCTGATATAATTGAATGAGCGGTGACGACGACGACGAAGACGACGATGACGACGACGACGACGATGATGTTGATCATGTTGATCATGATGATCTTGTTGTTAGTGGTGCAGCCACGTAGGCTCCCTTGCTGCACAAGAAAGTAGGGACCCAGGGACAATATCATCATTGGCCACATCCTATGTGTAGTATGCACGGACTGGAATGTGTGACTCGGCATGGAGAGATGACATGTCTCGAGGCTTGCTAATTGCGTGGTGGAGCAAGATTGCGCATATTGGGAGGTTCGAGTGTGCCTTGGCGAATTGAGATTAGATTGATCAAGTCATATCAAGTCATATCAAGTCATCGGGTACTACCTTTGAATGGTTGTGAATGGTTGAATAGTGACCATGACCAAAAGACATGTGACCAACAAAAGCTGAAATGTTCCGAAGGCGATGGATTCAATGCCACTACATTCCACTAGATCTTGAAGGGATTGAAGGGGTTGAATCGCTGGACACAAATTGCTGCTGAACCGGGGGTTCAATCCCAAATATTTAGTGCTACTGAAAAACAGCCAGGCAGCCAGCCCCACATCTCCCAAGAACTTGAACCCCAATGAACCCCCAAATCCCCAAGTTCTTGCAGTTAAGCTACGTCAGGCTCCCATTCTTCGGATTTCTTGACCATTCCGAGAACATTTTTACCCAAATGAACATCCCAAAAACATAGAACACATATCAACACATGGTAAACAAAACCTCCAGTTTTCCCATCCAACTATTAAAAAAAACGTGGTGAACAACCATGAAAAAACATCCAGTTTTTCCCCATTTTTTCTGGGTGAACCGCTTCAAAGGTTGGAGCCGGGCAGCTCCTCCCGAGCCTTCTGCGGAGTGGCCTTGGAGCTAAACGGGCAACGTGCGCCGCGGGCCAAAGTGCTGGCTTTTCCAATGGGATATGAGATACTGGGTATATATATATATATTTATATATATATATATGGGTAAATTATAACGATCTCACTGCGACCTCACTGGAATCATGGTTAAGAAGAGGAATCATCCCCAAAATGGCCTTAATTCAGGTTAGTGAAACATTATAATTTACCCATATATATATATATGTACACACATATCGCAAATGGATATTATGATATGATGATTTGATGATATTTAACTAGATAATTTGAGATTTGATTTGATGATTTGATGATTTGATACTGGATAATGGGATATTATGATATATGATATATGATATGATATGTTATGATATGGTATGATATAATATGATATGATATGATTATATCTCTAATACTGGGTTTTCATGGGTTTTCTATATCTACTATTCTGGAGATATTATATAATATATATATATTGCAAATGGATATTATATGATGATATGACTCTAATACCGGTTTTTCATGGGTTTTCTATATCTACTATTTTGGACATATATTATATAGCAAATGGGTATGATATGATATGATGATATGATGATATGACTCTAATACTGAGTTTTCGATATCGAATGATATATCTACTATTTGGATATGATAGCAAGCCCCAAATAGTAGATATAGAAGATAGGTAATATACAGATACTGTATATATTTATATACATACATGAATACGATATGTATAATATATATATATATGTTTATATAGATAGATGTAAGCCCAGAATAGGCATATCATGGGATGATTCTGGATTATAAATTATAGCACCCCAAGAAGATATAGAAAAGTTACGGAAACCTGGAAACATATGTGGAACACTATATCATCATGGACGCACTTAGATTCTAATCAGGAAGTATCATACTATACAATAGGATTATTGACTCCATAATGATACTTCTATACTTCCATGACAGGCAAAGTATGGATACAATGAGCATTATTCTATAGAAGTATTCTATGAAATATCTATAATGCCTATTGTGGGTACTTGTCAAGGTTCACTATGGTGAACTTAGGTTATGACAGATACATCGAATGAGTGAATCTACAAAAATAATGGGGTTTTATATTGTTTTATACAAACAATAGAACACATATCATTACAGCCACAACACATCATCAAACTGTAGATGTCAGTTGACAATAGCTGATGTGTACGCTGTTTAAGGATATAATTTGATACAGCAGTATTCTATGACATGCACGTGATATTCTATGGGATTTATATCTTTGCTTTGCAAACGCATCAGATGGTCAACATTGGCTGATAGTGGTTCATAACATACCAGTTGATAATGGAATAGGCGACATTAGTTGTGGCAACCCTCCGGGATAAGTGGGATATGATCACCACCATGTTTGGAGATACTCGTATCGTGAACGAATAAACTCGATACAAAATGCCCTCCCCCAGTTTTAAGTTTGTTTATGAACCCATCAAACTAGTTTATATCCAACATAAACCCTATGTTATTTTACAAACAATTTGTATCTCCAGGGGTTCCCTTTCTATTGGGAAAAGTCAGTTCTTCACTGGGTACTGTTTGGTTCAATTTGGTTCAACAATGTCGCGTACGAACATTGGGGAACTCCAACAAAAATGGTTTTGTTTTTGTGAATGATGGAGCTTTAAGGCATTGGCTACTGCAATTATTGTTGAAAAAATGAGTTACCCTCTGGTAATGACTGACATAGCTATTGAAAATGACCATTTATAGTTGATTTTCCCATTAAACATGCTGATTTTCCATAGCTATGTTAGTTTACCAGAGGGTATTTTCTAGTATAATCACTTGAGGTAAAATTCACAGCTGGAAGGTCAGTTAATGTTGTTCTGTCGGGATTCTTTTAGAGTATGTTGCTGGATGTTGCTGGTATGTGGATCCCATCACCCAAATCTTATGACCGAAATGACACGTCCATTTTGATGCGTCAGATCGTTGACGGCTGGCTGCACTTGAGCTAGACCAGTGAAGAAATCACTTCCGAAATGTCTTTTTCATGGCACATTTATATATATAAGGAAACGATGGAATTACCAGCCAGATATATCCAGATATGAGGCTTTTCTGCATATGTTTCCTCAAACCCAGGGATTTTCCATGTTTGTTCTCTCCGGTCAAAAACTGGTCCTCACAAGTATCATATTTCTATGAACACTTCAGTTCCAAGAGGTTGGAGCAGCTGAAATGCTGCGTTGGCAGGTTTGGATTCCAAGATTGGAGATGCTCAAACTTCATGGGTGACTCAGCTGAGAATGAGGGTCGCCCCCTCTATATGTCTACATGTGATGTGACCTACGGAGAGATCAGATCATATCGATCCCAGGGATTGAAAATGCTTGGCAGACCAAGAAGGTATATTTATACTTTCATACACTTTCTATATACTTTCTATATACTTTCTATATACCCTCTATATTTCCATCATTTTCCATCATTTTCCATCCCCCAGCCGCCTTTTTTAAGGGCTTTTTACACCACCAAAAAAGGACGTCATGGGATAGCCAAGTTTTGACCACGGGATGGTCCGTGACCCCCACCAGGGCCTAGCTTGAGCTGTTTTTGGTGCCTAGCTTGAGCAAAAAAAACATATTTTTATAATAAACAAATTACCAGCTTTTTGAATCCAATCAATCCAATCAAACACCCATTTCTGAATTAGCTATATTAGCTTTTTCTGTGATGTATCAACCAAACACCATTTTTGAATCATTAAAAAACACCCATTTCTGAATAAACACCATTAAAAAACACACCCATTTATATACAACACCATTTCTGAATGGGTGTTTTTTAATGTGTTTGGTAAGATCAATCCAAAGGAAAATCCAGAAAAAAATCGGAAGCAAATCTGATTCATCTTGCCAAGGCATTCTTGTCAAGTCATTATTTAAAAAAGTCTTGTATACTAATCATGCGTAGTATTCCTTGGGATGTGCAATTCTTCTTTTCAGCTGTGAAGCCTTTGGAGATGTAAAATTATCTTGTTCTTGTCCCAGTAGAGCGCAGCTGGACTTCTTTGAAAGGAGTGTTACATACTGTATTTCCAAAGAAATGGTGTCATTGAAAGGATTGTTACACATTTTCAAAACATTGTGTAACTTTAAAAAGAGGCAGCTGATTCAACTTTCTTTTTGTGAGTACAGCCTTTCCTTCAAACAAATGGCGTTCCTTCCAAAGAGATGGCAGCTGGGTTTCGATGAAAAGGGGTGTTACATTTTTTTCAAGAAATGGTGCTACTTTCACACATAAAGGCCAGCTGAGCTTCTTTGAGAGGAATGCTACATCTTTGGAGGATACACTGCATATTTTGACACAATATTGTTTCTCTTGTTTAAACTCAACTGTTTAAATCGATTGTAATTTTAAGTTAAGTATTCAACCTTTAAAGAAAACAGCATCTGTCTGAAGGAATGTTGCTGTTACCATGATAAAGGAAGAAGACAGGCATACTGCACTTTAGAACACAATACTCATTGTAGATAACAAATATTGTTTTTCTATAAAAAGAACCCAACCTTCACAAAGAGATTTCTTCCTGAAAAAAAAACATTTGATTAGCTCAAAAGCAACCACCAGCTTATGAATGACAACAACTTTTTTGGTTGAAGTGGATGCTTTGTAAGGAAAACTGCACTTCTTTGAAGAACCTCATTTCTTCAAAGCAGCTGGGAATGTAGCACAGGTACAAAACTTAATAGACTATATCTATATATACACATATTTCTCTTTGGGCAATGAAAGCAAGTGAAAAAAAATGCATTGCCTGATATTGTTTGCAATGTTGCCTTTAGCTCAATGTGTTGCATCTTTCTGGTCAACTGCTGCGCTGCGCAGCTCAAACTCATTCAACATTACATGTACTTTCACTATTAATTAGAATATAATTTCAAGGAAACATTATATACATATATATATATATATGTACTTCCACCATTAACATCTATTAACTAGAATATAACTTCAACGATGACAGACTGCACCATGGCAAGGCATTAGTGTGAGACCAGCTGGCTACAAACAACATATTAGCATCAGGTTGTTTGGTGGACTTTTGCTGGCCCAGCGCAGAATGCATTGATGGCACTGTATCAAAGGTAACCATTTCATTGAACATGCCAATAAGCTGTTCAACAAATCAGGGGGTTGCCCTCCCTTTCTAACAAAAGTAGCTTACTTATTTCAATGGAAGGTAGTACTGTAACACAATCACATGGAAACACTAGAATAGTGTCTTCACAGACCTCAAAGAAATACATGTCTAGTTTATTAGTTTCGAATGCATTTTGCCACAAGCCTTTTCTAGTCTAATGGAGGTAGAGTTTAGAGTGCTTTAACCACCCAAATAGCGATGCACATAATATATTTAGATTAGATATTAGCTCACCACCTCTTCCCCACAACAGAAAGAGTAAACATGCAAACATTTTGGATGACTTGTTTTGGGTTGGGTTTTGGAAGGGGAGGGTTAGCAAGGAAAAAAAAGCGAAAACCGAAAACAAAAAAACAATGCATTGGAGAGCCTTCTCCCCTTCCCCCATCCCAAAGTAGGTCTCCCAAAAACTTTGTGTTTTTTTTTTGTTGTTTTTGCAGATAGCAGATAGCAGATGGTTGACCTCGCAATGAAACAGTCAATGTAAGAGGAAAAAAGGAAGGCCCTGGTGGGTGGGGTAAGCATATATATATATATACACACTATACATACGTATATATAATATGTATATACCAGCCAGTTAAAATAGATTCATATCGTGTTATATTATACCATCTGGTTATGACTAACAGTTTGCCATGGAAAGATCCACCCATTTTTAAGTTCGGTAAACCATCTATTTCTATGCGCCATGGCTTAACCATGGCGAACTGTTAGTCATAACCATCTCTGCTCCGATACTTCGCCGCCCGAGGCGATTGGTGGCGACTTGCCGGGGGGGCCGTTGCAGAAGGCGCTTGTTGTAAGATCGTTTCGGTGATCCGGTGATGGTTTTGATCGTTTCGAAGTGGGAAGATCTGAATGGGAAGGGGTCAAGAGGAATTCATGGAATAACACATGATAAAACATGATAAATAGCCAGAACATCGATGTAGATTCGATGTTTTTTCTGAAAGCAGTAGGTTTTGACCACCAGGTGGACCCCAAAAAGGGAACTGGGCTGTGAATGTTTGGAAGATGATATCCATGTCGAACTCCCTGTATTCTAAAAACATTTCTTTACCAGCAGGTTGCAACCTCAGCAGTCTTTCCAATAACAACTTTTGGTAGCTGCTCACAACTCAGCTGTGGCATCGATCGAACCATAAGGACAAGGCCGGAGGCTCTTTCTTGGAGCAGATCGAAATGGGACGCATGGTTTACTGTACCACTCTTGAGTAGTTCAGATCTAATATCTAATCTAGATATACAATGATATACATATAACATGTACATACAGAACATATACCTGGATTTTCATATCCAGATGTTGATTACTGCTGTTTCTTCCATTTCGTGGTCAGGAATTTGTTGCTATCACTCGGTAAACTTTGGTGAAGGCCAATCAGTCGCTATGATTTTGTGTACCGCGGCAATTTCTCTGCAAGAACCACATCCGCGTTATCCATCACTATCCAACAAAAAATCGTTTTTGACTTGGGATTGATAATCCAACCAAATTCCCTCCATTGATCCATTGACTATCCAAAAGTGGGTCAAAATCATATCCCATAATTCATTGATATCCTATTGATCATCCCATGATTGGATAGTCCCATTGGTTAGTCCCATTAATCCCAATTAGAAATCATAAAAATTGATATTAATCCCATAATATTAATCCCATTGATTCATGGATAATTACCCTCTGGTAACAAACTATGGAAGATCACCATTTTTGATGGCTAAATCAACTATTTAACAATGGTCATTTTCCAGTTCGCAAACTGCTAGTTTACCAGAGGGTATCCATGGATTATCCCACCTTCCCATCCCGCGGTTCTTTGAAAGTTGGGCACCGGGCCTTGGGGCCTGCCTCGACAGGACGAGATCATTGGGGTTGCCTTCGGTCAGGGGAACATTCCGAATCTCAGGTGAGCTGCCAGGTTGAGCTAAGCGGTGATTCCTGCTTATATATATAGTAGTTACTATATATATAATATAGTAGTTAATATATAATATATATGTTACTTACAGTACTATAGATGTTACATTATTACTTACTATAGATGTTACATTATTAGTTACTATAGATGTTACTATAACCCTTAAATACATAAATCAAACCCCCAAAAGATAGAGCTTAATATTTCTAGGATGGTAGTTCAATGATGTTTTCGCAGGTTTCCAACTTTGTGGCATTTTTGTTGGTGGTTGCTCTGCATATACATATATATATACACATATCTCCATCTGACATACTTATAGTAACCCCATTATAGAAAGATAACCTGATAAACTCCTGGGAAAATAATGGCAAGTTAGTGTATGTGTTCATCTTAGAATATTACATGTATACTTTGGCATGAAACAGACACGTTTGTGGGGATTAAGGAAAACAACATCCAATCAGGGCCGAAGCAACAAATGAGAACCGGTGGATGATGAAATACGGAGGAGCAAATGGGAGCTCGCGGTGGTTTCATGGACATAGTTAGCAAATCCCATATGTATTATTTGGGAACCCCGGAGTCAACAACCAGAACCAGGAGGTTTAGGGACCCTGCAGGTTGTGTTAGGGAGTCAAATCTTGCACAAATGGGGATGATTGTAAAATGCGAAGCATTGACTTATCGGCTAAACAAGACTAGAATCAAACACACATTTGTTGGATATGAGGAGCCAAAAAAAATGGAAATACCTGTAAGTGTCTTTTTAAAGTGTGTCTCTCATCACCCAATGTATCCAGAACTCGACAGGGATGGTCGGTATAAGCAGGTGACTCATAGAATAGTCGACAAACCAGTGATCAGAATGATCAGAATCGAATCTCTGAATCACTCGAATTCCTTTATGCTTCTGAAGACTTGAACTGACCTTCACTAGAGGGATTGTTACCCTCTGGTAAACTAACATAACTATGGAAAATCACCATTTTCAATGGGAAAATCCACTATAAATGGTCATTTTCAATAGCTATGTTAAATTACCAGAGGGTATCTTACTTGATCAGCTAAAGCGCCACCGCTTCCCACCACCGATTCTTACTCGATTCTTGGGTCTTCCGCAAGCAGCGGTCAGGTTCTTCCGAAATGGCAAAGAGATCCCAGACACCGAAGTTCTCCGTATCCGCGGGGAGGTGCTGCTCCTTTTTCAAAACGGCCACGTTGTTGGGATATGTTGGGATGTGAAATTTGGGTTAAGCAACCAGTGACTTTACAAAGTGACCCAGTTTTAGACCTATGAAACATTGCAACAGAAAACTACAACTAGCGTCAACAATAGTAATGCAGTTAACCAACTTATGTGTTTCTTCGGCCCTTTGCAGCTTGATTTCTGCGCGTCGATGGGTGGATTCAATCATCGAAATTGCGATACCAGGATAGTGATGCTTCATTAGTGGATTTCGGATACCCTCTGGTTATGTCAAAATAGCTATTGAAAATGACCATTAATAGTGGATTTTCCCATGAAAAATGGTGATTTTCCATAGCTATGTTAAATTACCAGAGGGTACATGATGTTCCAACATGTTCGCTGCAACCCCCAGGTTTGCCCGCGGCCAATCCCGCATATCCTTTGACATGCTCAAATCCCTGCGCAGGGTTTAAGTTTTTTACTTCCCAAAACAACAAACACCAAAACCCTAAAATCTAAAACCCTAAACCCTAAATTAAAACCCTGAATCCTGAAAACTTAAAGTCAAAATCACTGCGTATAGCCAGTGTTGTTTGAGTGTGGGCGAACCAGGGGGTTGTGGGGAACATGTTCAAACAAACCATAACAAACCCACATGCCTCTCACCAAAGACAGCTGTTGTTGCCATATCCCCGGCTCAGTCCATCCCAGTCCTGTTTGTTGTTCCCTGGAGGTGTTTCCCGCGGTGAGCGTTTGCGATGGTGCGGCCACACAGTTGCTGATTGCGGAGATGCATTGGTGTACATCAGTTGGTATTTGTGTATGCGATGTACGTATGAAATCATGTGAAGTAATGAATTACTGGTGCTTAGCAGGGAATGAGGGGATGATCCACAACAACTATCAATAATCATCCCATTCCCCCATTCCCATCCATTCCCTACTGAGCACCAGTAAGATGATAAATGTAAATGTTTTGAGATGAACATAGAGATGAAGGTAACTCTATAAATACACATGAGCCTGGACATGTATTAATATGATATTATTATATACACAAATAGACAGCAAGTAGGGTTCCTTTCGGGCGTTCATTCATTGTTGTGAAGATGTTCTGTGCGTGGAAGAGCATTCCCGCAAAAATTGAATGGCAGTATTTGTTGAGAAATTGCAGCCCCATAGCAGATAGCAGGCATGTTCCTTTCAAACAGTGAATAGCCAGTTGATCCTTTCTCCTTTATAGCAAATACCCTTAGTCAACGACCGCTGAAGAAAAAAGGATCTACTGCATTTGTGGGTCCCAAACACTGGTGGCATGGGATATTAGGAGTAATTATGGGATTAATGAAATACTAATGATTCAGCTCTTTGATGGATTAAAAGCAAGATCCGTCACACATTTCTACTGAATCCCTTCCCCTTAATAATCCCTTTCCCCTATAACTAAACCCCCCAAATAATAAAAACTAGGGTCTGTCTCCAATTTTGAAAATTTGAGGTTGGCCAATTTGATTTTTAGTTGATCCCCTTTAGAAAACAATTAAAACATGAAGCTACCATTTCAGGCTTTCACCCCCTAATAATAAAAACTAGTCAACCCCGGGGTGTTTTTTTATTAGGGTCCTTCTTTTGAGATCCAAAAAAACACGTATTTTATATTAAGGTTTTTGATTTAATGTTAGGGGAAAGATTCGAAATCCAATTTTTGGCAACATGTTGATTAGAGTTTAAAAGGAAATCTAATCGATTTTGATATAGAAAAAAATGTTTTTTATATTAGGGTTTTGAATTAAGTATTAGGGGGAAGCTTCGAAATCCAATTTTTGGCGATATTTTAATTAGAGTTTAAAAGGAAATCTAATCGATTTTCAAATAGAAAAAACTAGTTTTTTATATTAGAGTTTTAAATTTAGTATTAGGGGGAAGCTTCGCCTAATAATTACCCCCTAATAAAAACTACCTGAGGTGTTTATTATTTTTTGGGGGGGGTTAGTATTCGGGGGAAGGGCCCAGTTCTGGCAGGGTATCAACTCTCCAACGATGAACGACGCATGTATCAAGCATTATTAATGGATACTAAGCATTATTAACCATATGACTGGGGGACGGGATTCTTAACCAAATTGGATGTAGTTGATTATACATACATACATACATACATACATACATACATACATGCATACATGCATACATGCATACATGCATACATGCATACATGCATACATGCATGCATGCATGCATACATGCATACATGCATACATGCATACATGCATACATGCATACATGCATACATGCATACATGCATACATGCATACATACATACATACATACATACATACATACATACATACATACATACATACATACATACATACACAAACATACATACACAAACATACATACACACACACATACATACATACATACATACAGACAGACAGACAGACAGACAGACAGACAGACATACATACATACATACATACATACATACACAAAATATACAATGTTATATAATATCTATATTTTATTATATATAGTGATATAACCCACGATATAGTGATATATATGTCCCAGTCGTTGTGGAAACCAGGACATTTTGCTCCATTTCTCCGAGGCGCCGAGCTGCTGCTGGTCTTTGACGCTCCATCCTTTGCACACGAAGCTCCAGGTGGCAACAGATCTGGCTCCACGAGAATCGCCGTTGCTTACAAGGGAAGAGATGATCCAATTTATATATCACTATACTTATGTTTTTTGGAATTAACAATAGTATTTACCATCTGGTGATGACATTCACAGTTTGCCATGGAAAGAAAAATCACCATGCTATTAAGAACGGTAAATAGATCACCTATTTCTATAGGCCATTGCTTAACCATGGCGAACTGTTAGTCATAACCAGAGGGTAGATCTAGTTAGAGGTACTGTAGGTTTAATTGATATAATAGATATGATAGGATCTAATTATTGTAAATCTAACGATTTAACTATCTCAATTTGAGGGAGTGTTGATAATGTGATATTATAGTGATTTATTGATTTGTTAATTAGTTATTAGTGAATTGATTATTCATCATATTAACCACTTGCGTTATTTTGTGAAGATTATGATTCCATCACCGGAAACTCATCGTTGGCTGTGTTCCTACGTTGCTGTATCCTGATAATTGCAAAGTGGTGGTTATTGGCGATCGAATTTACCTATCTTCACTAGAAATTCTTCCTTTTTTCCAGAATAAAACTTAAATAGTCATAGAATTTCATACAATTTCACCCTGCCCTTCCCTGAAATGTTGCCAGAATGTTGCCATCATCGGATGGTTTTTTTTCCCCCCGGATCTGATCGATTTTGGCCCGCTTGGCCCAGCACGGCTGTCCTCAATACCACGCTAATAGCAATTATTGTTGGTTGATATGGGTATGGGTCAATATCTATAGATAATTACATTTTTAGTGGGATGAACATCCATTTACCAGCTATTTGATGTTCACCAGGGGTACAAGGTTTTGACACACTGCCATATCAATGTTGATTGTATGAACCACCCATTTCCGTGAAATGTTTGTGACATATCTTTCAGTAATCCCAGTGTGTGAAAAAAATCGCCAATTTGTGGTTGATCACCATCTATGTACCACTTCCCTTTCTCGATTGTTCCCCATTTTCTCTTCAATCTCTCGGCACGTGCCGTGGCAGGTCGACATTCGGCCATTGTACCACCACGGAAGATGCTGTGAGCACGGCGAACCGCTTCGATGATCCAATTGAAATCAAGATGCGATGTGATTCCGTAAAGTGACCCAGAGAGTCAGATATTTTCAGAGTGGTATCTTCCTGATTTTCTCCGTAAACCATCACTTTTATTTATGATAGTCCATGATCATCGATCCTTTTTAGTGGATATCTTCATGTCGTAAACCTGCCATGGTCACCATCCCCAGTGGTGGTTTACGATGATGTAAAGTGACCCCCCAACGGGCTCATGGGATGGTTTTCATGAAACCGAGAGGCTCCAGAGGCTCCAAAACTTATCTTCCTGAATGACAAGTTTTTTTAGATCATCGTTACTTAAGATGTTCTTTGAATATCTACTAAATGCTTAGTGAATGGTTTATAAAGGTTTGTCAATGTTTAGTACATGGTTGGTACGGATGCTTTGTGACAGGTTTGGATTATTATGGATTATTGCTTGGGAATAATACACAGTAAATGTGTAGGCCATTGGGTACTAGTGGGCCCCCTTCAATTTTTGGAATGGGTGATATGCAGTGACAAGCCACTGATTGAATCCAATTACCAAGATTGAATCCAAACGATCCGGGATTGAGGTCTGGGAGATCCCCAAATCACCATGGGTTTCAATACTCAAATGGTCTAATAACTTGGATGATACGGGGGTAGCCCTCCATTTTAGGAAAGCTCAGTATGTCTGTACGGAAAAGTAGGTGATGTCATATCACATAGATTCTTTGGAAAATGGACCAAGTCTGTCCATGTCTGGCCTTGTTTAGGGTCCGCTAAAACCATGTGGCATAGACGACCTTCGCCTCATTTAAGAGGGGTCTGAAGGCCTTGGATATTGAAATACTTCTTCCACTTTCAGGGGTGAAAAATATGGTAGCAGCAACATGTAATCCACATTAAGTTGGCTTTCCCAGCTGTTAATTTCCATTTATATATGTGCAAGGGATTTCCAATTGTCATGTTTGATTGCCGGAACATAGTATTATCATTGAGACAAACATATCTGGCAGGAAGTGGGTGAAGAATGAGTCACCTGAATTAGTCTAATTCCATCTAAGAGCTGTCAAGACGCTGGGCAAAAAAAGAAGGAGCAGCGTGGTTGAGTTGAATTCATCTGACTTTGGTGACCCAAGACCGGGTTTTCCAACTGAAATAATCTGGTTGGTGGTTTGGAACATGGCTTTTATTTTTCCATATATTGGACATAATACTCCCAACTGACTTTCATATTTTTCAGAGGGGTAGGTCAACCACCAACCAGTAATGCATATTTCAATTGGCTTTGGATTTCGCTGATGCGCCATTTCCTTGCACTGACCTTCAACCAGGGTGTTTTTTCTGACGTTGGAATGCATGGTTGATGAATAGGTGTATGCTGAAGCATCTCAAGTGACAAACATCTGAAAATCCGAGTATTTCACTCGCCCTCTGGAAATTGAATGAATGGGATGTATCCTTTTTCAAAATCCACTGCCCGGCTAGTTCGAATTTCTTGAACCATCGATTTCAGTCGATAGTATCATATCCTAAAATGATGACCAGGGACCAGGTAATCGTCATTTCACTATATGTTTCAACAGTCAAAACTCCCATAGCACTGGTGATTGCAAGCCCTTTCGGTTGCTAAGAGGGCCCCGTTGCCTTGACTCCAATTTTTGTCGAACATGACGCCATGAATCTTGCTAATTCCAGTATCATTCTTGGTAATTCAATGGAGGTTTCCTAAAATGGGAGTCCAAATCATCCATTTTAATTGGATTTTCATGGATTTTCCATTATAAACCATCCAGCTATTGGGGTACCCCCATGACTATGGAAACCCCCAAATAGTCAATCTATGTCAATCTCCCCATTCTTCAATTCACTCCCCAGCATTCTGCAGATTTCTGCAGCTGAAAAAGCTGTGGGATCGTCCCGGCACCGTCCTCGGCTCCAGAAGTAGACGGCTGCAGCGATCAGCAGATTCACCAGTCGAGTTTCTCGCAGACAGCCATGACAGGTGCCATTCTGTGGCTGTGGCGGCTGTGACGGATATGAATGGATATATGGCCAGATATATATATATTAATATGTATATATATATATATACCTAAGGGTCAAAACGTCCAGCGAACCGTCATGAACCAGTTTGTTGTCATATTATGTCACCCACCCCAAATAACATCAAACTTTGGGGTTTTATTAGTCGCATCCAGCTCATGAGTCTCCCATGTTGATGTTGGATGCCACCCTGCTCGTCGCCAAAGTTTTGTGTTTTCAGATGTCCCCACACTTCGCAGACAAAGAAAAGGTCATCACATGCTATCCCAACTATTCCTCGGTTCTATGATTTTTGGATAATGACAAAGAATGACAAAGGAATATCTTGCAATATTTTGCATTTCATAAGTCAACATAATTCAACATCGTTTTTTTTGATACCGTTTAAGGAGGTTTCCTAAGTCATGGGGGGTACCCCTTGCATCATTCCAGTCATCAAATGAAATTTGGGAAATGTTTAATCACACCATTTTCATATCAATTTGATACTCAATCATCCCAAATGTATCAATAGTATCCCAAATGATAGACACATATTGAAGCACCCATGGTGTTTCAATATTCATATTTATTGAAATTATAGTGATCTGACCAAAGGCTGGAAAAAAAGGTTGGGATTCGGGGAATCATCATTTACAAAGACCCATGGTGTTTCAAGATGTTTCATATTCAAATTGCATGAAGAACCACTAGTCACTAACAACTTGGCTTTAGTATGGATTTTTCTTCACATACCAATTGGTTTCGATTTCTGGAGCGACCATGAACGTGTATTGAACCAGCCTGGTGACGCGAGGGGGACTCCATGAATCCGTGCTAGGCATGAAGCGCTCCAGTCGCGCGGTGCTCCTCCTTGGGGCCATGGGTGCTCTGTACAGTCAGGCCAGAGCACGGGGCGGGACGCTGCGGGTCCCATGAAATCGAATGGAATATCCCCACTCACATACCCATAGGCTGCCCATAGGATCCATGGTGCTGCTATATATGGTAAGATTTACCATCAATATACCCCCAATGTTAGCATATATACCAGCACCATGGATCCTATGGGATATGGTATTATATGGGTGATAATGGGTGATAATGGGTGATAATGGGTAATATATGGATCTAATATAGATTATAAACCACATACTAAGTGGGATGCACATCCAAGGAGAGTTGGGAAAGGGCGAGACAGGCGCGTCACTCCGTTCCAACCGTTCACTGTCGTTCCGGGTCGTTTCTTCCTCTCCTTTTCTTATCTGTTCCGTGTCCCTTCCTTTCAGTCGCTCCGCGTCACTATGAGAGGAGGAGAGGTGACGAATCGACGAACAGAGTGACAAGGAGGGACGCACGGGGTGGATTTATAATATTATAATGAAGTGAAAAGAGACCCATAAAATAAATTAATCATAATTAATCCAAATCCATCCAAATCGACAGAATGGAAATGACGACAGACACGAAGCGACAGCGACCATCCAAATCCTTCCAACCATCTCCTCGAGACACGTACGCCGTAAGTGGTGAGTGTGACGAGATAACTGAGACGGGACGGGAGTAACCATTTCCCATTGTATTCCCATTATTAATCCCATTAAATAACAATGTTTCATGAAAATGATGGATTATAATCCCATGAAATACCCATTTTTCATGAAAATGATGGATAGATTATGATAAATCCCATGACATTCCCATGGTCCCAGGGTAACGACGTAGCATCTCCTCGTCCAGGCCTTCCTGTCCGGTAGCGGCCGCCGCACGGTGATCTCCGGTGGTTTGCTGGGTGCATTAGGCGCCAAGCTGGCGAATCGGTTAAGTCTTGAGGTCTTAAAGTGGTATAATATATGATTAATGGTATATGATATATAATAATATATATATGGTATATCTAATATATATAATAATATATATGATTAATGAATGCATTTTTTCTTTATATGAGTTATAGAATAAGTATCTTTTTGATGTATAGTACATAGGTTAAATGAATATATATATATACACATTATATCATATTATGGTGATACCATCTTCATTAAATGGTATGTTTTACACATATATTTTATAGTACTACAGGGGTCAAGAATGGTTAAGATTTTGAAGAGCCGCACAAACCTAGCGAAATACTGTCGAATTTGGCTGGATGGGTCCTCTGGAGTGCATCCGAGGAATTGCTTTGGTATTGCTGGCAGGGTGCCACACCCTCTATACAAACCATGTATAATCCAACCAATAATCATATCATATACGTGCCAAACGGTTTCTCGCCCCACAAAAAACGTGGCTTCCTGACTTCATATTGTTGAAGTTATCTGACAAATACCTAAATTTGCACCATCATTGTCACCTGGTTTACAACTACGTTTTGTTTGGAAAGTATATGACTGTAATGCTTCGTTGGATGGTTGTCGCACCGAATGCCCCTATGGTCTGGTTCAAGTCATGTTCATTTGGTATGTCATTGGGATAAACATGTATAAACCCTGAAGATGTTAATATCTGATCTATTTTGTGCATACATATTTTATATGATATGGTCACCATCCGCCGCTTGGGTCACCGGATGTCACTGGAGGTCTGTCGGAATCTGCGAAAGCAGCCAATTTTCTGGGAATTCCCAGCATCCCGGGGCCATTTGAGATGAATCCTAAGGATGCAGTGGTCATAGGCGCCCGAAACGTCACGTTTCGTTTCAACATGTTTCAACGGGTCGTATTTTTCTTGGGATGATTGGGACTTTGGGATGATTTTTGGTGGCGTCGTTCCCCCTGATTTTACGTATTAGATTTATTTGATGTTCATAGTCTCATGGAATTGCGAGACAATTTCTGATGTTGTTGCCGGATTTAGATGGATTTAGGGGGAAGCACCTTGTAAGTATGTGACATAACCTGATCAGAAACATCTGGCAAACCCTTGATGACGAGTGATCTCCCCATCTTTCTTTGTGGAGGTCCCTGGGTTTCATAGGGTTGCTGGAATCCCAATGAATTTCATGGATTTTACATGATTTTACCATGCGGTAATCCAACAATATCGAACATATAAACATATGGCTATGGATCAATACCTATATAAACCATTTTTAATGGGATGAACATCCATTTTAACCCAGCTATTTTGATGTGAACTACAGGGGATTCCATGGGTTTCGACACACTGCCATATAGCAACGGAACATCCACCTTATAGATTTTTTTCATTAACAACAGCATTTATAGGGGATTTTCAAGCCAGCCATGGAGCTGATGACCCACAGCTGCTATCAATTGCATGATTCTTTGCTGTTCTTGATTGACTATTTAAGACTATTTTAAGCACATACACACTGTTTGGCATTGTTATAGCATGGTTATTTCATATGCTATGAGTATATGTATGAGTACCATTAAATTGTTTCTGGCATTTTCTCACTATTTACGACCTACCAGGCATCTTGCGGAGTCTTTTTTCGCATCGCCAGCGACCTCAGGTGATGCCAACGATGCAAAGATCAAGGAGGCCAGAAAAAAGGCCGGTCGCATTCGGCACCACGGTGGATTTCAGCAGATCAGAACAGACAACTCAGCTCCCATGACGGATCCATGGTGCTGCCATATATGGTGTGCCATGGATCCCATCAATATACCCCAGTCATGTTAGCATGTATACCAGCACCATGGATCCGCTTTAGGGCTTTAGGTGGATGTTTTTTCTAGATCTGACTATGGCGACTGAATATCCGATCCATATGACAGCGATGAGGGTTGGATTCCATGAATCTTATTGTTGGAAAATGTCATGTTTATGGACATCTCCAACAATAAACCAACAAATTATTTTCCAAAAAAACAGAAACTAAACCTAGAGTGAAATCTCCATTTTTGCCAATGAAACCCTCGGAAAAAGGTCGAAGAAAAAAAACATCGTAGGTCGAGGACCTGCAGAAGCAGGCAGAAGATGCTTTGGACAAGTTGGAGAAGGACCCCCAGGTGCTACGGGGGATATATTTGGATATGAATGTTAGTACAGCAATAATCAACCACCATCAAATACATATATATATATATTGATGGTTTTTACATGTTTATCCATAAAAGTGGTATAATTGAGGGATTGTTTTCTATTTCTTTACTGACCTTAATATGGATGGTGAACATTTAGGTGGACTTAAAATGATTTCACCATCAATAAAACAAACAAATTTCAACAAGTTGTTGATGTCACAAGTAGTATTACCAATTTTTAAACACCAAAAATGGACGATTCAGTCATGAAAACATATATGAAAACGTTGGAGAATTGACTTATATTGATTCATTCAACGTAACACACATCAAAAATAATTTGGTCAAGACTCAAGACTTAATATGACTTAATCATCTAACATGGAAGGTCTGACCAAGAACAATACTGGGCTTTCACCAGCAGCGCTTGTGTGTTTGATCAAGTCCCAGTTGTGGATCGTTTTCCCATGTATTTCCCACATGGGATTGGTTCTGGTGGGAAAATCTCCAGGAAACCATGGTTTTTCCCATGAAATATATTTTATAGGGGACATTTTTGGTTTCAACTTCAACTTTTCCTTAATCTATACGTGTGTATAATTGTGTATATATATATATACATGTATATAATAGTCGAAAAAGCACACATAAATGCTCATTTGAGAGATTTCTGCTTTAAGCGTTTTTTTCTCCAAATGAGCGTAATTGAACAACTTCATTTTTGCACTTCGTGCATTTTGAATCCGAAACTATAAGCGTATCTTCCCGGGAAATAACGTAAATACCCGGGGAAAAAGCGTAAATTCCCGTCCGTCAAGACATAAGTGCGCATTCTTTCTTTCAGTGAGCATAAAATGTCAGAACGAGCATAAGCAAAAACTGCTCGCAGAAAAAAGGTGCTAATTGAAGACCCAGGTATAATCCAGAGATATCCAATGATATCATTTCCGAGGTGGACCTCAGTTACATGATCACTGACTTCGGCATTGGTGAGCTGCGATTGGTGCGGCCCTCAACAGACCCATAGCGACGGATCCACGGGGGTTCAGAAGTGACACGAACATATAGTGGTTCATAAGCGATTCAATATTCCCTGGTTTGTGGTTTGGAACATGGCTTTTATTTTTCCATATATATTGGGAAGAATCATCCCAACTGACTTTCATATTTTTCAGAGGGGTAGGTCAACCACCAACCAGGTTTTAAGTCATGATTTTGTGGGTGTGAAAGAACTCACGAGAACTTTTCAGATTTTTTTTGGGATCCATAGGAAGTCAACATCTTTCATATCATCCTCTGGCAGTTTGGTATAGCTACGGAACATCACCATCTTTGCTGATAAATCATCTATAATTTGACAATTCCCACAACTACACTAAATTACATTAAATTACCGGAGGGTAATTATCATGTTGTTGTGTACAGTCCATGTAGACCTACGACTAACCTGCGTTTGTTATGCTGTTATCCAGGTTTTGACACATACGTGAGTCCTTAGATTGATTGATTTTCCATGCTCGGAAACATCTTTGGAAAGCCTCAGTTTTTTTTTCCAAATATCTCGGCTTTCCTGGAAACCAATGCTGGATTCCAGATGATAATTTTGGGAGATTCGGCGGATTCAATCAACGCGCGGTACCATTGGAACTGAAGCGGAACCGGAAGCGTTTCAGATCACACGACCAGCTATGTGTAGTCCTATTACAGACATACAATAAATTATACAAACTATATATTTTATCATATAGATGAATCATTTTTGTGATTAATATTAATGAATCATATTGGCATGACATTGTTTAGACCCCAATTTTCACCCAATCATGGTGGATTCTCGTGGATTCTCGTGGAGCCTGGCTGGGACGTTTTGAGGCAACCAACGCGATCAACGACATCATGGATGACAAGACAGCGGCAGCCACCCAGCGCTGGCAACGTCTGATGATTCAGGCATGGCATGGCATGGCCTTGAGGGCCGGGTGATCATAGGTGATCCAGAAAAATGGAGATATGAACTGGTTTCTTCTAACGGTAACTATGGAAAATCACTATTTTTACTGGGTAAAGCCATGTAAATCCACTATTTCTATGGGATATCATGGGATATCATGGCCAGTTGGTGGTTTCAAACATGGCTTTTATTTTCCATTTCATATATGGGATGTCATCCTTCCCATTGACGAACTCCATCATTTTTCAAGATGGTTATTGCACCACCAACCAGAACTGGTTGAACACGGGAGAGGTAAAAAAACAAATCCATTGGACATTGGAATTGTTGACGTTTGCCATCATTTCGTTTTAAACACTCACTTAAGGGATGTTTAAGATTAATCTTGGATTTGTTGTTATCAATAACGTTTAATTAAAAGGGTGCCATATGGTGCCGTATCAAACATTGGCATTTTCACATCAGGACAAAATCTGGGATTTTGGCCAACAGACACGGTGATCACGTGGGTGGCTGGAGGGAAAGTCCCCTTTTTAATGGAGGTGTTACCATCTGGTTATGACATACACAGTTTGCCATGGAAAGATCCGCCATTTTCAAGAACGGTAAACCATCTATTTCAATGGGCCATCTATACCATGGCTATGTTAGTCATAACCAGAGGGTAATGGTAAAATCAAGCATAAATTGGGCATTTCATTTCCAATTGCTATGTTTGATTACTGGGTAACAACCCAGACTGGGGATCTTACCATCAACAAGGATGGGAGAAACCATGGTTCTTCCATGTCAGCCCGCTTCCGGTAAATCCGCTAGTTACCAAGAGTTTTTTTTTCTGGATGCGTGATCATGGACATAATTCTTATATAGCTGGTTGGTAGTTTGGAACATGAATTTTATTTTTCCATATCATATATTGGGAATTTCATAATCCCAACTGACTTTCATATCTTTCAGAGGGGTAGGTCAACCACCAACCAGTTAGCCTTTGAGCAACCTTTGATTAATGTCCTATTTGGATTATGATTATATCCTTTGAAATTATAATTCTGATTAATCATCCTTATATTGCTGATTATATCCTTTGAAATTAAAATTCTGATTAATCAGCCTTATATAGCTGATTATATCCTTTGAAATTAGGTTTTTCCATGTTGTTCTATTTTGGATTCCCCCAAAAAAATTACCTGGATCTTATCAGCCACACCATGAAGAATCACGGCGGATTGGGGATTTGCCAATCCTTGAGTCCGACAAAACTCAACTCCCGAAATGACATTCGACGTTGAATAAGTATCAAATAGAAAAAAACACATGATTATATATTGTGAGTTAGTTGTTCAACAATTAATTAACTTAATTAATATGTTGGTTTCTATGTTGTTTAGGAAATTCGCGATTCATGACTCTCGCTGAAGCGCCGTATCTTGAATGGGACAGCCATCACTGGACGCCACCATCGCTGACATGGCTAGGCCAAGTACCAGTGGGAGTTGGACGTTCCGTTCCCTATCACCAAGTTTGGGGCCAAGAGCCGTGGAGACGGTGGGGAGTGGGTTGTTCCATTGTCAACCAGATGGGATATTGTCAACATGATTATATAATCATTTCATCAAAGATATGATATGTGGGGATATGTATTAACAGGGATTACTTATGATTACTCATAGGACAATAACCATATGTATTGGGAAACGTATAATCTCTGGATCAATTGGCGGGTAAATCTTCATTCTAAATTTTTGAGTATAATTTAGCCATTTCATGGTGAATCATAAACCACCAGTTTTTGAGTGATTTGACCCTCATTAGATCCCATGAGTCATGGGTGTTTTCTGTTGGAAGCGGCAAGCCTATTTCTGTAAGATCCGGCCATCCAGCCGCCAAGCCTACCTGGCCCGGTAATTGAATAGATAGCTGTGGAAAGCTGAGCTCATTGATAGATCATTTACAGATTAAAAACGATGGATTTTCCCCAACAAACACGAGAGTTTGTTTTCCATTATCCCTCTGGTTATGTCAAAATAGCGAACTGGAAAGATCCACCTTATTTTTCATGGGAAAATCCACTATTTCAATGGCCATTTTCAATAGCTATATGTTAAATTTTCCACTATAAATGGTCATTTTCCACTATAAATTGCAATTTTCCACTATAAATGGCCATTTTCAATACCAGAGGGTAAGTTTCCCTCCATTTTCCGACCACATCAGGCGTGGAGAACAGAGGCCCCGTGGAGACAAGCGAAATGATCGTCACTTGGGCGGTTTTTGGAGTTTTCAGACACCCCAAAATACCTGGTTAATGATGGTTGATGACCATGGTTAATGATGGTTAATACATGTTAATACATGGTTACCCTCTGGTAAATTAACAGTTGGACCCTGAAAATCACCCTAATTTTTAGAGGAAACTCATCCGAACCAACCCCGATGACTGCCAGGGTCTATGTTAATTTACTGGAGGGTAATGGGCACATGGGGATGGGTCAAAACCTATTATAAATTCAATTAGATATTATTGCCATACGACTGGGGGAATCAAGATCCATTGACCAGCTTTTTTACTTAGGGATACTTAGGGTATCTAGGGTCCCAGGGTTTGGACTCATAGCCATATGAGTGGATTATTGCATATCATTCCATGTTCTAAGACATGTTAAATGGGATGATATGATCAACCCAGAGCATTACTTCTGCGGAGATTTCATCGGATTTTTCATTGGGGTAGAGAATGGACATGAATGGACTATCCCCCACAGAAGCTGTTGAAATATGTTGCAATAGATCGGTCCTCGGAGTTTAATGAAATCCTGTAAGATTTTCTTGCCGAATGACTGTATAATTATTTGTTCAACACCTATCATTAATGATTATATAATAGATCTATGTAAATTTAATGACCTATCATTAATGATTGCCGGTTGTTGGTTTCATGTTCAACATATTTCGCCAAAATAAGGGGCTTTCTTTGTCCCGTTGACTTTTTCGCACCAGGCCCCTTGAGGCCGAAGTTTTTTCGGGGTTGTCACTAAGATGACCGGGGGATGGGATTAGTTATCTGGTTGGTGGTTTGGAACATTTTTGGAACACGGCTGTTATTTTCCCCCAAAAAAACTGGGATGATGATCCAATCTCACGAACTCCATCATAAAAAAAATCTTTTCAGAGGGATAGGTCTACCACTACCAACCAGCTAGTTATATTCCAAATAGATTCCCATGATATATTCAACATATATTCCCATGATTGGTGGTTGCCCTTCGGCAATCCACCAATATCAAACATTGCTAGCTGCGAAATCCCCAAAGGGGTAGATTTTCCAGCACATTGATCCCATGATATTCCCATATTCCCATTATTGGTGGTGAAATTCATGGTTAGATCCCCATTTTCTATCAATTTTCGTATTTTGGTGGTTACATCCAATTGAATTACTATTATGCCTATTATAGTCCCTATTGTTGATGGTTACATCCCATTATTTTTTTCTATGTTCCATCAATTTTGTTGGTTGAATCCCAATTTTCCATGAATTTTCTTGGTTAAATCAGTTACCCTTTGGTTATTTAACATAGCCATGGAAAGATCCACCATTTTTAAGAACGGTAAACCATCTATTTCTATGGGCCATCTATACCATGGCTATGTTAAATAACCAGAGGGTAAATCCCATTGAAATCCCATTAAAGTACCAGTTTTCTCGGTGAACTGAGCTTTTCTTCGCGGTTTCGAGGTATCAAGGTCTCTTTGAAGCGATACATCGACGGATCCAAGGCCCCGTGATGCAATCCGTTGCCGGCAATGGGTTTTTTATTTGGGTAAAACCAGAATCACCACGTGGGAATGTGGTGATTATAATAAATAAATTGGGTGGTTATACTAATTATAATCAATAAGTTACCAGAGGGTACCTGGATGATACCCTCTGGTAAACGAACATAGCTATGGAAAATCACCCATTCTAATGGGTTCAACGAACTAAATCACCATTTTCCATAGCAAACTGTTAGATTACGAGAGGGTATCCTTTTATCAAAAAATATTCCACATCTTTCCAGGATTTTCCAGGTAATGTGTGTAAAACGTTGTGTCATAAACCACCCATTTGGGAATGCTAAACATAGCACCTATAAAAATGGTGATGACTTGGGATGCTGGATCCTATTGCCTTAACATTTTAACCACAATAGTATACAGTTCAAGATACCCTAGGGTAAACTAACATAGATGTGTTGGGGGAACCATGGGGTTTACCCTGGGGTATCACTTGACGGTTTCTGATTTTGACGGTTTCATTTTGGCGAAATTTAAGTGACTTAAGTGTTGGTTTCAGCCATGTTGGCTGTCAGGCTTCGATGGCAACTTGATCAACAAGAGGATAAAAAAGCAAACAGAATGAACAGATATGAACAGATTGAAGCTGTTTGGATCTGTTTGGTAGTTTGGACTATGTTGTAGTGCTGCCCTTTTCTTCCGCAAGGAGCTCCTACAGTTCTTCTAAGCACGGGATCGGAGTCAGCTCCGAGGTCCTTGGGGGTTCCTGGGTTCCTGGGGGGATTGGGGTGGAATTGTTGGATTCAGGAAACATATCGAAGAACCCTGAAAAAACCCAAAGATTTGAGGTTTCAGAAGTTTCAAGCCCTTGTATTTGGGATGATATTTGCTGGGGATGGGGAAGCTAACCAACACAGTGATCATCAACCACATGCACAGTTTAATTGATCTAATCTAAGGTCTATGATCAATTTTTGAAGGTTTCATGTGTCAAGGCTTCGCAGATCGCCCAGATCCCATTTTGGACTATTTTGGACCCCAGCCTGCTTGATGCTTTGAAGGAGATTTTGATTTGATATGATTTTCATTGATTTTCCATGGTTTTCTATAGACTGGGAAAGCGCGAGAAGACTGCCTGACTCTCCTTTTTTTCTTTAGGATTGTGCAATATTTGTCCTGCTACAATTCTTATATTATACACCCTCTGGTTATTTAACGTAGCTATGGAAAATCATCATTTTTAATAGGTAAATCATCATAAATCGTCTATAAATGGGCAAGTTTCCATGGCTATGTTAAATAACCAGAGGGTAATTTTTTTTCCATCAATACAGACAAGACCGCCAAACCAAACCAGCCTACGGTTGTCCGACTTTTTGCTCGGCCGGGCAGGACTATGAATTCCTGCGGTTAAGCCAACAATAGCAGCCTTTCTCTAGGCAGCTTTGGCGATGGTTGGCAGCTGCCATTTGGAGCTTGACAGCTGGTGAGTTCACATTGTTAGCCCTGTAATAGATAGCACCGGGGTGTCCCAAGACCGCATCCGAGAAGAATATCATTGATATCATGGAAACACATGTGTTCATGTATGATTTGCATTATTGCATGAAAACACATGGAATACGTCATTGACGTTTAAGGGTCGCCTATTTTCAGACAAACGCATATGTGGTGTCAAAATGTATACATACTTGTAATTGTATTTGTATATCATTTTTGAAAATCACTTTTTGGAATATAGTAAATGAGTAGACCATATGAATCCATATGATATGTTCCAGTTTTTTCAGTTGGTTTTAGTTTTTGCCTTGAAACACCCCCACCCATCACCGCCAGGTCACTCCTTGCGTGACCCAATTTTCGCTCCTTTCCGGCCGACGGGGCTCAGTGGAAGGCATCCAAAAACAACGGTGGCGCTGGCGCGGCGCGTCTCGCTGAACGGATGAGGTTTGCAGTAGTAGTTTAGACTACATTATAGTGGGTTTGGGACAAGACTAAATTATAACATATAACATACTATAACCCAGAATAGGGATAATTTAACATTATTAACAAAAATAGTATAATGGGATATCGTGGGATGGTATGTGGCGGCGCAGAGTTGGAGTCGAATGTTTTTTCAACAGATGTGTTGAGCTTTGTGTTGTTTGGGTCTTGTTTCAATTTCCCAAGTCTTGTTTTCTCCGTAGCGTTCCGAATGTCGCTTCCAAAACTACCCTCTGGTAAACTAACATAGCTATGGAAAATCACCGTTTTTAATGGGAAAACTCACTATAAATGACCATTTTCAATAGCTATGTTAGTTTACCAGAGGGTACGTTGGCTTTCGGTTCTTCATGACTGTTTTTTGCGATCGCTTCCAGCTTCTAATGACCCACTGAATTTGGTGATTTTGTTTGCCACCAACGTTGTGCAAAGGGTGACCAACTGGCTATGGCTCGAAAATGGGGGGACCAATTGTGACCAATTCATGCAAGGTGGTGCCCCCAAGATAGCTAAGTTGGTTTATAACTCTAATAACTAGGACTTATGGTAGATATATCTATAGTTAATGGGATTATAAACCAACTTATAACTTTGGGGGGCACCACCTTGTGGACTAACAAAATTTGTTTCCCACCTGCCAGGTGAGGGTCTCTAGATTTTATCAGAGCTGGCCTGCCCGCCTCTGCCTCTACTGCGAGCTCCAGATCTCACTTCCGGGACCTCAACCGCCAGCGCCAGATGTCAATGGGCACTGCCGGACCTCAACCGTGAGCGCAAGATGTCAGATGGAATGCTAGATAGAATGTCAGAATATACGTCAGATAGAATGCCAGATAGAACGTCAGATGGAATGTCAGAATATATATAATATATATATATAATTATAGATATATGCCAGAAAGAATGCCACATAGAATGTCGGAATACGTATCAGATAGAATGCCAGATATATAGTCAGAATATCTGTCAGATAGAATATCAGTTGGTGGGGATCACTCGAAGAAAGTATGCTTTTCATTTTTTTCTGTATTTCACCCCGCATTTTTGGGTAAGTAATTCTGAGCCATTCCCATTTTATTTCAGGTGGACAAGCATTGCAGCTTGGTGAAATACTGCGTATCGAATCGCTGCGAATGCACTGCATCTTTTGGCTCAGCTTGGGGCTCGTTCGAGCTTGTCAACCATGTTTTGAATGACAGCGGAAGATGCGAGGGTGGTAAATCATGAGCCACAGATGATCCCGTCTCTAAAGCTGGCCTGGCTGAAGAGAAACTTTAAGACTTTAGTCAGATTTGACAACTTGAAGTGATTCCTACAATAATTACTTCCCTGATAATCATCCCTGATGTACACCTGGAACCCAAACAGACAATGAATTTTGGGAATGTCAAGAATGCTGCCACGAAAGGACTCGCTAAATCAAAGCCGAGGACATCAATTTGGTACCACAGATGCGATTTTACAGCTGCAAATAAAGATTCAACTTGAAACATGGGGGGTTCCATAAATGGGGATTAGCCCAGCTGGATGGTTTCTGGATGGTTTCTGGATGGTTTCCTAAATTGAACATCCTATGAATTAAAACGGATGATTTCGGGGTACCCCCCATTTTTGGAAACCTCCATATAGAAATGATATACCATCTGGCTATTTAACATAGCCATGGAAAATCCCCATTTTTAAGTTCGGTAAACCATCTATTTCTATGGGCCATCTATACCATGGCTATGTTAGTCATAACCAGAGGGTACCCTCCAGGAAATTAACATAGACCCTGGCATTCATCGGGGTTGGAAGACTAGTTTCCATTAAAAATTAGGGTGATTTTCAGGGTCTATGTTAGTCATATCCAGAGGGTAAACCATAGTAAACCTATAAGTTGTAAACCAACTTACCATGGCTATGTTAGTCATATCCAGAGGGTAAATCTTGTACATTGGCAAATGCCAATGTCACTCTTAGACCACGCAACTCCCCAACAACAAAAATCTCCGACTCGCACCGATTCGCCGCGGTGTCGCCATGGATGTGACAAAAATCCCTTTGCCGGTCAAAGATACCGTGCCAACAGAGCGATTTACCATGATTCGCATTACCGTTCAGGTGCAGATTTATGGGCCATAAGATTTCGGGTTTGAATGCAAGGTTGTTTTAGTGTTTTTGAATTTGAAGCGGAGACAAAGATTGAGGTACATTGTTGCGGTGAGTTGTTCGGGAACATTTTTGTGTGGCACAGCCAAAATTTTGGTTGGTTTCGAAGTTTGCTGGTTTGTACCATTTTGATCCATTTTGTACTTACAATTAATGTGGCTCGGAATTGTGGGCATTGAAAAGGTAGTTGTTTAAATCAGTTTGCTTGGTCGAGTGCAGGATGACGCATTGAAGGGAAGAAAGGTTTGGGTCAATATGGCTAGATTCGGATCACCTAGCTGAATTCAGATGGAACGGCCCCCACTTAGAATCAATATGATGTGAACAGCCATGTTTGGTTTTCCTGTACATGTCAAATTTCAAAATCAAACATTGAAACACACATCACACATTGACTCTTGTTAAAGTCCCCATTTGCGTAGGTTCCAATTGGGGACGTTTGTGGCTTAGTACCGCCCATGTTTGCTGCTTGAGCCTACCAATTTTCTGTGGCTTTAAACATATGTTAAAGACCATCAAGTCCTTAAGTCAAGTGTTTTTTGTAAAAAAACATCTCAAACCATCTCGCTTTTTTCGTGGGTTTTAATGGGTCCCCATGTTTGATCCGAATCTTCCTGGATCACTTCCTGGATCTCAGGGATGCAAGAACTTTCCCAGTCGGGTCTTGAGAAGATCCGCCCGGAGCTCCGTCCAGATCAAGGCGGAAGGGGCCTGGGGCCTTCCGTCATAGGGATCACTGGGATGACACAACGGGATGAACTGAGGATGACTAAGGAATATCACAACGGGATATGTGAAAATCATGTGAAAATCCGAGTGATTTTTGTGATATTCATCATGAACTAAGGTTGTTGATCCCAATGTTGACACTGGGAATATGTTGGGAATATCACTGGTTGCACAAACATCCCAAACACCTCAAATCAACGAAAAAACGCCCGACGATCTTTGTTTGAAACCATCAGTGGAAAACCCAAATGGACAGTTGGAGGTGAGATTTTTGTTGTGTAGTCGCTACAGTGTTCTTGGGGAAGTGAAGCCCAGCTTTGGCCAAATGGGAACCAGAGGCTCCATCAGCCTGGAAAGCTGTGCAGCTCCGGAAACTGAGGTCCGGGAGCTTCCACCGAACAACCCTGAGGGTGACGCCTCACTTCCTATCCCTGCATCCTTTGAGTTTCCAAATGGGCACTTGGAGGAGCGGACGCAAGAGTTTTTTGGAGAAAGCGAAGACAGTTCTAGAGATTTCATATCATTTTGAATATTTGTTTGTAAATGACACATGTTACAAACCAGATGAACACATTTGGCTTTCGTGGGCCCAAGAATTTGTGGTTGAAACCCTTATGCGACCATCCTCAGCTCAGGACGATTGCGTTGAGTTTGATCCTCCCCGTTTCTTCCAAACGGATCTGGAGACACACCGGCCTCTTGTCGTTTAAATAACAATGGCAGTGAAGGAATCTTTGGGTCAAATATGCAGTTGTGTTTTCAACAGATGTGATTTTGCATTGCAAAAAATGGGATGATGTCAATTGACACTAATTTGTTCTAATCATCTGTTCTAGTGTGATGGCTCAACCACCATCAGAAGTAGTCCTTTACCCTGCCTTCCCAACCGAAACCCTAGTGTAACCGTGTAACCTACTGTATTGGATATATATATATATATTATATATTCACTGTTTTCGCCTCCCAAACAATAGGGCTTTAAAAGGGGGATGAAATATTTATCCCTCCATATTTGGCACACGTAGTTTAACCATGTTTGGCACACTTAGTTTAACCATGTCTGACAGCATAGCTGGGTGAAAGCACGGGGCGAACCTTGGTCTTCAATCCTTCCATGTTTTGGATGAGATCCCTGCACAGCTATTTAACTTCGCTGCGCGGTCCCAAAAGGATTTTTAGGCCAAAGGGTCCTGGTCAACATCTTCAGCTATGGCTGCCGGTAATCAAACGTGGCGAGCTTGACAATAGTCGAACTACATATGAAGGGTTTGTATGATCGCTGGGAAAGTCATGACTTTTTATCTCTCGGAGATTCGGCTTCCGAAGCTGGCACCGTGGAACCAGGTCATGGAAGTTGGACATGAAAGTCTGTGATCATTTTGGTGTAGAGGTGGCCTATGCGAAGATCGGCTTAGATGAACTCGCAGGTGGCGCATGGCGGGACGGATGGACGCATGGACCGACATGCACATGGTGAAGGGCTGGATGCCGAAAGCTTATGGCTGCAGATCATTCATAGTCACACTGGTCATTTAGATCCCCGAATTCGATGGAATAGACATATTTTTGCAGTAAGGTTCTATGTTCGGAGGTGAGAACCACAGTCTCTGGTGACATTTTCCCATTAATCCATTGATTCTTTCAGACATTTTCAGACATTGACGGATCTCGACGGCAAGGCAAAGCAACCTGGTGTCTTCTGCTGCAAAGTCCATACGACCACAATCCCCTCTACGCGACTTGGTCTCAAAGATCCCGGGACGGCCAAATGATCAGACCAGATGCAAGATTGCCCCATGTTGCCCATAATATCCCATAATTGCCTTGATGTCATTTGATTTCAAGAGCTGCTTCCAAGATGTTCGAAGCATCCTGATACTTGTGAGAAACAAAGAGAAACCGGATCTATATCAGATACTATCAGATACTTGTGAGAAACGAAGAGAAACGATATCGATCCACGTCAAATGATGCAAAACATAAACATGTTCCCTGCTTGACAAATTCAGTAGATGTGAGTCGCCAAAGAGATGGAAGCAGTTGCCAAGGCTCAACAAGCCCAATTGAGGGGCCCACTTTGTAGCTGGAAAAAGGCCAAGTTCTAGAGGTGTATGATGAAAATGTCATACTTTGGGTTTGTTTGAACATGTGGTACCCCTTGGTATCCACATGTATCCACTGGTATCCAAAATTCCAACAATGAATTTTCCGCATTCTTGGGAAATGTATCTTTTGCTCAGATGGATTAAGTTGTGGATAGCAATGACCAACTAGACAACTAAGCAGTGCCATGGCAATTTGTTGCCTGACGAGACCGGGAAGTAAACCTTGCCTGGGATTATTAGTTCTTATCCATTTGAGCAGTGTTTAACCGTTTAACCCCCCTGGTTTATTGATGAATATCGGGGATTCTGCTACACCGATCTATACCCAAGATATTGGGGAGTATCATCATCTATTCTGGGAATCCTTACCAACCGTTTTTTTTCGGACGACAGAGGGTTTTCAACACTGCGAAAATTTGTCTCGATCCATTCAGAATAGATGTTGCTGGTACATGCAGACGGCTACAACCTGAACGCAGTCAGACAACATGACTCAAAATTCAATGATCAGAGCTTGCACATAGGTTTGTTTGCGTCTTTTTTTGATGATAAAAGCAGAGACAACCAATATCAAGTCATTACCAAGAATCGGATGATGTTACATTTTTATCATTTTTACACGAAACCTCCAAAAAATGTTGGTAAGCAAACGTATGCAAACATGGTTTCATGTACTCTAGATTTTCCCAACAAATCCAATCCATTTGTTTCAGTTGAGGCGGTTGACACGGCCTGTGTCCATCGCAGCTACTTGGGACTGCAGGTGGGTTTTTCGGGTGAAACTTAGCGTTTGGAATCGGGCAAGAGAATGAAAGAAGCGATTTCTATGGTATTCTAATCTGGTTGGTGGTTTGGAATATAAAGCACTGCTTTCGAGACTAAGGCAATGCGCAGGTCAAAGTGGACAAAGTGGTGGTTTGGAATATTTGGATTATTTTTCCATCTATTGGAAAATTTTCATAAGCCCAACTGTTGCTCACTCCATCATTTTTCATGATGAAATCACTGGATTTCATCTAGGGGAAACAGAAATCGACCCTAATGCTTGGTATAACAGATGGTGATGAATGGTGATTAGTGGTGATTTAATGATGGTTAATGATGATTAATGATGGTGAGTGACTTCTAATCCCCTCAAGAAGCTACCATGGAGCCCAGTTTAGTAAACTATACTGTGACGCTCCGTTCTTTTAAGCGTTCGCAACTTGCGTGACTTGGCCAGCAGCTTGGCTACCCGCAACTGGCCTAGATCAGATCGGTAGGATTCTGTGCCAAAACAATTTTTGGTTCGTTTCCTGAATTTTGTGCAAATTTCAAGAGAAATGGAATGGCTCCGGAGCTTATTTCACCAATCACCCAAGTATTGAGCAATCATCCTAATCATCTCACCATATCTTACCCTTTTTTTACATAACGTTGATCCATTTGGCTAAAGGCCGAGTCGTTTGCTATCCCCCAACTGGGATGCTGCCTATTCCCAGTCGAGGTAGGCGCCTCACCAACAAGGGGATCCTGGTCCGAAGCCCCGCCCTGCTGATGTTGGACGTGGAAATCATTGGTGGCGTCCGACGCCAGGACACGGGATGACACGGGCCGGAACCTGGGTCGGAAGTGCTTGCCCTGGAGTCATGAACATGTAACAGAGATTTCAGTCATCTACGGAAAGACAACTAATTCTATATTGATGTGTATTGATGTTTATTGCAATGTTTGTTTGCCATGGTGTAAATTAATCTAAATTATGCCGAATTATGTATAGTCATGTAGCACTTCCCACGATATTCCACAGTCTCTGATGTTGTGGGTCAACACAACCCATGCCGCGAACATCCCAGAACGGGTTAAAGGGAAGATTGAAACTAGAACCTTCCATATCTCTTGATTCAGACCATCAAAAATCATGCTCTTCTGTTGTCCTCAGAAAGCAATCCATTGAACCATATTGAAGCTCACATTTCCTGGTTTGAATCCCAATCTTTTCTGGTTGGTGGTTTCAAACATGAATTTTATTTTCCATTTCATATATGGGATGTCATCCTTCCCGTTGACTTTCATATTTTTCATCGTTGAAACCACCAACCAGTAGATATTCACCATCATTAATCATCATTAACCATCATTAACCATCATTAAATCACCATTAATCACCATTAATCACCATTAATCACCATTAAATCACCATTAATCACCAGATTTTATGTTAAATCCCCATTGCTTGCGGCAAAATCCGACCATGTCTTGGATCGCCATGTCTCGGTTGCGGCGTAAAAAACAGGACATCTACAAGATGCGTTCCATGCGTTCCAACGTGTCCCTGTCCTCGGGCCGAGTTGGAGGAGATGCCACACACCAAAATCCATGCAACATGTGGATTAAAGCATTAGAATCTAATGGCACATATATATATTATTACTATTATTATTATCATTATTATGAAATATTTTTATGATTATTATTATTATTAAATATTTTTTTATTGTTATTAAATATTATTATTATTAAATATTATTATTATTGTTAAATATTATTATTATTAATCATTATTATTATTAAATATTATTATTATTATTAAATATTATTATTATTATTAAATATTATTATTATTAAATATTATTATTATTAAATATTATTATTACTAAATATTATTATTATTATTAAATATTATTATTATCATTATTATATATTATATTACATTATATGATATGATATGATATTTTATTACATATTAATTATATTATATTATATTATATTATATTATAATATATTATATTATATTATATTATATTATATTATAATGTGTATATATATATATATGTACATGCTAATACCTGGTTCTTTTAAACCTGGGTGAGTACAAATGCGTCAAACCGCTGACTTCCAGTGGTTGCTTTGCCTTGTTGGTGAAAGATAAATTATGAGAAAGTACGAGAACTCGCATGCTTCAAATAACCCCAAGCCACCAAATAAAATTGGTGAAATGCTGAATCACAGTGTCACATGCTGAGGGACAGCCCCATCATCCCCCAAAGTGTGGACAGATTCTCACCAATTGACTTGCAGCACATTTTGTGGGATGGTCAGGGCAACCACCAACTAACTAGTAAAAACAGGCAACAACAATATTCTACTACTCACTCAGTCTTCTTTGGTTACATCCAGATGCCTCCATATAAACAAGCAGTAATCCATTGATTGCCGTATTGGGTGTTGGCAACAAGTTTCACTACTTGTTTTCTGGTTGTTTACCTTGGTTGATTCCACAAATTACAAAAGACCTCACGTGGACACCTTGGACCCTGCAGATCTCAGATGTCTTGGAAATCTCGACCTTTGGTCCTTGGGGATTCTGAGTGGATCCATTGAAGCCTGGAAATTTCATAAAATCCTTTGGTTGAATACCTAAGAGATGAATGGAAACCATAGGTTCTTCTTTGGAAACCATCAAGATTAACTTTTCAATGGAAGCTATAGTTATATACTTCTGGAAAAAGTGCTTTAGAACCATAAAGATTCCATTTTCTATGATATATCCCATCCCCCACAGTTACACCCCAATAAGCTCCCAGTCGGGATGTTGCCAGGATACATTCCAGGCCTTGGACCGCGGCGACGGCGCAACTCGCGCACACGAGTCTTTATGGTCACCAGGTGGGAGGAGAGGAGTAATGTGGCTATGGATCAATACCTATGAAAATACCATTTTTAGTGGGATGAACATCCATAAATCCCAGCTATTTTGATGTGAACAGAAGGGGGTACAAGGTTTTGACACACTGCCATGTGGTTAAAACAGAATATGGGTGGTATCAACCAAAATATGGCTGGTTTATGGCATTGCTTCACCAACATGAATGTGGTTAAAACAATGCCATAAACCATCATAAACCATCCCCCAGTCATCACCATTCTTATAGGTGCTATGTTTAGCATTCCCAAGTGGGTGGTTTATGACATTGTTTTACACACATTACCTGGAAAATCCTGGAAAGATGTGGAATATTTTTTGATAAAAGGATACCCTCTCGTAATCTAACACTTTGCTATGGAAAATGGTGATTTAGTTCGTTGAACACATTAGAATGGGTGATTTTCCATAGCTACTGGGTCAAAGTGGTAACTTATGCCGCGGTCATCTTCTTGTGCCGCAAACGGTGTGCCGTTGGGAAGTCCATGATATACATGTCATTTTTGCTGGATGAATTAATTATTTGTGGCATTGATTTTTCTAACACTTTCCAGGGGCACACATGTTTTTGAGACATATTCTTCTTGAGATAGAAACTCATGGGGATGGCTTCTCAATAGCTTGACTCGCACAGAAGAGAGAACAGTAGAAGAGAAGAGTAGAGTAGAAGAGACTATATACAGAAGAGTAGAGAAGAGAATCGAATTGAAGAGTAGAAGTGATTGGAGAGGCCTAGAGCAGAGAAGGGAAGAGTAGAAAAGATCCCTGCTGCCTTGCCCTGCTGCCTTGCCTTGCAAAATCCAGATCTCGTACAGATCTCGTAAAGACCTCGTAAGGATCTCGTAAAAATAACGCAATGAGAATGACATGTAGAACTCCTGGTCTTCTAGAGGTCAAGTTGATGGTGTGCTATGCTGTTTACAACGCTTTGTGTCAGGTTTAAGACAGATAAACGTGATAAACGGTATAAAGCGTTGCAGTCCGCATAGGAACTTCATGAAAACAATGTGCACTTACATGGATCGGCAAAGTGATCGGCTGCAGAAAAGAAAACTGTTACCTGAGTACTTGGATGTACTCGGTGTGCCAATGGGGAAAACCATCATGGATGACATTCTTAGAGATTAAATATGTTGTTCCGACAATGGGAACTACATCTGAGAACTTGGGTTGATAGAAAACAATTTGTAGGTGTGCTATGTGTTCCTTGACATTTGGGGTGAGGTCAAAGAATTCACGAACTGATGTAAAATGTACCAAATCCCTTAGGAAAATAGCAAACCAATCCAAAAACCTGTCCGTGAGGGCCGGTGTGCCATGGTGATTTGCACATGGTGTAAGTTCTTGGGGTCGTGGGGTAAGCGGTGTGCCATGCGGTGGGGTAAGTTCATAGATTTTGGGGCAAGTTACCCCCCGGACTCGTATGTTAGTTTACCAGAGGGTATCATCCAGGTACCCTCTGGTAAATTGACGCCCTGAACCAACTCACCCATTTTCGGTGGAACTCATCTTCCAACCCCGATGAATGGCAGGGTTTATGTTAATTTACTGGAGGGTATTATGTGTTTTGGGGGGAAACATATGGAACATATGGAACATATGGAACATATGATGATGATGATGATGATGATGATGATGATGATGATGATGTTTTTTTGGGAAACCAGTGGATAGCTAGGCTTGATGATTTTTTGGGGGTAAAAAATGTACAAATCATCAACCCTATCCCCCGGGTACCGGGGAGCAAAATGGAGCAAAGGATCAATGGTTCACCATGTTCCCTAACGGGGAGTCAGTGGGAGTTAGGAATTAAGTTTCCCAGCCGCATGAGAGCTAAACGGATTTTTGGATTTTTGGACAATGAGGGATAGAAGAATAATGAGATCAAGTTGTCAACCAGATCAACCAGATCAACCCAGCAATGACAATCAATCAACAAACCAACTGGTTGCTACGTCACGGCGCAAATATGGTGAACTACTCAGGGTAGTTGATCATCGTAGATGTTCGTGGCATTTCGTGGGGATATCTTGATGAGCTTGTACATGATGGGGGATATGTCCAAAATATGGATAAATATGGCAATTGTTGTTCGGGTGTGCGGCATGTGTTTTTTTCAGGAACATTACCATCAATCAACCCTTGTTTATCATCAACCTCATATTTTAATGAGGAAAGGTATCATCAACCATGATGATGTTTCGCTATGATCAACTAATATGTTTGACGGACATGTTTTGTTGAAAACCACTGGGTAAACCCTGGCGAATTGTCAATGCTTTGCCATGCTGATTGGAAGATTTAGACGATACCCAGGAAAAAAAAACTTGTTTTACGGTCAATCCCCTCCGGTAATCAAACCTAGCAAATGGAATCTCCTATAAATGGAGGTGTTGAATGGTTTTAATAGGACAATGGTTTATAGATGTGTGATTTTTGATTGCATTGCTTGATGACCAGCTAGTAAATAAGATTCGACATGACCAAGACACCCCCATTCTTGAGCTCTGGTGACATGACCAAAGACAGGGTCTTGGGGCATGGATTGCTGCTGGGTCTTGTGGTTTCAGTGGTTTGATATTGCACAAGACCTAACAATGATGGCGAACATATAGTGATATGAATATTTCATGTATATATATATATACATATTATATATGTAAGTGTTCAATGCGTATGTGCATATGTCTGTGCTCCAGCCGGACATCCAAGCATGAAGTTTCGGACTCGACACAACTGATGTCCCTTTCTTATTCAGATTTTGGTTCTAAAACAACCAACAGCTTTTCAACACGGCTCAAAATGGCCATACATCTCGATGATTGTGGTTGTCGCTGCATTGTTGTGCAAGTGAATTGAAAGCCAACTGATATCGCAACTTGATGTTGGTTGGTTGGCGGATTGTTGGTCACACATTGTTTGTTTTCTTTTATCTAAATATATGGGTTTGTTTGAATGTTTGAAAATTGAGTATAACCCAAAGCCAATGGCTTGTCGCCAGTTTCCTATCCATGTTGGATCATTTTGGGAGTATACACCACGTTCAGACGCACCCATTTCTGTGGTGTTGCTGAGTCATATTCATTCATATTCCTTATTTCAGCTATCATTTTTCGGTGAGCGCACTCAGCTCATTGCCTCCCCTGATGTCTTTGGTGCCGCAGGGGAACGCGAGGAGATGTACAGCCTTTCGTTGCCTTAGCGAGAGGAAACTCAGCCATGCGAATGTGAAGATTGAGTCAAACTTTGGAGGGTTAGAAAGATCATCATTAAATTGTCCTAGTTATATATATATCCACATATATATATATTATATATATATATTATATTATATAGTTATATCCTGACATTGCTGGTTGACTGATACAATCAGTTGAAGCTGATGTGAATCCTACGAGGCTGAACATGTCCCCATTGGCATGTCCATTGGCGGAGCCAAGGATTGATTTTAGATCACAACTGCGAAGTTGTGATTTGCACCGAGTCCTTTGCTTGCAAGCAGTTTCGACATGTTTCGACATGTTTCGACATGTTTCGACATTTGGACATCAAGTATATATATATATATATGGGTAAATTATAACGACCTCACTGTGACCTCACTGGAATCATTGTTAATAAGGGAAATCATCCCCCAATGGCCTTAATTCAGGTTGGTGAATTATTATAATTTACCCAGATATACACATTATATATATATACAATGTATAATGTATAATATATAATATATAGTACAAAATGTATAATGTATAATATATAAACATAATATATACTATATTCTATATACTATATAATATACAATTTTTATGATATAACATATATAATATATTTTCTTTTTAACATCTAACATATAATATATAGTATATAATATATAGTATATAATATACAATATAATATATATAATATGATATAATATATCTAATATAATATATCTAATATAATATATCTAATATAATATATATAATATAATATAGATTATTATATATATATAATATATAAATAATATATATATATATATAAATAATATATATATAATAATATATATGTATATCATATAATACATATATAATATATATAATTTTATATATCATATAGTGTAAATATTATATATTATATATTATATTTATTATATATTATATATATATTATATATTATACATATTATAAATTATATATATTATATATATTATATTATATATATATTATATATTATATATATTATATATTATATATTATATATATATATTATATATATGATATATATTATATATATATTATATATTTTATATATATTATATATATTATATATATTATATATATTATATATATTATATATATTATATATATTATATATTATATATATTATATATTATATATATTATATATATTATATATATTATATATATATTATATATTATATATCATATTTTATATATATTATATATATTTTCAATATTATATATATAATATTTAATATATATATGATATATAATATATGTAATATATATATATAATATGTGTAAGATTAATATGTAAAATACATATAATATATATAATATATTTAATATATATATATATAATATTAAACATATATAATATATAATATATATAATATATATGATATATATAATATATATGATATATATTATATATACAATATTATATTTTTATATATAATATTTAATATAAATAGTATATACTATATACACTATGTGATATATAATATATAATTTATAATATATACTATACAATCTAATTAATATAATATATATATACATGTTTATATACACATGGAGACGGGACATGAGTCAAAACCCTTGACCTATGATACCATATTTGTGGGGATGAACATTGCATAGCTGGAAGAACTAACTAGACACCCCGGTTTTAAGAAGAACATAATTGGTAGATTCCAGTATTCCTTTGACTTGTTTGTTGCAACATAACCCACCAGACCTGCCTCTGAAGGAAATGTCACTGTCAGACTGTCCCCGCACATGTGTCTTCTTCTTGTGGTTTGAACACTTTTGTTTTCACCACGCATTCCATATATTCCCATATATTCCCATATATCTCATGTTTTTTTAATGATTTTTTCCAGGTTGGTGGACTGAGGTTGAATTGGAAATCCTTTATCAAAAGTTTTCGCTCTGGATTGCCAGAGGTCTCTTGGCTCCACCCAGGGTAAAAAAAAAACCGGTACGTTCGGTGGCGTTTGGTATAGCTCTGATTATGGTACATGGGTATGGATGGGCCATGGAGTTAGTTAACTAGTTAGTAAATGGATTATTTCATTGGGATTTTTTGAGGGTAACAAATCCCCAGTTACTAACCAGGAATCGTTAATCCCATGGCCCATCTAAGTAGATGGGTGGATCTTCACTCTTGTGAATATGCTACCCAAGCATCAACTTTGGAAGGGCATTCGCCACGAGAGATGAAGGTCATTGAAGGTCCAAAAACGTCAGATCAACAACTGAGCCGTAGTTGATACCCACCTGTACCTGTAGAGTCCCTACAATGCCTTAGGACTTGGGTTACACTGACTGCTGGGGAGTGACTGCCGGGGATTGTTGCTGTAATCAACGAAGTGGAAATATTGCCCTCAACATCCCTGAATCAACAAGTAGAAGGGACGTTCCAATAAAGGAACGTAAACAAATTTGAGTCTGATATTGCAATAAAAATAGTCGTTGTTTTACTTGTTTCAAAAGCTTTGGAGAAGGGGTGACCCTCTTTAGACATCCAATATCAGTTCCAAATGATTCAGTATCAACCAATATTTGACGGGAAAAAATGAAGAGTGACATAGAGTGACCTGCCACGAACAATGTGTGAACACCGAACAAACCAAACATCCATAATCCATATGATATAATATACATATTAATATTCATAGTACCATCAATTTTAACACAATGCAGTATTAAATTGATATTACTATTAATATCAACATTGATATTATTACTCATATTGATATTGATATTTAACTATTAGCACTACAGTAATATTAAATAATATCAATGTTGATGCCCATATTATATCCATATTAATGTTATGAACATGGATATAGTTAATGATGATAATTATATATCACTATATATCCATAGAGTCTGGTGATAATGAATATACAATAAGAATACCCTCTGGTTATTTAACATAGCCATGGAAATGGCCCTAATCGAAATAGATGGTTTACCGTTCTCAAAAATAATGATTTTCCATGGCTATGTTAAAAAACCAGATGGTAATTATATATATATATCACTATATATCCATAGAGTCTGGTAAGATATATCACTACATATCCATATAATTATATATCACTACAGCATATCACAATCAGAATAATTATATCCATATTACAATCCCTACTCCGCTGACCGGCGACGCGCCCAGGGAACGCTGCGCTTCCGCCCTGCAGGGGGCGACACGATGGCACAGACGCGGACAGCGATGTCACAGAACCTCGGCGGCCATTTTGACTGAACGCGATGGACAAATGCTATGGAACATGATGATTTAAGTCCTGAAAATGCTAGGATATTATGGGATATTCATGGGATCATATAGGATACCCTCTGGTAAATTAACATAGATCCTGAAAATCACCAGTTTTTGTGGAAACTAGTCTTCCAACCCCTATCTGGCAGGGTCTATGTTAATTTACTGGAGGGTAATTTTTGTTGCTTTCTGGTAACAGGTCTTTATAAAGGGGATATAAGCCAAAAAAGGGACATGCCGGACATGACCACGAAAAAATGGTGAAAACTCCCGTAATTTCACAGTTTGCTGTGGAAAATAGATGACGATGTTCCATTTAGTTCAATGTTTTCCCTATTATGATGAATGGTGTTTTTCCATAGCAAACTGTCAAATTATCCGAGGTTTCTTCTCAGTGACTAGTTGTTTGAATCTTAAAACGGTTGCTTAATGTGAAATGTTGGTTGCTGTTCATGCTGGATTGATTGAGCTGAATGATTGTGAATGGCTGATTTCAGATATGCCATATTATGCCCAGGTTGGTTCCATGGGTTCGTGGGTTCATGTTGAAGGTTTAGTTTCTTGCCTTGCATTTGTTTGAAGTTTATAGAGGAATGGTTCACAAAGTACAGCAACCTCACAACAACCAAAGCTCTTACGTATTTGTAATATGGTGGTTGTTACTTTTTTCTTTCGCCCCAAGATGGCTTACTTTCAATTCATGCAGTACATTGCTTGTGGATGCTTCATGTTAGTGGTGATTCTTTTGCCAAGCTTGGGACTGCCTGGATTCGTTGATTCATGATTCGTTTATTATGTTTATTGAACAGATCTGTCAGTAGCAGTATCTATGGATGGAATACCAACCATTGAAACACCGGTCGCAAAAACTGGTTGGAAAGGCTTGGAGTTTGTAGCTACCTCCACCTTGTGAGATCCGAAGAATCTCAGCAATGGAGGAGATTCTGAAATCTCATTGAATTGGTTGAAGGGAACAAAAAACTACTGGAAACTATATGGTTTTCCACATGAACTATATGGGGGTTTCTGGTGTCAATTTTTGTGGTATCTGATTGTAGCACCATTGTAGCACCATGATCTGGGATTATCCATGAAGTCGAAGTGATCAGTGAGTGATACGCCGTGTGAGCGAGTGACATGGGTCTTTTTGGCCTTCAGCACAGAACCATATTCACATCATTCATGGTTTCACATCCCTATCTTTCGTTAAATCCGAATAACTTTGGAGGGTTACTGTAGTGTCAACACCACATCTTTCGTGGCTTCAAGATCCCTATTTGCCTTCTATTTTTCAGTGGTCCTTATCATTTCTCACTCGGATTTCATCGAGGCTGATCACCTGGGAAGGTCAGCACTATGTCACTCGCCGGGAGATCACGGGGTGTCACCGGTGGATTGAGATTTGGGGGAATGGCCAGGTTTTTGATCTGGAAAACGATGATCAAGCATCAACTCTGCTGGTTTTTCCAGGACATTTTCAGACAAAGTCATCCTGGAACCACTGGAACCCCCAAGTGGTGGGTGATTTTTGTCACCCGTTGAGAAGCTGTCTCTCTGGGATTTGCAGAATCCCCCAAGTGAGATCAACTGAGGTGGTGGTGAAAAGTTGGAAATAGATAGAACAATCATTTATCATTTATCACTAGATATTTATCATATTTTATTTCGTAGGATTTTAACTTAACTATCTTTTGGGGATCGACCCATCAATTGGATGGTCATAGCATCAGATTTTCATCATCGAAATAGGTGGATTTCGCCTGGAATTTTCCGATTCCGAGGACTTTCTCCAGAGTTTGATCTTCTCGGCACAGGAACGGAACTTCTTCCCCTCCGAGGCTACGGCCGTTGTTTTATTTTGGGGGGGAGAAAAACCACACGCTTTTTCTTGACGAATTCTTGATGAATATTATAGACATGGCTCACCACGATTGCTGATTGTTTATATTGTTTTGATTTATTTATATATGTATATACGTATATATATATGTATGGTATGGTATGGTATGGTATGGAATGTAATGGAATGGAATGGAATGGAATAGAATGGAATGGAATGTAATGTAATGTAATGTAATGTATGTATGTATGTATATATATACATACATTGTTTTGATTTTTGAAAAACATAATATTGAAAACTGAAAACCATCTTGAACCCTTACATTCATGAATCTTTCATGTTCACTTGGCTGTGCACTTCTACTTCTATACAGCTCCGGATCAGGGATGCTGCTACTTCTGGGCTGCGGAGGCGGTCCACTGAGATTGGGATGGGGGGGTTCAATAAAAAGCAATGATGGATGGTGTAAAATTTGGGGATTACTGTGGTAAAGCCAGTAATAAACCCTGTATATGAATGTATATGATGGATGGTGTAAAAAAAACTAGATATCCCTAGATGATGGATGCGGTAAACCCAGTCATAAACCTACCATGTGAACGTAGGGGTGGTTTATACAACCCATAACACTGGTGATTTTGGGGATGGATTACATTATTGGGCTTATCATATTTGAGGGAACGAACATCCAGCGGATCATCGGCCAAGGATCGCTGAAATGACTGGTGGAACAAGGTAGTGGCTTCCACAGCAATTTGGGTTTGAAAGCTTGAATGAAACTTGGGTAAATCCTGTGGTTTATGATGTTGTTTCCTCTTCACATGGCAATCAATTGGAGCAAACATACACACACTTTCAGACACCCCATAAACTTCCTGCAAACTCCGGAGTTCACCAATGTTTTGAGGTCACCAGCCCTGACACTTCCGCGCAGGAAATGCCTGACTTCATCGTGTTTGGCTTTACCATGTGCCACCTTGCCACTGGCCAAAATGATCAACCTGGGGCATCGCGGCATCGCCATGACTCTGTGCTTGATGTTGAAAAGTCATGAACATAGGAGACAATGATCCAATATGATCCAATATGATCCAAAATGATCCAATAAAATATCCATATGATATCCACAATGTTTTGGTTCCCTGGTGTTCCACCAGTTTCCGAGAAAGCAACCATTTTTGGTGCGCTTAAGCCTTACGCCATCTCGCCGCGTTGCATCGCCGCGGCTTTGCCGAGGCGATGATTTTGGGCGAAGGTTTGAGGATTCCCATCGTGGGCTTTATTTGTCAGCCCGATCACAAGATCGAGGCGGGCTCCGATGAAACTATGGAAACCTATGGAACATTCCTGGCTTAAGGCGAATTTGCTGGGTGGAATTTTCTGCATGAATTCCTGGCCTTTTTAGGTGATTTTGAGCTGATTTCGATGATTTTTAAGACTTGAGCCTCAGATTTGCGTGTTTTTTTTTTCAAGACCATAACCATGAGGTTTGAGTGGATTAAACACAAACCTTATCGAACATCACTGGACGCACTTGAAAAAGGGCTTGCGAAGCCCATCCGGTGACGGAAAATCTTGCACAGCGGAGATACTTTACTTCTGGATCCCATACGTTTGGAAAAGTGGACGTCATCATTGGAGGTTTAACGTTTGGGAAAAAAGGCACTGAATGTGCAATGTGTCCTTCATAAGCCTCAAACTTATAAACTTGACTTCTGGAAAACATTGGAAATAACATCTCAACATCACCGTTCAGGCAATGTATTCTTGGGATGTGAACACAAAGGTACCATGGTTTTGGCCCATTCTCAAACAATGGTCCGTTTTTAGCCTCCTTTTATATTACATAGCAACCCACAAACAGATGGAAAAGTCAAATTCCACTAAGGTAATCTAAAATAGATTAACATAATTTTGATATGTTTTCATGACTGCTCTATTTGTTTGTGGTTCATTGAATGCTAACATAATTTAAGACTTGTATATCATATGTCTGGTTGGTGGTTTCAAACATTTTTTTTATTTTGCATATGGGTTGTCATCCTTCCCATTGACTCACATTTTTCAAGATGGGTTAGAGCCACCAACCAGTATATCCATTATGTCCATTATATATATACCATCTGGTTATTTAACAGTTTGCCATGGAAAGATCCACCATTTTTAAGAACGGTAAACCATCTATTTCTATGGGCCATCTATACCATGGCTATGTTAGTCATAACCAGAGGGTAATATATATACAAATATTTTTCAGATGGGTGATTTCGCCACCAACCAGTATATACATTATATCCATTATATATAATATATATACATCATATAATATATATATATACTATACATAATATAATATATATATACACATAGATATCCTCAACAACTGAGCACCAGGAGCGCCGCGATATCTCCACCCATTTGGACCGACTGTTGGGCCCGACCCGACAGGCAGCGAGTTCCTGGCAATGTTTGATGTATTTTTGCACTAACTGGTTGGTGGTTGATGGGGTATCTGTCTATCTAAATGGTTATTGTTCATGTTATACTGGTTGGTGGTGACTGGAACCATGGAATTTTGTGACTTCCCCATCATATTGGGAAGTTCGTAATCCCAACTGACGAACTCATATTTTTCAGAGGGGTAGGTATACCACCAACCAGATAAAATTGTGTTTATCTAGCTAGCAATGGAACATATGATGAAGTTTACCCATTTGATATCCTGGCATTTATACCTCACATATATTGGGAATTAGGAATAATGATGATGGAAGTATACCTGCAATACCCGCAGGATCATTCTTTACAACCAAGAGTCTTCAAGCGGTTTGGCGCTTGCCGGACGTTTGAAGGTCTAGGCTCCCGGATACCATGGAAGATACTTGCATGCAGATTCCCTCGGCGATTAAATTGGTTGAACGGAAACCCGGTATTTGATGGTCAAAACATGTCGAAACCACGAGTGGTTCCTGCATTTTTTTTCCCTTACGTCAATCTGTCAATCCAGTGAATTTCAGCAATGTGGGTAAAACAATAGTAAACCACTCATTCGGGAATGGTAAACATCCCACCTACTGTATTTATGGTGATTTGAGGGATGGTTTATTGTTGTTATACCCACATTAGTTATTATTGAGATTACCATCTGGTTATTTAACATAGCCATGGAAAATCACAATTTTTAAAAGGTAAACCATCTATAAATGGGCCATTTTCCATGGCTATGTTAAATAACCAGAGGGTACGTATGGTGTGTTTGGCAACCACTTCGCACCCCAACCTCTCGGTATGATAGCCATAGACTACCCACCATGTCACCGCAGGCCATGTCGGCTACCCCATGGGGGGAGTGTTGGGAAGCGGTTTTAATACTCAAAATCTGAAACAGACTCCTTGAAGAATGCAAACGCAAAATCTGATAGCGATATCAATGATATACATATCACCAATCAGTATTTCTACTGCATAATCCAGACTGGCTGGTCTGTAGTTGTCCTTTGGGTGGCTGGCTAAACCACTAGCAGTCATCTCGAATCTCGAACTGCCTCTTCGACACTTGTTCCATCCGCGACCTGGTTTGCGAAGACCTTGGAAGTCTGATCATCACATGTTGGGTATTAGCTCCGTATCAGCCAATAAGGTATCCACTGGGTGAGGGTTTTCATCCCAAGTTTGAACTCATTGAACCAGCATTTCTGAAAAATCCCATATACAATATATAATTCAAGAATCCTATATTTATCCTATTACAAACAAATCTCATAACTGGTTGGTGGTTTGGAACATGGCTTTTAACATTTTCCATATATTGGGAAGTTCGTAATCCCAACTGACTTTCACTCTTTCAGAGGGGTTGGTTGAAACCACCAACCAGATCAGGCGATGAACTCGGAGGGTTTCAACGCGGCCTTGATGAGCATTGTACAGTCCCTCGGAGCTGGGGGTAGTGGGTCACAGGATGGGGCCCAGTGATGTGAACGTTGGTTTATAAATCATGTTAAGCCCCATTAACTATATAGTTATATCATGTTATATCTACCATAAACCATAGATTTCAGCCATTGATAAGGCAACTGAACGCTATCTTGGGGGCCTGCAGGGCCCCATCCTGCATGATCTGTCATGATTAAGATGTGGTTCCGAAACGAGGGGAATAGAAAGAAAACGATGTGGTTCCTGTTTCTTGTGGAGTGTCAGGGGTCAGGTTGGACCCTTCTTATTGGACCCACTATTTGGATTCAATTCCTGGCGCATTGCAAGGGCTGGATCAGAACGATTGGAAAGTCACATGTTCTATTCATTCACCGGTCAAGTCCCAATTTTACTCAGCTGATTGGTTCTGTCCCATCCTGACTGAGACTGAGACTACTGAGACTACTGAGACTACTGAGACTACTGAGACTACTGTACCCTCTGGTAAACGTTTACATTAACTATGGAAAATCACCATTTTTAATGGGAAAACACACTATTTCAATGGCCATTTTCCAGTTCGCAAACGGTTAGTCATTACCAGAGGGTACCTATTATTAACCATAGATTATCCATATATTAACCATGGATTATCCATATATTTACCATATTTGTTGCCAGGATGATCCCCCATATCCCAATGTCCCAAGCCCGCAAGCCCGCAAGCGCCGAGGCAGATGTCCATGCGAGGTGTTGGTTTAAACCGTCTTCGGAAGACCCGCGGACTGTGGCTCTTTGGCTTTCACGGGACGTCGACCTGTGGACCCAACTGACCTCTGGTTTTTCGACCTGTGGAATGGGTCATTTTTGGGAGATGTGCAATACTGAAACATCCAATTTTCATTGTGTGTTTGGAGATTTTGTAGTATTTAAATGTATTTAAAACATTTTAAAACTATTTATATAAATTTCATTTAACAATTCAATTTTTGCGGTAAAATAATCTTGCGGCATATCCAAATTGCCAGGACAGCTGCGATTCATCATTCAAAATGTGTATTGGGTACGAGGTGTTTCATGAGAACGAGCTCTCAGGCGTACTAAAAAACTGTAGCAATCAACATGGCAATGCACAATTAATCGATAATAATAATAATGATATGTAATGATGATTATCATAGCCCCAATAATTATTGGTTATTTCATAGGGAAAATGATGGTTATAATATAGATGTCCCCATTTAAATGCCAACTTTTGGGGGTTTCCCAGCTAACCATGTTTGATTCCTGAAGAGTACATTGTGAGCTGCCGGGTTTCATGTTCTATCCGATTCTATCCTTCACCCGCAGAGCTGTGCCTCAGGGATTCTATTCAGGATTATTCTGCTTATTGTCTCAGTATGAGATATCGATAAGTGCAGATTTCTTGCGCCTTTATTTCTTTGGATGGGTCCTAGACCTATCTTTTAGGCACCTCCGTTTTTTTCTGTGGCAAACTGATAAACCATTCCCTGACTGAATTGCCCAGCCATCAAAATCGGATCCTTATGGCTTGACCACCCGAAATGGCGCCAAGCAAGGACCATGCCAGCAGGTTTATCTGATACCATGGCTCACTTTGAAGAGCTTCGAAAGAAGGAGGTGCAGAAGGGCTGAGAATGGTTCGGTGGTTCAGGGGAATGCTAAGGCTGCAAAGGTAGGGCTACCCACATGTTTCCCACACTGGGGGATACATAGGGTATTTTCAATCATCACCTGACAATGGCGGTCAAATGATGGTTGCCCTCCCAAAAAGAATGGTAATGTTTTTGTGGGAGGACAAAAGAAGGGAACCCTGTAGGTGGTTGGGAAGCCTGATCTGTTTCTGATGTGTCATGGGTTAAATTCAAGACTCAGAGAACCAGACATTTTGTTGAGTTTCGGAGGCAAACATCCATATTTGGAGGTTTCCTAAAATTGGGGTACCCCCAAATCATTCATACTAATAGGATTTTCCATTATAAACCATCCAGCTATTGGGGTACCCCCATGACTATGGAAACCCATTTCAGAGTTTCCAGTGGCTTTTCCAACATTCAATTCACTTCATCTTGTGCTAAGCGCAGCCCATGGCCCTGGCTCGGACGCCAAAAAGCGTGACGTCCTTATGATGGGTGAGGAAAAACGCTATAGCAAGGCATGGTGACTCCTGGCAATAATCATTACCATCTGGTTATTTAACAGTTTGCCATGGAAAGATCCACCATTTTTAAGAACGGTAAACCATCTATTTCAATGGGCCATCTATACCATGGCTATGTTAAATAACCAGAGGGTAAATTTTCACTCTGCTCGAGGTCAAGACATACGTTGTGACAACTTCGGAGATTGATGGGTGGTTTCCAATGTTGTGGGAAAAAAGCACACCTCATTTTAGGCCATATATCATATATACGTATATATATGTAATATATATATATATTACATGCCGGACAATATTATGATGAACCGATGAACCAGCAAGTTTTGGGGTACACATGGGTACACTATTTTCAAACAAACCCAGATCAAGACCCATGGCTCCAAATCAGATACTGAGAAAGGATCACATGTTTACATATGGATGCTTTTGATATCTCTATACAAGCATTCATTTCTCTGGAGGTCATAGTTAAGTTAGGTAGCTGATTTTTCTTCACCCTCAATTTTTTTTGGGCTGATTTAACAGCGCGACCCGCACGCACATCGTTGGTTGATGACTGGCGTAGTCCCCCATGTTGTGCCGAAGGTACCGATGATTGTTCCCATCAGTGAAATTGCACTGGGGGACTACAAGGAGCAGCTTCCACAGTGTCTTGCTCTTGCGAGTGATCGCAGCTTCGATGGGACATGGAGTTTGTGAACTTAGTAACTAGTTAGTAAATGGATGTAAATGGATTATAGTTTGGATATAGATAGTGGTTATTAGCGGTTTATTAAGCCAGTTAGAGTCACTAGAGATCGCTAATCCCATGGCCTAAGTGCCAGTTGAAATTGGCAGAAGATGCGCCAGTATGGGCATGGCAACATGGGCATGGATCCAAATTGTCTATATACCCTGGTTGGTGGTTTGGAACATTTTTTTTTCCATATATTGAGAATGTCATCATCCCAACTGACGAACTCCATCATTTTTCAGAGGGGTAGGTATACCACCAACCAGATACCCAACTGGCCCAAATGGTAGGAGAGTTTACTCCTAAAGTGACCAGCACCCCAAAGGCCCACTGGTCCCAATGGATTGGTCCATGCTCATGTTGCCAGCATCATATGATTCTCATGTTGCCTTCTTATCATCATCATTTTCTTCTCATATTTACACACATTGTATTGCCCGTGCGTGCCCTTACATGCCCTTACCAGATTCTCATCGTTATATCATAGGAATTAGCGTGAAACATGTTCGCCAATTTGTTCATCATCATCGTTGTGTTCCTCATCATCATCATAATCACCATCAAATCTACACCATCCAACCGTTCACACCCCTTTCGCACCTAGGTATGTCTTCACGGACTTTATTTTCTTGAGCGGCTTGGTCCTGTAGCAACAATAGTGAATAGGTAGCGGGGGTTGCATTTGGACTGGGACTGCTGGCAACTGGGTCTGTCTGAAAATGTTGGCAAAGTCCCATCTTTTATCATCATGTTTTCTATTAAATGAACATACATGAACATTTTATTTGTAAACTTGTATACCATGGTATATATATACTGCATGCTCATTATCATGAATCTAGGTAATTTATAGCAACTTCAGATGACCAACCCCAGAAATGATGTTTGAACAATCAGCTTTGGATTATGGTCAACTGAGAAGTTCAAAATGGTTGCCACAACTAGATGATGCTTACAATGGCCAGTTGGGAAGCCATCAATGTCCTGTTGGGGTACTGAAACTCAGCCGAGCTGAGTTTCTCATGTTCATCGCCATAAGGATGATGATCCCGTAGATTAGTCGCCAAAGCGGGGCTTTGGCGAACTTCTCCCCATGACACATTTCATGATATTCTCATTGCTATATAATGGAATGGTTATATTATGGATATGGAGGTTTCCCAAAATGTGGGTACCCCCAAATCATCCATTTATGTATGTTCTATTATAATTATAAACCATCCATTGGGGTATCCCATTTTAGGACACCTTCATATATTTATCTATTTTAGGAAACCTATCATAGATGGTTGAAGGTGTACTATATTTATCATTGTTTATCTACCTATCATTACCATCATGGACACCATTTTGGGGTATCTGTTTATCTATCTAAATGATTATTGTTCATGTTATACTGGTTGGTGGTTTGGAACGTTTTGTATTTTTCCATATATATTGGGAATGTCATCATCCCAACTGACTACTATTTTTCAGAGGGGTAGGTATACCACCAACCAGCTATATAGATGATTTACCCACTAACCATCATTAACCATCAACCATCATTAACCATCATGTAACCACCAACCGGTATATATACACATAAATATGGGTTACCCTCTGGTAAACTATCATTTTGCTCTGGAAAATCACCCATTTTGAATGAAACCACCAACCAGTATATATTATTAACCATCAATAAGCATATATTAACCATATATAAACCATGATCCCCATGATTAATGGTTGAATAATTCTCCCCATCCCTATGACTGGAGGAACGGTCCAAGACACCTTGGACGACGAGCTCTCGGGCTTCGTCCAGCAGGCCCTGCGAAGTGGGCGTCGCCTGGTGCTGATGACCTTCTCGTCGATGCCCGTGGGCGAAAGGACGGAAACGGTTCACGGTTCACGGTTCACGGAACGGAAGGGGGACTTGGGATCCGTGATTTTAGCTCGAATTATCATGGTGATCAATTAGATCCAATGGTAATGTATGGTAATTATCATGGGATTTTAGCATGGTGATCTAATTATGCTAAATTATGCTAAAATCACCATGCTGGGAAACTGAACTGTTGTTTCATGGTGAATTTAGCATCATTTAGCGATAGCTATAGGGAGATTCGAGCGCATCATTTCTAAGGGTTTTGCCGTTTTGGCCACCAAAAACATGGGGAGATATCTACAAAAACGATGATTTTTCATGTGATGCTGATGGGATCCAATCAACAAAACATGTGATTTTATCAGATTATTTTCTTAGCTAAGTTGGTGTACAACTCCAAAAACTAGGCTCTCAGGTATGTATATCGAACTAGTTCATGGGGGTTAACGAAACCCTCAAAGACAACTGAAACACTACCTTCAGGGATGGCGCGAGAGTGGACAGGTGAAGGAAAATGGGTGTGTTTAAAAATGCGTCCCTGTTTGACCACTGATTCATGATGTCCCTATTGATAACGACAATAATGATAATAATGATAATAAAAGTGATATATAATAGTAATATATAATAGTAATTAATACTAATATATAATAGTAATAATATATAATAATAATGATAGTCATAACAGTCAGTAGCAATAAAAACAGTGAACTATTAATACTAGTATTCATAATGATATTATATAATAATAATTACTAGTAATAATGACAATAATATGTAAGAATATATGATAATCATAGTTGTCATCATCATCATCATCATCATCAGCATCATCATTTTCTTTTTGCTATTCAAATTTGGTGATTTGGGGGTATACTAGACTACACACATTCAGACACCATGTTCTGCAAAACGGGAGCTGACTTGCAGCTTGATTCAACTAGTACGCTTGTACTAGCAGGGGAAAAGAGCAACATCTCAACATACATCAACAGACAGCACATCGCCATTCTTTCGCCGCGCATGGTGATTTGAAGCGCTGGCGTTGTGAAACCACACAAGCATGACACTTATGACATGACACTGAACGATGTCATCATATACCATGGTTTGTTTACTTTAATATACTGTTCCTATTTGTTTTGTTCTTGGTTCTTCCCCTGCAACCGAAACACCTTGGCCAGGACCATTCTTGACATGGCAATCGAAGCGTGCACGTCAGAACAGCAAATGGATAGCAAACTTTGGAACCCCAAAAGCCATCAAAGTCGTTGTTCATATGTTTTTTTCGTATGGTAGAATCATATGGAATATCTATTTTGGGGGTCATGTACCGTCCCTTTTGAGGCAAACAATAATGGGTATTGGCTGATATTGCTGGTTTTGGCGGCCGTTGCATGTTGCTAAGGTGGGGAAACCCTTTGTTTTGCGTAACATATGTTCTCGTCAGAATCATAGAAATATGTTTCCAAGAGATGATGTTCTCCATGAATATTTCCATATAGTTCATTAAACATTTCCAGGTTTCCCGCTTTTCTATTGATAGTGGGGGCTATATGTTATCGTCAAGATGCTAAGGTGGGCCGCCTCAATAGGAACACCAGAAACATGAGAATCCACATGAAATTCAGGTGCGAATTATGCACAAATTGTTTCATATTTGTTTCATCATGTTAGGTGAGTGAGATAGATCCATTCTATTCGGGAATATGCAATTTTCAGAGTTATTCCGAGTTATTTCGAGTTTTTTCTCATTTATACTGACCACTTGCTATCTCAATGATCCCATATTCGGCTATAGAACCCTGCAAAACCATGAATTCAAAACAAAACAACTGAATGTGGGGTATTTGCTAGCTGTTTTTTTTCTTGTTTTAACTTGAAAACTCCAGAAATCCCCAGAAAACATCTAAGAAATCCATAGAAATCCCTTAAACACCATGGATTCCCAACCGAAATCTCAGGTTGGTCTTCCCTCCCAGACGTCTCAATGGCCACATCACGTCCACGTCGACCCTGGGGTCGCTGGGGTCGCTGGGTGTGGCCGTCATTGCAATGACCAGTCCGGGCGACCCATGGGAGGGGGGACCAGTTACAACCTGATTCATGAGGGACAATAAGGATATCTAAGACTCTAAGATCTAGGTAGTTACAAAATGTTATCTGATTGGCGCTTTGGAACATTTTTTATTTTTCCATAAATTGGGAATAATGATCCCAACTGACTAATATTTTGCAGAGGGGTTGAAACCACCAACCAGTAAATGGTTCGAAGTTATAACATATGAACTACCTGGTATCACATTGGTAGGATTGGGGGAGAATTATCCCGAAATTTGCGGCAATTTTATCAGATTTCTTAGTTTGAAAATGATAATCATGAAGGTGTTTTTCTCCGGGTAACTTAGCCGGAACTGCTTATTGAAAAAAAACTCGGTGTTCTTTTTGATTCCATATTTGCAAGTTATCCTTCCTTCTCTTGATTTTCTTTCGGTAAAGTCTCGTAGGAAAAAACTACTTTAGTTTCAAGAGGATCATCATCATCATCATCATCATCATCGGTATTCCGCTTCTTTATGTCTTCAGACTAATCGGATAACCAAAAACAAAATGGGGATAACCCCGCAAAATGGGACAACCCCACGTAAGTTGTGTTCCCATTTATCTCATGTTCCTTCTTGAAATCACTCATTGAAAAACACTTGAAACATGTATTCCCTCCAGAACATAGAGTTATTCCATATCATCCATATTTTTCCCATAGCTTTCCCATATATGAGGGGTTTCTTAAAATGGGGGTTCCCCAAGACCATGGGTTTCAATACTGTGTCATGATGTCGTGGTCATCCAGTCCATGAATGAGGTACCGAGGTACCCCTAAGGAAAACAGGACACATCCATATGATTTTATATACGCTTGGTGAGTGGATTCATGGACCATGGGAATAGATTGAAATAGAGTTATTCCATGTGATTCCACCACATGTTCCCACATTTTCCCATATGGCAGTGTGTCAAAACCTTGTACCCCTGGTGAACATCAAAATAGCTGGTACTGTAAATGGATGTTCATCCCCTTAAAAATGGTATTGATAGGTATTGATCCATACCCATATCTTTCAGATGTTCTACCCATTTCGATCCCCTTTGCCAAAAGCGCCTGATCCCCAGGTGGCCAAGACCATGACCCCGCGCCACCAGAGACGATGACCAAGGCCAAGCTGCTAGCACAGGACACAAAGGAAATCCCATGGGAAATCCATGGGTTTCCCGCAATTTATGGTTTGCTAACCACTTATCTGGGTAAACTATAACGACCTCACTGCGACCGAGCCCTGGAATCATGGTTAATAAGGGAAATCATCCCCAAATGGCCTTAATTCAGGTTAGTGAAATATTATAATTTACCCAGACTTATATAGATGATGATTTCATACTGATTGGTGGTGACTGGAACATGGCTTGAATATTTTTTTATAAAATATGGCATAATCCTTCCCAACTGACGTTCATATTTTTCAGGGGGGTTGAAACTAGAAACCACCAACCAGATATAATCATGATTTTGATCATCTATTAGTTAGTATACCTATAAAATGGTTGGTATACCCATAGATTCCCCATAACATGTGGTTTTGTTCATGGGAACATCATGATCAACAGTGGGAAAATGCTGATAAACCCCGCAAAGGTGTAATCAAACATGGCTAGCTGGTAAATTCCCTAAGAAAGCATGTGTTTTAACAGGAAAATGACAATCCTCTATAGATAATGGATTAAGACGAGGACTTGAGATCCATGAAACTATGAACATATGGCTATGGATCAATACCTATTAATACCATTTTTAGGGGGATGAACATCCATTTACCAGCTATTTTGATGTGAACAAAAGGGCTACAAGGTTTTGACACACTGCCATATTATATACTCAGTTGGGAGTGTCATCCCATTTGAAGGGTTGAAACACAGATGTCATCGGCCACATGGTTGGTGATTTTCCCAGCCCGAAACCTCCATGGCTACTTCGGGGACTTGCGAGCTAGCCACGTTTGATGTTCCACCGGAGGTTACGATGCAACTGCTTGGTGGGTCGAAAAACAAAAAAAGTTTGAAGTGAATGAAGTTTGATCTTAAATCCGGATTTCTTGCAGTGAAAAGAATTGATCTGCATTGGATCATTGGTTGGTTGGCGTCTTTGGTTGGCGTCCATGAGGCGTCCACCATAAACTCAGAATGGCAATGAGAAAATTATCATAATTCAATGAACATGCTGTTATTAACAGTTATGGTCTTTTACAGAATAGTAATGATAACATAATCTGTTATATGTAGAATGTTATGGCAATGCCAATTATCATGAACATGCAATAAAAGACCATAACAGATTGAACATTACTACATCATCACCCGAGTCTACTGTATCCATCTGTATCCAATGCAAGATAGCTATCATTTGCGATTCAATCAACTTCTGGACTGGTTACTACTAGGAATAAAAGTCATGGGGATATCAAATTTCTAGAAAGGGCAACAGCCATAGGTATTAACACTGATGCTTGCCTGGATCCACCCACCACTGAAGCTGAAAAATCACATGGGCTGCTTTCGTTCAGATGTGATGCCATCCATCTAAAAATATGAAAATCACATCCCAAAAGCAACAAAAGCAACAAAAATCCCATCGAAAACACCGCAGGAAGGGCGACTGTTGATCCGTTCTTCCGGCTGTTCCTTCGCGGCACTCTTTCCCAAATTGGACGCGCTCATCGGGCAGGTGCGGTGAGTCGCCCTTGTCCCTCACGCGGCCGGGTGTGCCCCTCAAAATAGGCCCCAAAAGCATTGACACTTCAAAACATAGTGTCCTTCCTAAAATAAACATAAATACACGCAAAATTCCAATCTCGACTGCAGCACACCTCATCCATGATTTATCAGGGATTGGTAAATGTCCCTTTTTGGGGGTTTATTTCACACTTGAAAAACCAATGAAGGGGGGTCTCATCTACAAATTCCTATGAGCTGCGCAAGATTTCTTCCAATCAACAAATATCAACAGATATCCCTTCCAATATCAACAGATATCAACAGATAAATCTGGATATCTTTGGATATTTTTTCACATCACCTGGCAATTTCAGCTGATTTCCGCCAGCCGCCAGGGTGGTCTCGGGGTGACCTCAGAAGCGCTTCGTGCGGGGGTTCCGGTGATCACCAGTGGCATCCTGTGCCCCGGTCCGGTTTTTTTTTCGGCCATGGCATTTCTTCCAAAAGGTCCGAGAAAGGCGTAACTCACCAAATTGAGCCATTTTTTCGAAACAGCTGTTGATTGCTGTTGATTGGTGAACATATCTGAACTGAGGTGAGTGGAGGTTATACAGCATATCAACTGTTTGATTGTTTGATTTGTCCTTTTTTAAGCAAGTGGAGAGATATCATAGATATTTGATATGTCTATGATATTCTATAGAGAGAAACTCTACTATAGATATTTGATATTTCTATAGAAACCATTATGCATATTTCTATGATATCTCCATGCCAGGCCGGCATGGGAAAACCCATCTCCATTGGCTTCACTGCTCCGTTAATTCCCAGGCTGCTGGATCAACGCTGGTGGGCTGCACGTGTCACGGAGCTGGGCTGCGGCTCAAAACCCGTGAAGGCTCCCGTGGGAAAAATCCCATGGGGAAGATCCATGGTGGAAAATCCCGGATGGATTCATGGGGGAAAAATCTGAAAAATCATTGGGAAACGTTGAGAACTGTTGGATTTTTGGTGGATCATCTGGAATGGATGGATTTTATGGATTTAGCCTCTGGTAAACTGACAAAAAACGAACTGGAAAGATCCACCATGTTTAATGGGTTTTTATCAACTATTTCTATGGGCAATTTTCCATAGCTATGTAACAAATTACCAGGGAGAAAATCTGAAAAATCATTGGGAAAGACTTGTGACTGAAAATGTGAGGAACTGAGGAGTCAAATTGTTTGGGGGGTACCATGGGGTACCCTGTGGTAATCGAAGAATTTTCTGTGGAAAAGCACCGCTTTTTTCCATAGACATGTTGGATTACCAGGGGGCACCCTGATTTTCAGACAGCGATATATGTGGTTTTCCACAAATCATCATAGTGTATATCCATAGCAAGTATTAGTGATATATCAAGGATCCTATGATTATCTTAGGGTTTTTTTCCAGACTATCATGGCAGGATATGTCTCATCATGGGGGATGTCGAATCCTCTGTGAAAACATGTGGGAACCCAGAGGCCAAGGTGCTGGATCATCACAATCCAGGGGAAAATGGGTCATGTGGCTTTCAGGAAATCAATCAATGATGACAAAATAACAATCTTTCTCTCTCTCTATATATATACAGTATACATATATAAATAATAATAATAATACTAATAATAATAGTAATAATAATATATATATATATATGTATATATACACAGTATACACATCAATATAGTAGTATAGCTGTGTACTGTTGATTTTCACTTCACCAATGGCTAGAGAGACGTCCGGATCCGCGGAGCCAGAGGTGGATCGGCTCTTGAACTGGGATCATTCCAATGACTCCACCCGCATCTTGACCTTGGTTGTTTTTGGATGTTTGTTGGGAGGATGCTGTTTCGGAAAACCTCCGGAAATTCAAATTTAGAAGTGGAAATTCTCGAATCATTCGTAAACCTACTAAGGTTAGGGTAAATTCAAGAAGACACCACCCATTTGGGAATGGTTTATAACCACATAAAAAGGGTGATTTGGGGGCTGGTTTATTATTGTTTTACCAACATTATTTGGAGATAATGATTCATTATGAAGTATACCACCCATAGATGGTCATATGGATTGTTGATTATTGGCCTTTACCACATTGATTGTGTAGGTACCTGTGTCCTGTAGCGTGTTTCACTGCGTCGGCTGCGGGCAATGTTTATGTTGGGTATTGTTATTCCTGGCAGTGGAAGTGTTTCCATTTCAAGTACATGTTTTTGCAAACTTGCTGAGGCAACCAACATCTAAGATCCGTCACTGGCGCAAAAACTGTTAGTCCTGGAAACTCATTACGCACTGCTACAGGAAAATGATCTGGAACCTCGGAACGACACAGATCTGTCGTTCGACTGAACACTTTCAGATTCCCGATTTCAGAGATGTTTTTCCGTATCGTCTTTTTCCTATGGGAAAAAAAACGACTCAATTCTGGGTTCTCAAAACACTGTGGGCGATATAACATGATATAACTTAAGTTGCCCTCTGGTAAACTAACATAGCTATGGAAAATCACCATTTTTCATGGGAAAATCCACTATTTCAATGGTCATGTTCAATAGCTATGTTAGTCAGTACCAGAGGGTACATTCCAAGTAGATTTCATCCATCTTCATCCCCGTGGTGGGGCCACGCTGTTTTCATCGAGGTTTGGTGAAGCTTCTGCGGTTGGCTTTGGACACGTCAGAGGAGGCCCGCCGAGAATGCGTTGACAGATGCTAATGATTACACATGGTTGCATATATGTTACATATATTTATATACATATTTAATATATATATATATTATATCTCAAAAGGATAGAAAAAAAAACACAATCCCAACCAAAATAGTGAAAACTCACTTTTTCATCTTTTTTTTGGTTATTATATACAATCTATATGTTACAATAGGTGGATTTCTTAAACTGGGGCTTCCCTGATTGAAAACGACATTTTTTTGATGATTTGGGGTCCACACATTTTAAGAACAGCCAGACATATTGATCCTATCAACCAGCACCTTCGGTTATGGTTTGCTTCAATATCTATTAGTTTAATCAACCTCCTTATGCAAGTTATAATATATATATATGTCATTGATTGGTATATTATCATATATATACACATTATTTGCATTAATTATCATCATTAGAATATTTCTATATAATCTCAATGATCATTTTTATATATCATATATTATAATTGATTAGTATATTATATATCCTGCAAATATATGTATAAATATAATATATTATCTATATTATCTCAATGGTTCGTATTTTGTGAAATACATTTATAATTCCTAATATCTCAACAATCATTATCATATATTATCATATATTATCCCATATATATATATATACATATCATGGAATTGGATGATGGGAAAAATTACAGGAAAGCCCTATATTTCATGGTAAAAACCATGGTTTCCTGTAATTTTTCCCTTAAACCAATCCAATGAACATATTGCTTCAACCAACGAATGGTGTTTCAACCAAGATCCATGGATCTCGATCTCAGGGAAATTGGACGAGCCGCTCAAAGCAGGTGCCGAAGTGGCTATGGGCTATCCATGGCTGGGAAGTTCGTCCGAAGTCAATGGGATATACCCTCTCAATGCTATCAATAGCTATGACTGACCTGAAATATAGGTGATTATGATACTGAAATATCACTATGCTATCAATAAGTCAATGGGATAAACCCTAATTATTGTAAATGTTTACAAAAAACGAACTGGAAAATCACGAACTGCCCACTATGCTATGAATGGGCAAATCCACGGTTTTTTTTTTTGGTCATGTTCAATAGCGAACTGTTAGTTTACCAGAGGGTATATATATATATGCGCCAGTGATTTTATATTGAAACACTAAATGAACTAAATGGGAACAGAGATCCGAACATATATATTTATACAAACATACATAATCATGGAAGAAAACTGAAAACTACACATCTATTGGCATATTTGACTTCCAGAGGGTATCGAAACGAACTTATCTTCCCCAATATATAGGGGGTAAATCCCATCATTTTGTGAAATAGGGGGTCAATCCCCTCATTTGTTTGGACAATGCCATTTTTATGATTCTATGTTTGAAGAATTCTCCCCATTGTATTGTCGTCATCATATGTGTCCCCAAAGATGGGAAATCGCTGGTTGTATAGTGGTATCCCATGAATAAAATGAACCAAGCTCGGAACATATACTGAACATATACCAACACAAGTGTGTTTAGGAATGTTGTCCTCGTGCCATCCCCACAAATTGGTGTATAGAAATGATACGATGTATGCTTAGGTGATCTTCGTTGTAGAATTATATCCCTATTGAAGTGATGTTTTTTTTTCCAACTTCCCCATTCATTCCATATTATCCCATTATAAATCCCCAGTGTATTATTCCTCATGTGTCCTATAGAACCCCCATCAATTGCTGCCGATTCTCCCTTTTCCATAACAGCACTCAGCAGAAACCACTCAAACATCTTCATTATATCTCCAGTGTATTCTTCCTCATGATGTCCCCATAAATTGCTACACTGGAAGATGCCACTCAGTAAATGATGACTGGGGATATGAGAAATGAAGAACAATATACAACAATGTATTCCATGATATGTCCCCTCATTAGGAAATAAACAAACTTTCCATCTTGGGGGAAAAAACATCATTGACGATATTTGTGGATGGCTATCCCCAATGTATCCTCATCATGTTGAGAAACTCACCTGATGGTTTAATATTCACATGAAAAATCAACATGTCCCGACTCACCACATGTCTTCTGGATTGAAGATTGAAGGATTTGAAGCTTGAAACTCTGAAAAGGTTCTGGTGCAATCTTCAATCTTCAATCTTCATCCCCCAAGGTTTTTCCCACGAAAAATCCAACATTTCGAATGGTTTTCCATCCGTGGTTTCTATTGGAGCCCCCATCGTCCCACGATATCTCCATGGGTCCATGACTGAGTTTCCCCCGCCAGGTGGCCAAAGACATTGCCCGTGTGGCAGGGCATGACCCGGATGGCGTGAAACGCAATGCCCAGGTGCCGCGGAACGGGCGGAAAGGAAAGGGCGACGGATCGGTGCTGTGAATGGTGGCACTTGAATGGTGAATGGTGATATAGTGGTGTTATAAATTGATATAGTTTCATTGGGCATAATACTATTGCGAATATGAGGGGATTTCACTAATACAGGATCATAAAAGGAATATCATGGACTATACCTGGACGGATCACAATGATCTCATGTCGTGATGTCACTGGAATGATGGTTGGGTTGCGTGGAATCATCCACAGCCGGAAGCTTCAGTGATTTTTAGCTTGGCGAATGAATCAAATTCAGGTAGATAAAATCCTCAAAGATGAACTAATCAGCACAAGTTACATGGATATATGGAGATGTCTACGAGTATCACTGTTTATCCATGAATAGAGAATCATTTCTCAATCTAGATGTTGGGTACCGGTTCATTGATGATTGTTTTTGACATCAGACTGAAACAACATCTAGATCAGCCCATGACTTGAACCACATGTGCGCAGATCATAGCAACCTCAAAAACAACATCACCATATATACGCGTATATATATATATACATGAATGTTGGTACATGTTGATAGCAGTAGGGGAACTTCGCAATTATGGATCATTTCTTGGTTTCTTCTTACTACTCGTAGCAAACCCCCCATTGACTTGAACATATTTCTGCCCACCATTGTTGAGTAGGGAAATCGTCCAAGATCATGTTCCTAGGGAAACCATTGGTTTTCCACATCTTTTTGTATGTTTACCTGTAAATATCAAATTACATCGGCAAGAGACCCCAAAGAGTGTGGGGGGTAGGAAGTCAATGTAAAATGCCGCGCCCCAGAACTTGGGCTTACGATGCACACGGACATGTCACAAGAGCCATTTCATGCGAGAATTTTGAGGAAAAATGCCGGGGGCCAGAGAGCGTACCCCGATCTAACCCCGCCCTTAACCCTTACCGTGAGAACCCCTCAGTGTGGACACACTGTTTTGGGAGCAAAAGACCCTTGATTTATTGTCGGAGTCTATTCCCATGTGGGGGTTCCCAGTCTAGGGTTAGTCCCGGACTGGCTTCCACAGGAGGTCTTTCTCAAGGGCACCACGCAATCTGTGGTCTTGGAAGATTGCTACGCGGAAAACAGGACGGGTCACATTTTTGGGCGTTTGTTGGTCAGGAGATAACACATAGTGTAACTGGTGGTCTTGGTTGGGGCGTCAAAAGGCCAAAAAACAATTCAATCTTCGGTTGCTTCAGCAAGAAACTGCATAAGAGGCTCCTCTCACTTCAAGTTCAACAAACACTTCCATTTGGCAAAAACACAGGGACTGGGTGGCTGACTTCATGTCACTTATGGGGTCCTGCGGCATTTTTTGCCATTTTGTATGTTTCCCCTTACGAGCTGATTTTCACAGAGGAAGTCTGTCTGGAAGCCTGTTCCTAGCCATAAAAACTGCTTCACCATGACCTCTTTCTGCGGCGCAGGGATGCTTGCTCTTGCTTAGCTCGACAAGCCAAATGCTGTTGTCGATGCGTGGAACGCTGCTTGAGTCTCTTGGTCAAGGGCATCCATAGGCCCATTCGGTAGCAGACAATCAAACCACACTGAAAACCACTAGGGATATTCTTATTCACAAGATATCACCAAGGGTTTCTACAACCACTAAACATGAATAAATGCATGTGTAAAAAATATAACACAAAGTTTCAGCGATTCAGCCAAACCTAATATGTGGTGGCAAAAAAAAGGTTGTGGAGAGGCAGCGGATATCCAACTTTAGTGGTAAATCAAACCAAAAACCTGGGAACCAAAGACGAAATGCGGGCAATGGAGGGATACAGTTGTATTGGACCATTGATTTTTTTGTTTGGAACACTGTGTGGTCGACCAAATTTATAACCTCACTTTGAGCCATTACCATCAACATTTCCCTCTATATAGTGGCTTTGAATTTCTTCCAACAGAATCAAACAAGGAAAAAAAACTAATTAGATGATTCTAAAACATTGACCAACGCCACTTCCTTGATGATTCATGGTGACATGATGTGACATGTGCGTTGTACCTGGTCCTAAACCATTGAGGATGCATCTTTTTCATGAACCTCCCAACTCTGTTCTACGTCCTCCTTTTGCTCCTGGGCCAATGAATTGCTTGAACCGGGAACCGTGTGGTCTGTGGCCTTTGGTCACAAAGTTGTGTGGGATAATTTTTGGTAATTTAGCAGTTTGCTATGGAAATCACCCTTTCAAGAATAGGTAAATAATCTATAAATGGGCCACGGTTTCCATAGTAAACTGTCAAATTGCTGGAGGGTATCCCATGAGTATCCCATTAAATCCATGTTTTTGTGCGCATCATGACCGTCACCTCATGTCCCATTCTTGGATGTCAAGATCTCAAGTTGGACCCTCCACGGTTGTGTTGATCCTTGAACAGGGTTTTTGCCGGGTTATATCGGAGATCAAAACGAAATCTATTCGGTTCCTTGAAGTACCTATATTATACGTAAACATCAAGGGGTTTATGATTTATGATGAACAATCATGTTATGACAACAAGGGTACAGTTCATGATATTCAAGTGCCCAACAATATTTGGTTGTTAGCGAAGCCCCCAGCAAAAAAAACACCGAGGGTGTTGAGCGAGTGCCTGTGTTGTGGCCCTTGTCGCCGTCGTTGTCGATGTTTTTGCTCCAAGAAGGAGCAGGTTGCGCCTGAGGGGGGACGTTGTTGGGGCGGCACCAAGCAGAAAGTGGAGGGGGATTTAGGAGAAACAAAATTTCAACCGACCCAAATTGGGAGCCAACCAAGGAAAATGGAGAATCGATCTACAGTAACAGGAAATGATTGTTTATCATAATTTCTCCATCACAGATGGAGACGCTGAATGTCAAAAAATTGGAAACAGACGCAGCATCCCCACTTCTCAGGGACATATTGACGAGGATCGGAGTCCGAGCAACTGATTTGCTGTGAAATATCACAGGAAAACAACGAAGTTGAAGACCCCACCAGGGTGGTCATTGAAGTGAGATATTACATAGCAACTGAGCCCTTTATTAGTTCAGTCATTCCCAGTCTATTAGAGGTTTTTGCCAGTTGCCAACAATTTTCAACTAGATAATGGTACGAACCCCAAATTTCGTTAGTACATCTGTTTGGCGGTTCCATGTGTGTTTCATCCCTGCGCAGTGGTAGTGCTCCTATTACAATATCATATATTTCAGGGCTGGCCCAACCACCAACCAGAAATAAATGAATCTGAATAGTTTATGGCGGCCTCACTGCAACCTCCCAACTAATGCTGACTTGTCCAGCTGAATCATCGCCCAAATGGTGAAACAAATCAGACTTGGGAATTAATTGAAATGATGATCGACGTCTACAGGTTAAGATCCCCATTTTTCTCCGTTGGACCGTTGGACCACCCTATTTTTTTTACTGCTTCATCCCCAATCATACTAAATCTCTTCAATCCACAGGTTGTTTTTTTTGTTGAGTTTCTTCTGGTGATTTCTATGGCCTCCTTTTCTACTGCTTAAATCCACAAAACTTGTTGGATTCGCCGTCTCTTTTTTCTGCAGATGATCGAGAGCGGGGACGAATCAACGGATGACGTGGAGGGAAGTTCCAGCGATGAGTCAACCCACAGGCGAAGCGAGCTGGGCATGGCATGGGAATCTGTGGGTTTTTCTGAGTAAAAAATGGGATATGCTGGGATTATACTACTGCCCAGTCTAACTGCTAAAAAAAAGCGGGATATACTTATATACTGGGATTGGACTTTTTACATATTTTTTGGATTATAAAAGTAGTAAAACTATTCCCATCCGCTGGGATTATAAAAGTTATACTCATCCCAGCAAAAAAATCCCAATCCCAGTAGAAAACCGTCTTGTAGGTTATACTCATCCCCAATAATAACAGTTTTTTTTTTTTTTTAAGGGAGTTATACTACTGGGATTATTGGGGATGAGTTTTTGACATAATAAAACCCATAGTAAACAACAAACAATGAATATTTCATGAGATTGGAAAAACGGGCGAAATTTTCTCCAAGCCTCATCTGAGTCGACTGGATGGCTAGTTTTACACCTGAAACTCCTCTGATTCGAGAGTGTCCTGATAATTTGGAGCGTAGTGGCAAAGATGGCACGGCACCCAATACATTCCAATGGCCAGATTCGAGTTATGTAATTATAGCTAATGTTGGATACTGATTTAGTGTTGGGCCCCCCCAAACAATTGAGGTATACTCTATTATTCAAAACTTTCTTGGGACCAGGTCTGGGGAACTCAGGATGATCAACTTAAGAAAGGATTTCAGTTGATGCCAATTTACGTTCGATTGATTTTCCTTCTAAATCTCAAAAACATCAGGATTAGTAAGGATTTCAATTCATTTGAATGTACTTTCAATTTATTGTATTTTATAATTTAAATGAAATCTAAGGATAAGTAAGGATGTCAATTCATGCCCATCTACGTTCAATTCATGTTCCTTTAGAGTCTAAAAGAAATATATTGGTAAGGGCTTCAATTGAAATCAATCTACTTTCAATTGATTTTCCTTTTAAATCTCAAAGAAATCAAAGGAGAAGCATGGACTTCACAAGTGACAGACAGCTTCACACCAAGAAACGTGGATAACATGTTTTATTCTCTTTGTACCCCAGAATTTCCTTAGCAGCCTTAGCACAATAAAGTACCATCCAAGCAACTATGTTGAGGATCTGAGTCACTCATGGGGTACCCTCTTGAAACATTGTTTGGGTGCGGTTTCTTAATAAGTGTCCAATAAGAAATTAATGAGTTGGGGAAATTACATTTTGAAGATTCAAGATGATTGGGGTGAGCAAGATACAGCAGCTATACTAAGACAAAGGGTGGACAACAGGTTTTTGAATTTAAGGAAAAAATACTCCAAGAAGGGGCTGGACCTGCAAGAACGATTTTTTTCTTGGACCTGATTTGCTCCGCCTGAAAAAAATTGTCTGATTCTTTTTTTTGCAGTAGGGTTCCACCCAAGCAATTTCAGGAAACTGAATTATGTTGGAAAAACTTTTCACAATAGGGCCCCACCGCACTAATCATTAAATCGGTATACCGCATTATATGCATTAATAAAAACATTCATGACATGTATAATTTATATGGGTCAATACCTATGAAAATACAATTTTTAGTGGGTTATTCACATCCATTTTAACCCAGCTATGACTTGGGGTTCACGGCACGGTACCAGGGTTTTGACCCATCCCCATATAACATTGTTACCCAAGGTTTCAACCGATGGGGTGCGCAAAAAAAACACAATGGATTGGCAGAAACTCAGGCTGCGAAATCCTTATGCACATCACCCAAAGAAAACTGGTCCCATAGTACTGCAACTGCCATGAAGTCAAAATAAATAAAGTGTTCAGTGTCCAGTTAGATTTCCAATTTTTGGCGATATAAATCATGAAATCCCATGGTATTTCTCCTGATGACCATGATGAAGTCTGGATTTTGGCTCTATCAAACACGTAAATTTCCGGATCGAATAGGAGCCACTTCTTTTTGGGGGCCATGGATGGCCATGGGATTTCCTGGTGAGGAACTGGGATAATCAGTGGGTAATCCCATAATCCCATGGCGCGCAGGTTCAATGCTACCCGGAGCTCTGGGATTGATGCTTCACGGACCTCCTTGGGTTTCGAAGCGTCGAAGCGTTGAGTAAAGTAACGCTTTTTTATCACCTGATACAATGGATATTTTGAATGGGATAGGATTTTGTTTTCCGGTTTTTTTTGTTTAACCATCAAGAAGTTTGGGATTTCAGCTCAGTCTATGGCCTAATGTTTCGAATCCGCAGAATGATTTTCGGCTGCGGCTTGGTTCATGTTATAACTTGGATGATTTGGAGGTAGCCCCATGACTTAGGAAACCCCCATATGATGATATGTTGTTTGGTATGTATTGCCAGGCAACCTGTTAATCCAACCTGGCGTGTTGTTGCCTCTTTAGATCGACCTGACAACAAACGAACAATGGATTCAATGGATGGTTAGTAATTTCGTATCAATTTAGCAAGAGAAAGCACAAAAAGTTGTGTTATGATTAACAAACACAACAACGTGGTCTCATGGGGACATTTAAGCACAACTGCCAGGTTCAATTGCGCTTGTGCATGCCAGCTTCATGAATCCTAGCACCCAGCAAAGAGATGCGTTATTTCGAAGAATGAGCTTAAACTTCCAATTGAATATTGGATTATCATTATCTATAATAGATGGATCAGTAGAACTATTTGAAATTAGCATCTTGGATATTAGATGATCTATTTGATAAATTTTTGTTATGGAAATCCCCCCCTATCAACCAATCAGTAGAACGGAATGACAGAGGATAGTTTTGAACACTGCTTAAATATGACAAAAAATGACAAACCATGTATGACGCCCAAGGTCTTACATGAGTTTGTGACTGGTAAGAACATAAGAAACACACATTGACAGAACAATCACATCCGAGGTGGGGTTGTTGACCCTTGGATGGATTTCCCAGGTAAAAAGATATGGGTGACGTGGTGAAAAGTTGGATTGTGATGAAGCCATATTATTTGGCGGGGTGGTCGTCAATCCATTTTCATAAGGATTTATATACCCACTATGTTTGGATTCCCATTATGGGATGGATGACCATAAACTTTATAACTCATAGCATGTTTTGACCCTTGACTTACATAGAAATGGACTGAACTTGTATAGATTCATTGGAAGGTGGCACAATCTGCTACCAAAATGGCAGCCTCCCAACTGGCCAGGGGTTTATGAAGCCTCGGTTGACATTACCCCAAGATACCCCAAGTATCCCAAGTCTCCTGGGTCTCACATGGTCACGCAATGATCGTCTCTGCTGGGGAATGCACATTACTTACTGAACATTACTTTTTGGGTCTATTCATTCCCCATCTGGTTGGTGATGTATGGTGATACACTCACTTTGTCCAGTGACATTTGCCGAATTTTGCCGATGTTTTATCCGGATAAACGTTTGTTGGTGAAGTCATCCTTTTTTGCAAGTGAACTTTCTTCCTATATTAGATACCTTCCGGTGTTCTCAAAGCTGGCACTGGAAAATGCGCCATTGATGCGCCACTGATAGTTTTTTGTGTCCCATTCAAAAAACCTCCAAAAAAACAGGAAGTTTCCAGCCACGTTTGATGACACCGCAGGGATCCGCACCTGCCTGCGTTGTGCGGCCAAGGCTCTTTGGCTCTCTCGCACCCCGTGAGTCCATAGTATGGACATGGACCATGGGTCAAATGTTGGTTTCACAATGTCCAATATGTTCTGGATATTTCTGGTACTTGATTCATTGGATTGGTTTAAGGGAAAATCTACAGGAAACCATGGTTTTTCCCATCATCCAATTCTATGATTGATGGGGTAAATGGATGTTTTGATTGGGCTACGGTTGAGTGAGTTGACCACAGTCCTCAGATTTGCCGCTTTTCATGCCATCGTTTCGCCTCGGGGCGTCAGCAGCCAATGCAACGGATACAGTGCAGCTTAAAAAGGGGCCGTTGGTCAAGCTGCGACACAGATCCTGGGGAGGTCGACATAGGTCGACATAGGTCCATAGGTGACTTGTTGCGACTCAAGTTCCAGTGATCACTTGAAAGAAATTCAACATGGACAGAAAACAACGGCCTTTGCACAGATTCGATCCGGGGTCATTTGCTTCTGCGATGTCACATTTGACCCATAATCTGGCGGTTTGTCCAAATGAGTCAGTTGCTGATAACTGATAACAGTAGTTTGTTACTAACCCAAGTTTGAGAGTTCGGTAAGGTGTGACATCCAAGATTTGGCCAAATAGCCCCAAAAATTGATCAACCCTTTCATCAGTAATGTGTGCTTTCGTCCTGACTTTAAAGTCAAAATATGTACAGCAATGTGGTTGCAGCTGGTCGTACCCCAATTCACATATATTGAGGTTTCCTGAAATGCGGGTACCCCCCAAGTCAGCATGGGTTTCAATGCTAAGTCATGGTCATCCATGACGACTGGATTTGGGGTACCCCGATGCCCTACTTTAGGAAACCCATGGAACCCCCCATATCCATGCCCAAAGATTGCAATTTGTCAATGGGAAAGCCGGGAAAGCCGTAGCGATTTTGATGGCTTCAATGGTTGATCAGTGCAAATTGCAACAAGAAGAAGTCATTTTGAGGCTATACATGGCTATACCCCATTTATCCCCATTTTCAGACATCCATATGCCATATGGTATGCCATATGGTATGACAAATTCGTCATGTCATGTGCAGCTGCAGTCCAGGTTCGAACCCGCCACAGTGCTCGGTGCGTCGTGCGATCGGTTCACCGGCCATGGGTCGAACGATGCGGCGGATGGGAGGTCACGGTTTTTCACAGCCACCTGGTGACCCGGTGAGTGTGAGGGTTAATTATACTGGTTATATATGGTTATATATAGCCCATGCAAAGTCCCAATATAAACGGGTTTTAGTCGAATACCAACGTGGATCAACATGGATTGGCAACATATTCAAACTTCAAACCTTTCTTGGATACAAACGCCCCCGCGGCGAAAGTTCAATGTTATCCATTATCAGCTCAGGTGCAATGGACGAAAGAATCAACCCCCCAACACCACACTTGCTAGCACCAGCACTGAACAAGCAGATTTTTGGGGCGGAGGGATTAGTAATTTTTGCAGGGTTAGAGTATCTTATCCATCTAGTGTAGGCCTTTTGCGAACCTGCTGGCCCATCAAAGTACGAAATGCACCCTTAATGTGGCTATCACAGGACAGGGATCTTACTAAGACATTGTCCGGGAATATATGTAAACTCGGTGATGATTTCAGGGTCCATTTTGGGAGCCGACCAAATGATTCCTGGTTTGCTAAACGTATCAAAGTTCTTGATGGGGCATACCCGGAAAACATGTTTTGCTTCTGATTCTTCTGGATTTTCTACGCCTTTGGGAAATCTTTGTGTTTGAAGATTCTCCCTACGCATGGGGTGGTTTTGGGTGAGGTGGTACCATGCACACCATCTTCCAATTTTTATCCAGATATCCAATGAGTAGCTCCTTCCAAAGCTTGGCAGGTCCTTTGCCTCTGCTGCTGTCACTGGGTGTGGCGCTCTGCGCAGCTACCTGCACCCTGCGCACCGCTTTCATCACGACCCAAAGCGTGCCGACTTCGCCGCCGTTGATAGCGCGCAGTGCACGAAAAGCAACAGGTGCCTGGTTAGGATTTCCAGCATCACCCAAATAGATGTGGATGCAATATACCCCTAAGTTGAAACTCAAGACATACTTGGATATAGAATGATATAGATATATTAAATTGAAATCCCCAAGTTGCATCACCAGATATAAACTTACAGTATATACCCTGCGGTACATACAAAATTACGAACAATCGAACAGATGTGGAAGACACATGGGGAAACCCGTTCAAAAAGTTGATCTACTTAACTGGCGGGGATTCCACCTCTATAACATCTCTATAACTAATGTTTGTTTACAGTAGGGTATAAAAAATAGTATAACCTCATAATAAACTCATATTTCTATACTTATTATTTATGTGAGTATGTAGTATATGTATAGTACATATATATATATACACGTGTAGTGTATATATATATATATGTAGTATATAAATGTATAGTATATATATAGTTCATATATATATAGTATATATATATATGTAGTATATATATAGTATATATATATGTAGTATATATATATATGTAGTATATATTTTATATTGTATATATATATAGTATATATATAGCATATATATATACTATATATATAGTGTATATATATATATATATGCACATGTTATATCATACCTAGTTCGCCGTTAAAAACAAAAATATTGGGTTGGCCTTTTCGGTGATGTTCTGAGCTCAGTCAGGCGATGAACTGGTTCCGCCAAAGCGACCAGCCTCGTCCTACATGAGCGGCGAGCTCAGTGAGATTAAGCCACTGGTGATTTCACTGGCTGGATATTTTACTTGAAAATCAGTGGGATATCCACATCCATTAGACAAAACGATAGAAAACTACATCGAAACAAGCTGAAACTATAGTACTTAATGGTTGCCATTGTGTTGGAGTATTTTTTGCATTAAGCCAATGGGGACATTGGAGGAAACCAGGGCAAAACTGGATATTGGATCTGAAAAGATGGGGCGTTTGGATTGAACGATCCACGAGATTTAACCCCTGAATCCATGGGATTTGGATTGATTTGGCTTTGTCCCAGCTAAGAATTACGAATTACTGGGGAAATCATCCCGACACATTACGAATTACTTCTGCACTTCCGATGTTCCAAGCTAGAAGCCACATGAACCTGACATTGGATATTGGATGGTGATATTGGATGGTGAATTCACTCTTTGATGGATAAAATCTCTACACAATTCATTGGATTGGCTCAGTGTAAGGAACACCGGGCAAGAACCCCGCAAGATTGATCGTAGAGTCGTGGATTTTCCCGGGCAGTACATCATCCCACGGGAGATGAATCGCATCCGTGACGAGAATCTTCAGCTGCCAAGTTCCCAAAACAGCCAGATGAACATGTTACATTAACCCGCCAAAACCTGTTGTTGGTTGATCATTTGCTAGTACTAGTAGGTTTATACTACCTGACCAGCTACTCAAAGATATCATTCTCGCCCTTCAGCAGTGCATCTCATGTCCCAGTGCTAGCTTAAATGTCATGCGCGTATCAATAAATATCACATATATATATATATCATATATGAGGGTTTATCCATAGTAAGTGGTTTATAACCCATGTATAAGTGGGACTATCCCCTAAAGATACAAAATGACCACTGTTTGAGCACCATGTTTCCTTTAGCAAAAACACAATAAGTTAAGTCACCTTCTACTATATACATCCATATAGCCATTATGTTCCCATCATATCACCACTATACCCATTATATTCCCATTATGCCATATATATATATATATATATATATCAATCACATTCTCAAAATCTAATCTCATCAGTATATGAATCTATCTGAATCTATACAAAAGCACATGTCATATTCATGTCAATCCCTTAAAACTTGGATCTTTTCACCATGCATCACTTATCAAACCCCAGGTTGGCTGAACGACAACCGCGAGAGCATCGTGGAGAAACTTGGCACCAACAGTGTCACGTTGGTCGCCAAAGAGGCCGGACAACAGTGGAAGAAGCTCAGCGCAGCGAAGAAGAAACCCTACGAAGCGGCAGCTCGGCGACTTTTGATACCGACCTCAAGCAATGGGTATTTTTGATTTGGACTTAGTCAGGAAAAATATGGCAAGGTGTGGACCTGGATGAAATGGGATGAGGGGATATCTTGCTGGTCAAGTTTGTTACTAATTGGATTGAACCATTGTTGGTCCAACCATAATGGGATATACTGCCAACTATAATGGGAGAACACGGGAATATGCTTGAGAGTTCCTCATGAGAATATAATGGGGAAGATGCTACCAATTCAAAAACTGGTGATATTTCGTACAAACCATTTGTACTGGTCGTTTAATGCTAGTTTAAGCAGCCAATATAGGGTTTCACTATAGGACAAACTCGAATACGTTTGGCGATAGTCAATGCGAATTCAAGGGAAAACAATGGGGAAGTATTATTTTATTTCCACATCAATCATCATAAACAGGCATTATAACCAGTCAAAATAGGAACTAAAGGTGAATTCCTATGGTCTTATCTAGAATCACGGGAATATTTTGTGGGGAGTAGCTACCACAAGGTGTTGCCCCAAGATCAACCTGGGGATGATCATCACCAAATGGTGATATCACGCGCCACCAGTTGAACCACCAGCAGCACCAATGGTTCACCAGTTGAAGCAACAGAAACGGGGATTGAATCAATAAGATTCCTGTGGCGCCAGCTGGCAGTACCTGGTTTTTGAGTTTCATTTTGGTTGATATGGTGTTTTTTTTCTCATGGATGCGGGGATAAGCATCCATTTTACCAACTAGTTAATTGAAATCGTCGAGGAAAAGGCACTTGAAATCATCAGAAACATTCAGAAACCACAAAAATATCTTGAAGAAGGATCATGATCATGATCATGATCATGATGATGATGATGATGATGATGATGATGATGATGATGAGATGATGATGATGATGATGATGTTTTTGTTCAACTCCCACAGCTAGGCTGAAGTTCCCCAGTTGGCAATGGAAATCAGGATATTGGAACACTTGAGTCCATAGCTGATGATTTAAGATTATTTTGCCGGCAGAAAAAAGTGAAAACGACGTTACACAGAAATAACCATACATGGATAATTGGTGATCAACAACTCTCCCTGTTGCCGCTTCATTTTGCCTATATGTCAACGTTTAAGGTATTTCTTGCAATGATCAAATATCGCCACCCATAGGAGAAAGTAAGTAAATGTGGCAAACCCAATCGTAAACCTACAATTACAACCGGCTTAGGCGATCCCTTTCCATCCCTTTCCAGAAGCACTGGGATGGACCATTATTAGCTGCTTTCGCACAGTATAGCACAGTGATTATACTATATCATACTTCTTGAGCAGGATCAGGTTGATTATCCAGTTTAGGCACAATATCACAGCATATTACATCACAATTCCATCATACCTGAGAGCTCCAAATGTATGGAAGTTTTTGCCAATTTACGATGTCGGCAGAATTTTCAGATTTCGCTCTTAAAAACGGCTTTCGGCGGAATTCCATCATTGGAGACCAATTTCGGCAGAATTGATTGTTGAATGCTTGCCCCAGTAAAGTCAAAAAAAATGTCGGCAGATTTCGGCAGAATTGCCCGAAACGGCGGAATTGCCCGCAATTTCGGCGGAATTACCCGGACTCAGCATTGGTTACAAATAAGCACAGCCCATGAAAACTCTATCTCGGCAGAATTGAAAATTGTCGGCAATTTTATCTGTTTTCGGCAGAAATTTTAGAATTCGGCGATTCCTATGCTGAAATGTAATTTCGGCAGAAGTTCCCAAAAAGGATTCCCCAGGTATGTTATACTGCATAACCTATCCAATAGATAATCAATATGCATTTGCATATGATCTAACCAACTATAAAAGGACAGGATCTATTAGAACGCAAAGATTGGGATAGGCTGATTCCTTTTACCACCGGATGCTCTTGTATGAGTTTGCGAAGTGAATTCAAGGGGTCACCATTTTCAGACTGTGGCACCTACGGCTCAAGATGTTGGCGTCTAGAACGCTTCGTTTTCGTCTACCTTCTTCGAATGCTTAGAGTGAACGTATTGTTCCCGAGCGGTTCTGGAGAGACTTTGTTACTCCCTGAGCACTCCAAAGTGGGGGACTTAAAAATTCTGGCCCAACACACATTCGGAAAGGGCTTTCTGAAACTGGTCACTGTGCAGGGACACGTCCTGACCAATCCATTGGACTCTTTGCAAGCTGCGGGGGTGCAAGACGGAGAGCACCTAACAGCTGTGGCAGGACAAGTCAGAGTAAAAGCAGGAATCTACGCTTTTGCGATCTGTGGAGGTAACGATCTGATGCTTAGCTGGGGCAGGCCAGACCGAGGCGGTGACTGCTCTCCAGTTCAAAATCAGCTCAGGAATGTGCAGCAAATCCAGGCCACACTTTGGGCGTTTGCTGCGATCTCAGCAGATGGGTCAGTGGTTGCTTGGGGGCATCCAGGCTATGGCGGCGACTGCTCTGCAGTTCAGCATCAGCTGCAGAATGTGCAGCAAATTCAGGCCACGTATGGCGGTGCATTCGCTGCAATCTTGGCTAATGGATCAGTGGTTACCTGGGGCAACCCAGACCAAGGTGGTGACTGCTCTGCAGTTCAGCATCAGCTGAGCAATGTGCAGGAGATTCAGGGCACAGGCGGCGCATTTGCCGCAATCCTGGCGGACGCATCAGTGGTCGCATGGGGGGATCCTGAGTCTGGTGGGGACTGCTCGGCAATTCAAGATCAGCTGAGGAATGTGGAGCGAATTCAGGCTACAAAAGTTGGCTCGTTTGCCGCAATCTTGGCCAATGCATCAGTGGTTGCCTGGGGAGAACCATCCTTTGGTGGTGACTGCTCTGCAGTTCAACATCAGCTCAGGAATGTGCAGCAAATTCAGGCCACCAGTTGCGCATTTGCTGCGATCTTGTTTGATGGATCAGTGGTTGCCTGGGGGGAACCAGTTTTTGGTGGTGACTGCTCTGCAGTTCAGCATCAGCTGCAGAATGTGCAGCAAATTCAGGCCACAGGTTGCGCATTTGCTGCGATCTTAGCCGATGGATCTGTGGTTGCTTGGGGCCTTCCAGATTCTGGTGGTGACTGCTCTGCAGTTCAGCATCAGCTGCAGAATGTGCAGCAGATTCAGGCCACAGGTGGCGCTTTTGCTGCAATCCTAGCGGATGGATCAGCGGTTGCCTGGGGCAAGCCAGACTTTGGTGGTGACTGCTCTGCAGTTCAACAGCAGCTGAGTAATGTGGAGCAAATTCAGGCCGCAACTGCGGCCTTCGCTGCAATCTTGGCTAATGGATCAGTGGTTACCTGGGGCAACCCAGACCAAGGTGGTGACTGCTCTGCAGTTCAGCATCAGCTGAGCAATGTGCAGGAGATTCAGGGCACAGCCGGCGCATTTGCTGCAGTCTTGGCTGATGGATCAGTGGTTACCTGGGGCGATCCAGACTATGGTGGTGACAGTTCTGCCGTTCAAGATCAGCTCCAATATTTGTAGATCATTAAACCATGATTTCCGTACTAAAACAGGTGCATGCAGTGCTTCGTCACGGGGAAGATCAGGGAACTAGTACCAAGTGACGAATATTTGGTCTGTGAGAGAAAGATGGCAGGGGCCCTATATTGAACCCAAGACAGATGAACATCTTACCAATGTTAGCAACCCTGGGTGAAAAGCTGGTAACTGGGACAGCTGCTGTGCAGAGTCCTGCTGATGAGATGATAATTATGTTGGCACAATCGTGCCATGTGGCACTGATGTTAATATTTATTTGATGACTGGGGTCCATTGACTGTCCCCGTGTTTCCCTTAGTAGCATACCCTTAGGTCTGGCCCGGAAGTGTTGGATCAACCAACAAGAAGATTGGTCGAAACACCAGAAAGCATTTGTATTGGATTATCCTTTGGTAAATGAACATTGCTGTGGAAAATGGTCCATTTACAGATGATTTACCTATTAAGCATGACTGGAGGGTGACATACAGTGACAACTGGTGGGGTCTTCATTGAGTGGCCAAGACTCACATGTGAATTTGGGTGTTTGGGTGGTGTAGAACCAGCAACTCATGAAGTTCAGAAGGGAAACCAGCATGTTTTCCCATTAAACATGGGGTTGTGAAAAGTGAACCAACCATCAAAGATCATGAACATGAACCAATCAACCATTATTATCTCAAGTTCTAATCCAGATACCTTGAACCCTTATATATTACTATAAATATACGTGTTTAATATATATATATATATATATATAGCAAGCCGGTAAAAGACATATAAATAAACTCCGCAACGAGAATAGCAGTCAATATATGTTCTTTCTTGGGCTGGGGGTGCTCAAAATGTATTGTATGTATATATATATATACACAGATATCAAGTAAGTTTCAAGTTTTTATGTTTGCCATTTCTATCATTATCAGTAATGTTCTCACGCCACCACTAACCCACCCATCAATTATCAGTACTCGTACGCCAAATCCCCAGGGAAAGATGAATCCCCCCCGCATAATAAAGCACGCCAGCCGATTTTTGGAATGCGGTTCTTTTTCATGTGTTTGTTTTAACAAAAAACTGAATTGATGAATTTTGTGTTTTCCCTCTTTAATTCTGAGTCTGACCTCAAAGATCAAATTAATACATTAAATCGGAATCTCGAAAGATCTGAATTGATCGATTGCTATTTACAACCCTTTTAAACCATACAAAACATCGCACAAAGGGGGTAGCCCTGAAGCCACCTAACATCAAAACAATAATGAATGACTTCACCCCCTAAATCGATCTAAATCTAGTATTTGGATCTCAAGGGCCTAAACTTTGGTGGTTCAATTCATGTCTCAATTCCTTTCCTAATTGAATCCCTTTTAAAGAATAAGATGCCCAAGTCCCCCTTGAACCAAATACTTTCTTTAGAGTGCCACCCCATGCCACCCGAAATAATGTATTCTGAAATACGATCCCCTTTTTTTGGCGGGGGGGCCAACCCTTTCTCAAACCCTTTCTGAAACCTTCAAAACCCTTTGGGCTGGAAGCTGGAACAACTCAACCTTTTCTGAAAAAATGTGGAATTGAAGAAAATCAAAAGGGCTCAAATGCTCGATTTCCTTTTAATACCCTTTCGCAGTAATCCTAAAAATCAATAAAAATCAATCGTGCAAAGGGGGTGAGCCCTCAAGCCACCTAACATCTATAGATAATAATTAATGATTTCACGCCCTAAGGGCCCAAAATTCCTTGATTAACCCGCCAGCGGCCCGAGACATCGACCTGAAAATTTGGCGGTTCAATGAATTTCTCAAAACCTTTCACATTTAATTTCCTTTTAAAGAATAAGATGCTCAACTACCCCATGAACCAAATATTTTATTTGGAGGCCCTCCGGAAATAAGGTATTCTGAAATACGCTCACAATGTTTTTTTTGGTGGCATCCCTTTCTCAAACCCTTCCTGAAACCCTCACCATCCTTTGAGCTGGAAGCTGGAACAACTTAACCTTTTTTGAAAAGTGGTGTGTTTGGCATTAATGTGGCTTGAACCTAGTGAAAATACAGCTTTTGGTACCAAAAAAATCGTACCTTCGTGTCAACTCCAACCCCCTTTGAAACTTTTTTGTTTGACATTAGTGTGGGTTGGAACTAATCAAAACACAGCTTTTGGGACCAAGGACACCTTTCCTTCGCAACATGATGCGTCAACCCCAAAAAGACCTTGAAAGTAATGTGTTTGCCATTAGTGCGGCTTGGAACTAATGAAATCGTTTTCGAGTACGCAATTTAATCAGCAATACTAAAATGAAAACATGTGTATTCCTTTTCAGTTAGGCAGTTCGTTCGGGAGTGCTAAAACGAGAGAATCCACTTATGTATTCTTTTTTACTTCGGCAACTTATTTGGGAATGCTAAACTGACCACAGAATCCATTCATGTGTTCGTTTTCAAGTAGGCACTTCATTGGGGAATACGTTTCCAGGTACCCCAGGCCATTGTTGGGCCTCATTGTTTTTTGCCTAAAATGTTTGGGGGGGTTTAAATAGAACATCAACATTGTGGTGTGTTTCCATATCATTTTTGATGGATTTTCTATAATTGTTTTTTGCCGTTCAAAGATATAATTCTTCATATAATATAAATATAAATAACCAACAATCACTAGCAGGGGGTAGCGGCAGATCACTTGGGACCGCTACCACCGAAGACACCCATTTGATCTGGAGATTGGGACGCCAATCTGCGTACCTGCAACATTACGTTTTTCAATTACGTTTTTCAATTACGTAGGCTCGACAGTGAACTTCGTCAGCATTTTCATCCTCATGGCAAGCGGCTAAGCCAAGAACCGCCTCGCCAAAGTTGTTTTCACTTTCACGTCAATTATCAACATGTCATGCCGAAGATGCTCTTGTTGACTGGGATTAATTTGAAGTCTTGAATTATACATGGCGATATCATGACACGATTCATCTCATCTCATCTCATGTCTCTCGCTTCGGGGAGTGTGTGTTCCAATATTTTCAATCCCATCAACCCATCAAACCATCCCATCTGACGTTTCTCCGAGGCTTGGGTCAAGGCCAAGGCGAAATACGCCAAGGACCTGGAGGATTTCAAGGCCGCGGGCGGCGTCATCCTGAAACCCGAGAAGAGGACGAGTCGGACGCGCTCGACGCGCGCGTCTTGGTGAGAGACGAGCCGTGCCACGATGGTGGGGGATGCTATACGGGGCCGTAGGGAATGGGAGATGGGCGAAGCTTAGCAACCTCAAAAATGAGGGAAAATCATGGAAAATCCGCAAAAATCATGTGGAGGTGTGGGTGAAATTTCGCAACACCTCGGTATATCAGTATAATTTTCTTTGAGTTTTGATAGGTAAGTTGGTACGCAAAACTAGGACGATTAAATTTAGGGCGGATATACCTGCAATTGGATTAACTGGGGGCCAACATTGCGGGGATATGGGAGAGTTTGGTGAAACGTCCAGTCATGGGTCGAGAGTTACGGGAAAGACTGCCAAAAATGATCAAAAAAATGGCGGTTTAAATCACAGTAACCCAAAGCATCAAACACTGATGCAAACCGTTTGGATGGGTACTTTAGTACAAGCGTATCTTTCGCTTTCAATGGGAAAACAGTCATCAGCCAGCAAACGCAAAAAATTGAATGCTTTTTGTTGGGATGCGTGTTTTTGGACAAAGATTGAGGAATTGAGTTCACATCCTTTCGGAAATTCATCTCCGAGAGATATCTATGGCTGGCCAGGGTGAGGGGAGTTGGCTTGGTCGACCTCATAGAAAATCTGGGGAGCCTTGAAAGCCGACATTTTGAGGTTGTAGTGTTTCTCTTGTAGAGTAGTAAACCAAATCATGTGCCCTTGTTCCCAAAGAGAGTTTGCCTGAAAATAGGGTATCCGTTCCATCCACTGGTTTATTTTCACGTTCTCATTTTTACATTAAAATTTTTGGATGTTTCTACACAACCAAATTTAATTCCCAAAGAATTGAGCAGTCTTCAAATCGTTTGATTACCGTTTACAGATTGGAGATGATCAGAATCCATGAATTTTCGAACTGTGAACCCCTTGTAAGTCTTCAGATAAATCGCCTAAATGCTGGGTACATCCCGGGCCATCCTGTGATCAGACCATCCCAAGGCGAAACGTGATCCCAACATGCCCAAGCGGCCCCTAAGTTCGTGGCTCGCTTCGGAACGGTCGTGGCGCAACCTTGGAGCTTAAGGTGGGGTATAACGGTATAACCCATGGAATCTCATATGTTAGTGGGGTATAACCCATAGAACCCCATCTATCTATCTATCTATCTATCCATCTATCTATCCATCTATCTATCTATCTACCTATCTATCTATATCTATCTATCTTTCTTTCTACCTTATCTTTTCTTATCTTCTCTTATCTTGTCCCATCTTATCTTATCTTATCTTATCTTATCTTATCTTATCTTATCTATCTTATCTATCTTATCTTTCTATTGATCTATCTGTCTATCTATCTATCTATCTATCTAGCTATCTAGCTATCTAGCTATTTAGCTAGCTAGCTAGCTAGCTATCTATCTACCTATCTATCTATCTATCTATCTATCTATCTATCTGGTAATTGTTCATGTTATACTGTTTGGTGGTTTGGAACATTTGGATTATTTTCCATATATTGGGAATACTAACAATTAATAACCCCATTTGACCTCCATATTTTTCAGAGGGGTTGACCAGTAGTGAGCTGCCAAAAAAACTCGATACTTAGCTATGTCTTGGGTGATCCTTGGTTCATAATTAGCCGCATCGCCGCACCTAATTCTGGGCTTCAAGTGTTTTGGGGGTATTGTAGGTGGGGAATGACATCCTGAACGACATCTAAACGACATCCAAATCATATCTATGAAATTTTGAAAACGGAAACTACCTTCAAAAGGCTCAGGTAGAGGCGGTAGAGGTGTTGGGAGCGTTGAGGTATAGGCTGACTCCGCGCCACAAGGGTTGCCCAAATCTCCCTTTTTTTGAGACGGCAATAAGCAAAACAAAATTGCTGAAAAGAACGTTGTTCAGCTGCCATTCTCTGAGGTCTGCATCTTGACAGTAAATTTGTCTCTTGGAAATCCCACGTGATTTGAACGACATCCGAAACGACATCTGAACGACACATGAACGACATCCAAACCTGTCATAGGTGACCATATGCCAAAATGGTTTTCCTTGTTTTGCAAACGTATAGGATGTATAGGTAAAGGGGAAAAACAAAGTCAGAAGGCAAAGGCTGAACATCGTTTTCCCGCACAGGCCATTTTGGCCACGAGCGACTTTGCAAAAAAACACAATGAAAGAATGCTCTAGAAAAGTGGGAGTATTCTATATCTATATATAATATATATATATAATATATATAATATATATATATGTATCAAACTGTGAGTAAAACCCATTTACGACCCCCCCCAAGTAGTTGGATTGCTAGCAATGCCATGCAAACCTGGTTGTGGGGCGACAGTTTCTCGGGAAATTACAGGTCGGTTTTTGAGGTTTCATTTCTTGCGAAATGGTCTGGATGAGTCCTTTTCTACGCGGGTTGATTTTTTCACCATTTGGATATAGTTGGATTTGGGTTCATCTATGGTCATTTTTCATCATCTAAACAGGGGGATACCATATAATACCCCCAACTGGGGATGGTTTTTTAGGTTTGACCTACCTTTGCCAACACAGCGTTTCTGACATGTCATTGTCCATCCCTGGAAATGTGAAAAATCCAAGTGATGGTGTTTGCCAAATGAGGAGTTGGACAGCTAAGAAATTGGCTGACATTGCAGTCACTGAAGGCTATCCTCAGGCAATCAAACATGGCAATGGGAATTTCTATAAAAATGGTGGTTTCAATTTAATCGGAACATCATTAAGTGGAGGGCTGTCCATCGGCAGTATTGTTTCAGTGCCCTTTTCAACTAGCAGTCAACATCTCCGTTTTGCTTCAAACAATGTATTTTGTTCTGCAGTGTCTGAGGTATATGCTGTGGCTGCAAGACAATCGTGCAAGCATCGTGATGCTTTGCTGAGAACATTCGATTTGGTTTGCATTGTTTTCCCGCTGGGAACATCCCCATGTCCTGTTGTGCTTGCATAAATTCAACATGATATCACCCGTAGGAATCGGTATCAGTCTCTGTTTTAGATATACTGATTTCCTGCTTGGAATACACATCATGATAGTAATAGCTAACAATCATCATCATCCATCTCCTGTTTTGGTGGCGCACCTACGTCTTGACTTCATGGTCAGTCTTGATGCTAGATAATCCATATGGTTGTTTCCCAAATTTTTGGGACCCCAAACTTCATCCATTTCCCTGACATATCAAACATGGCCAGTGCAACTTGGATGATCATTTGGGGTCAACCATGACTTAGGACCCCTATACCCCCATATTTAAGGTTAACACAGATAAACCCCTATGGGTGATGGCTCAACCCCGCAAATGTACCATGGTCAGCAGATGGGTTTGTGTTTGAATACGGCACGGTCTAGCTCTGGCAATTGCCAGCCATGGATTCGGCAGCGTGTCCGCCAGGGAGTCAACAGATGGATTCTATGCCCATATCATGAATGGGTCATGTGGAATGTATATATATATATATACATATATATATATAGTTATTATATATATAGTTATTATATACATATAGTAACTACATATATAATAACTATATATATATATACACTCATTAGAAGGAACCCCGTTTGTGATGATGGGATGATCAGGGGCTCCATTCATCCCATGTCGCCACTAGCACTGCCATGGCTCAGGAAGTCAATGCCTGCAGGGCACAAAGTCACCGACGTCATGCGGGAAGCAGGGGCGCAGTGGAGCAAGCTGACGGCCGCCAAGAAGAAGAAATACGTGCCCCGGCCGGACGAGGATGGGGCGGATGAGGATAAGTTGTGAGTTGTGTGTGTGTGAATCCCGCTAGGAGTCATGCGGGTAAGAATAATTAAAAACTGGTTGAATTTCTGTCATCAACTCGCAGGGGGCCAGTGCATGACATCACGACACTGGCCAACGAAGCTAGTGATGTCATGGGAAGCGGTTGGAGACGTCGAACCGTGTACTTGCAAAAGAGCGTGAAATTTCAAGCCGTTGCAATCAGGCTCTTGCAGGTTCATAGGTGTCTACAAGTGCATGTCGTAATTTCTGATCATCAGGACGACCTCTTAGGAAACATCAAGGCAAAGACGATGCCATCATTGCAAAGATCCATTTTTACAAAGTAATTTATTTACTCTATCAACGGCGTGTCTGTTTGAACATGCGGTATCAAAAATAACGGGGTGGTAGAAATCAAAAAGATTGGAGATGTAACGGGATAAAGTAAGCTATAGTAAGCTATACAACCAAGGTGATACAAGTTTGGGGTTTGTCTGCAAATGGGGGCCATACTGCCTGAAATTGTCAGTCTTTGGGGAACATGTGATTAGCAATGTCGGGTCTTGATTTAGTGTAGGGAGGACCCCCCAAACATTTGAAGGGGTCTCTTTAGGCTGGTAACTTTTGAGGGGCTGAAGCCTGAATACTGTTTGATCATGATCTTTAAGTAAGGATTTTGATTGATTTCAGCTTACTTTCATTTGATTTAAGCTTGCTTTCAAGTGAAATTCAATTGATTTTCAATTTGTTTCAATTTACTTTCAATGTACCTTTAATTATTTCAATTGCTTGCGCTTCACTCCCAACCGATTTCAATTTAAGTTTAATTGATTTCAGTTTGCTTTCAAGTGGTTTCATATTTATTAAAGCTCAGAAACAAAAGTGGGCACAATACAAGACCCCCACAATAAACATGAGATTGAAGATCAGGGTTGCTCATGGGCTACCCCCTTTAAAACATGTCGGGGTGTTGTTGTTGTTGTTGTTGCTGCTGTGTTTGTTGTTCTTGTTGTTGTTGTTGTTGGTTGTTGGTTGTTGGTTGTTGGTTGTTGGTTGTTGGTTGTTGGTTGTTGGCTGTTGGTTGTTGGTTGTTGGTTGTTTGTTGTTTGTTGTTTGTTGTTTGTTGTTCCTTCCGGACCGCTGTCGGCGCGCACGGGGGACAGCGTAAAACTGCTTGTCAGGGCGTGTTTATGTTCATTTCGCTCACTGTAGCCAGTGTTTCGTGATGGTACGTTGAAGTTGTGCCCGTCAGTTAGAAGTTGTGCCCGTCAGTTAGAAGTTGTGCCCGTCAGTTCGAAGTTGTGTCCGTTAGTTAAAGTTGTGCCCGCATGACATTTTATTATTTTTGGGGTGGGGAACAGGGGGGGTGGGGGGGTGTGGGGGGTGTGGGGGGGCACACTCACACACGCGTGATGTCACGTAGTAACATCTTCTCTGGCAGGTCAAGTCTCTTCTCTGTTACGTAGTACAAATCACTCCCGTCTCTTTTGGGGCGCAACAGCCGCTGAGCTGCTTGCTGGGGCTAAATGTTCTGCATCCTTGGGGGTGTCGTGTGTTGGCAGCAGAGGTGGCAATGGATTTGGCTTTCTAGAATAGATATATAGATGGATAATCGTTAGGCAGCTAAATCAATAGGTCAATAGGTCGATAAATCTATGTCTCAGGTTGGATGCGATCCCCAAAAAAATGGGAAAGTGTCAGATGACAACGCGTGGCTGAAGATATGAATAAAAAGTTAGCATGTCGGCGCGCGCCCACAAAGGACCGAAACGTTGTTTGTTGTTTGTTGTTTGTTTGTTTGTTTGGTTGGTTGGTTGGTTGGTTGGTTGTTTGGTTGTTTGGTTGTTTGGTTGTTTGGTTGTTTGGTTGTTTGGTTGTTTGGTTGTTGTTGTTGTTGGTTGTGGTTGTGGTTGTGGTTGTGGTTGTTGTTGTTGGTTGTGGTTGTGGTTGTGGTTGTGGTTGTGGTTGTTGTTGTTGTTGTGTTTGTTTTTGTTTTTGTTGTTGTTTTTGTTGTTGTTGTTCGTTTAGATTTGTATAAAGAATTTGATGTGTTGAGAAATTTGGCAAGCATGTTTTTATTGAATCAATCATATTTTAACTCATATTCTGAAAACCATCAAGCACATTGACAAACATGTTGAAAACGTTGAAAAACGTGAAAACATAAGCTGAGAAAAACCAAATTTGACACAATACAATACCAACCCTCCACACTAATCAAGATCCAACGTTAACCAATATTCACCAGTGGGTTTTGGGGTACCCTATATTTGGACACACCGTATTGGTGGTTTCAACTTGAAGTTTTGTATTTACCATTCACCAAATGGAATGATGATTTCCACTCCATACTTCTGGCATTGGTTGAAAACACCAGCCACATCAGATTGTAGGGAACTTCAGTAGTTTCAAGACTAGCCATGAAATGACTGGGGACTGGGTAAATGGAAAATGATGTTTTTTGCTTGACGCAGTGGCTTCGGAAATCAGTTGTGGAACCAGATCATCTATGGATAGTGCCAGGAATATGCTAAGATACTGTATATACTGATAAGATCCTTGGGCTGCAAGAGTTGGAATGGACCGAATGGTTGTTTCTGGTTACGCTGGAATTTGGGGTGCCTAGCGGTTTCATTTGGATGCGAGTGAAGAGAATAGTTCAAGAACGGTCGGTTTTCCTGTTGGTTCGGCTCAATGAACATTGACATGATTCATGCTCTTTGGACTTTGGTGGTGAAAAACGCGTGAAACTAAGTGTTTTGAAGTTAGGGCCGCCCGCAGGCAACACAGGGCAACATGGCATTCTTGCTTTAAGAGGTTCTTGGTTATGAGTTGTCTCGTTTCCCTGCAGCAGGTTCAGATGGCACCAACAATAAGACCAAGTTGCGGCTTTAAAGGGGGGGAAACTCAACTTGAAGCCACTTCAAAATATCCAGTCACGTAATCCATGTGATTGTTGACATCTCAAAGCCAAGGCAGCATTAATGTAGCCCAAACCCATCTACAGATCTACTCTATGCTTATCTTTGCGCATCTATACCCATATATATATATATGTAAATATATATATATTATAATGATTTTGTGCAACTACTATTCTTTGATAGTGATAGGATTTGTCAGATGCAGCATGATTTCCTTCCCAGGAAAAGGCCGCCGCCGATGCGAAGGCCAAATACCTTGACGCTTTGCGCAAATGATTTCCCCTTTTCTTCGTTGGGGTGGCACTCATGCCCGGTCTTTCCAGAGGCTCTTGATACCTCGCATTTTTCTCAAATTGTTGTGTTCAACCCCTGTAGCCTACATTCGCATGAAAAGAGTTTCTGTTCATGGACATGCATTCCTTGTTCCAAGATGTCAGCATCACAAGTTTTGGCCCATCTCCATATATCTTTCGATGATGCTGGTGTTGTATCAATGGCCTTTGCTGGTAGAGATGGAGTGCTTCAGACCTCCAAAGGTGCCCAAATCAACAATCGATCCATGAGTCATCATGGGTCCATGTTCAAAGGGCACTTTTAAAACAACTAAACCATCACATTATATACATTATATATGCGACCTCCCCCACCAATAACGATAAAATAGCTTAAATCTTGATAAATGCAACGGTTGCATAGCTATGACCCACTGCGTGATCTAAAGCAAAGAGATCAGATATGTTCAGAGCGGCAAGCAGAGTAGCAAGACTAGACTGTTGCAGGCTTTGAAGAATTGAGCTTGTCAAGAAATTGCAAAACAACTAATAACAGGACGAGATGTGCGCACACTCCGAAAATTGCAGTCACGTTGTGAAGCTGATCAGTGACGTACTGTATCAAGACTAGATACGCTGATGCTCTGCAGGATGACCTTCAATGTGACATGAGTTTGTTGGCGTATCGGAACACATTGGAGAGGTGGCTTGAAGTCTGTACTTATGTGAATGAGTTTGTTGGTGCATGGGAGTATGTCCTCATCGGATTCTTTGTCAGCATCTTCCTCCTCGTCAGTGCCGCACCCTGCGAGGTCCACCGCGATAGATTCCCTCTGATGATTACCCTGTGAATCCCCCGTTGCTCCCCCGGCCTGTGTTGACCCAAAGGTTCTCTGCAGGAGTCCTCAGCAATCTTTGATCTTTGATCTTTGATGCGGTCAGGTACTAGTACCTCTAGTCAGGTACTAGTACCTCCCCTTACCTGCCTTTGTCAGAGTCATTAAGTCCTTGTAGTGGCATATTACCCTGCAAGGATATTAAACATTGGCATGTGTATATGTACCCCCCTGGCCCCACGAGAAAATTGACATATGTGTATGTATGGCAACCCCCTTGGACCCAACCATGTGATAGTTACGAAACACAAACTATTTTATCGTTATATATATAATATTATAAATGTATGTATATGTTTATGCATTTAAATTCTGGTATGATTGAATATCTTAAGTTTATTAATGGTAAAGACATGTACATGCTCCTTATGCACACCATGCACGGGGCTTACGGATCCGCTGAATTCCCAGTGGCGCAGCGAATACTAAGGAAGAGATGGAAGAGTACAAGGCAGAATCCTAAGTGCTGTGCTGACACATCGCAAGGCCGGCCGCAGCGTCAGCGAATGGGGCCCCATCTCCACACCTCTGGTCGCTGACTGTGACCCCGGTGCAGGTGGGATTAAACTTCAATGCTGCCTGCCTGGGTGCCACAGCAGCATCGCCAATGAATCTTAAATTCAGGGTGCAAGCGCCGATCCGTATGGAGTGAGATTTCAATCAGATGGACTTGGAACTTAAATCTGTTTTTTTTGGGCGCAAAAATTGTGATAAACCATTGGATTATCGTACAATAAGTGCAGATTCTTATCAGCGTCTCAGTCGATGTTGCAGAACAAAGTGAAGTGGGAGACGACCGTTGGTTGATCTTCCCAGTGCTCCATTCAACTCATGTCTAGAATCCTCACTTTTTGGTCACTCCAAGATCGACTAATTAGAGGCGAGTAGATGGCAGTGCTCACAAATAGCACTGTACTTTTGCGCGTCAGACACACATACGGTAAATTTAAATGCATTAAATTATCCCTGGCTTTTAAGAGTCTAAAATGTTTGAGTTTAATTTCATCTTTTTTTTTTCGGTTCTCTTGGGGCTTCAGATTTCATTCACACTGCCCCGAAGCGACCCGGAGTCCTGCGAGGTCAGCTGAAAAAGGGGCGCAAGGAGAGACACATTTGAAATATATGTCTTGTAGTATTATCTTTCAAGTCTAGATGTAGAAATTCGAATTTATGTAAATGTAACTATGTATGTATTACATATTTATGATTTATAGTATATGTATGTTTGCAAGTCAACAAAGACCCAGACACACACATAATATATATATATCTCTCTCTGTTAATATCAACTTCATTTACACATGCAATATACATTTAAGACATAATAAATTCTACGCGCAAGCAATATATTATATATAATGCGATCTGTATATATATATAGATAGATAGATAGATAGATAGATAGATAGATAGTTAGATAGATAGATAGATAGTTGATTTGTTATATGCTACAAGTGTGTACATGTGGGAAGATATGCACGAACCAAAACTTGCTTTGTCTCACAATGGGAAAACCGGAAAACCGCTCATTTTTGGGATGGTTTAAATGGTTGGTCAGTTTATTGCAACAACGAAAAGTCATTTTGAGGCTATACATTGTACATGGCTATACCCCATTTTCAGACATCCATATGGTATGCCAAATTCGTCATGTCATGTGCAGCTGCAGTCCAGGTTCGAGCCCGCCACGGTGCTCGGTGCGTCGTGCGATCGGTTTCGGCCATGGGTCGAACGATGCGGCGGATGGGAGGTCACTGGCCAGATCGGATGTCACGTTTTTTTCACAGCCACCTGATGACCCGGTGAGTGTGCGGGTTATACCGGTTTTACCCCATGCAAAATCCCAATATAAACTGGTTTTAGTTGAATACCAGCATGGATTGACAACATATTCAAACTTCAAACCTTTCTTGGATACCAAAACCCCTGCCCCGAAAGTTCTATGGATAACCAACAGTGTCAAAGACTGACGGTCTCGGACCACTTTTGGGCGTTGAGATGTCGAAAAAGCCCACGCTGCTGTGGCGCGAAGCACATCAACTACAACTACAACTACAACTACAGGAAACTACAACAACAACTAGAATTTAACTACACTACAACTACAACTACACCACACCTACAACTGCAACTACAACTACAGCTACAGCCAAAATTACAACCAAAACTCCACTACACTACGCTAATCTACATGACGCTTGTTGCACTACACTTGTTACACTACACTAATAATTACACTATGCTACTTACAGTACACTAATTGCACCGCACTCCAACCCCAAATCGAACTATAATTACAACATCCCTGGTGATTGGACCTCTTTAAAATGCTGATCATTTAAGGGCTATGAAGTTCAAATCCTATGTAAAAACCTAGTCATTTATACGCCTGGGACCCCCTGGGACCTGCACTAAGATCGGTATAAAATGCATTTTTTTCAGGGCATGCGATTGAGTTTTTTGGAGCCTTTTTTCCTGATGTTTGATGGTTATAGGGTGCTATCAGAAGGTAGATGTAGGAAAACTGGATGAAGCATTTTATGCAGATGAACGGTGGGTCATAGGAGTACCTTGAAAGAACATGTCATGACCTGGAAGGAGCATTTGAGAGACTTTTTGGATGGGTTCCTCCATAGATCCTGTCGATCCTAATGGAAAGCCAAGGGCCATTTTTATACAGACATGACTGGACAAATCACTTTACTGATCCTCGCCGCCTGCCTCTTTTTTTCATAGCAACAATTTTACAGTATATATTCGTTTATATGTGTTTCTCTTCCCCCCAAAATCATCCCAATATATACATTGCTTTCTTTGACGCTTCGCCTGGCTTTTTGGTGTCGCTGGGCTGGTCGGCATTTGAGAGGATGCAGCAACATCATGAAACCCGAGCATCTCAAAATTCTGATTAAGTCCTTCGATTCCGCCTCCGTTTCATCGAAGTTGCTCATTCATGTTTCTCAGGCGTCCAAAGTTCTGCCCAAACAAGATGGCATGACATGCTGCACTGGAGAGGGGGCCAAAAATCCCCCGAAGAATTGTGTATGAAATGCTCCATCCAGGTGCCAAATCCCTATTGTTATTGGGAAACTACAACTGCAACAACAGCACAGCTAGAACTACACTACGCTACATCAAGCAGGTGTGCATCCGGTGACCACTGCAACCACTCCAAAAAGCACAACTCCAACCACGTTTCGGTCCATCAGTGGTTTGCTCCGCCATCCATGCATCGCAGCAACTCACCTCCCATAGGTTTCCTAACTTTGAAACTTCCGCCACCGCCTTGTGCGGTACTACTGGTAATCCTCTTGGTGGTTGTTCCCATTCTCATATCAGATGCATTTGATAGTATGCCATGTATTACTACCATCAAACGCCAACACTCATCTTGCTTCTGCGAGTAACCCAAGACGGTGAAAGTATCAAAACGCCAGGAAAGATGAGTTGAACATGGGTTGGAGATGTTGGAGTGCTTCTAAGTTCTTCCAGCAACAATGGAACTTCCATGGATTGGTTCATAAATTGGTTAGTTCCTGGGGGTGGTTCAAGGGAAATGTGGCATGTTGAGGGTAAAAGCCAGCCAGTTTCCTCGAGATGTTCCGTTGGATCAATCGGACTTGGTTGCTCAAATCCCAAGTTTTGGTTGGTTGAAGCCCCATTGGTTGGTTCCATTGCGTTCCATCTTGGTCAGTGATGTTCCCATTTTGGTTGATTCAATCTCCATTTCGTTTGTAAACTAAGATGGATGTGGAAAACCCGCCAAAAACCTAGATGATTTTCCTAGCAGAATCGTTGGTGTTCCACATCCATATAAATGTTTACAGGGGGAAAAGTCATTTTTCGTTGAATCAATCCAATGAGTAGCGCGTCCAAAGCTTGGCAGGTCCTTTGCCTCTGCTCCTGTCACTGGGTGTGGCACTGTGTGCCCTGCGCAACGCTTTTCTCATCACCCAATGTGTGCCAAATTCGCCGCCGTTGATGGTGCGCAGCGCGCGAAAAGCAGCAGGTGCCTGGATGGTTCAAATCCCTAGTTGCATCACCAAATATTTAGATATGGATGTAATATATCCCGAAGCTGAAATATAAAAACATACTGAGATACATGGATATTAGATATGTTCACATAAATTCCCTAAGTTGCACCACCCAATGATAAACTTACTTTTATGCCTTGTGGCAAACATACAAACAGATTTGCAAACACATGGGAAGCCCGTTCAAAAATTGATCTACTTAACTGGTGGGTTTTCCACCCCTATAACATCTCTACAGCTAATGTAAATTTACAGTAGGGTATAATATAGATTATAACCTAATGATAAACTAAAAGTTTTATAGTTATTCCCCGGACATTGCGTCCACACTGAGGGGTTCTTAGATCAGGGTACGCGTTCTGATCCCTGGCATTTTTCCTGTAAATTCTCGTTTAAAATTGCTCTTGTGAGATGTCCAAATGCATTTCGACTGCGCAGGCTCGCACAAAACGTGCGCCTACAACTTCTGGGCCCCGGCATTTTTCCCGTAAATTCTCGTATGAAATTGCTGTTGTGGGATGTCCAAGTGCATTTGGATTGCGCAGGCTCGCAAAAAACGCGCGCCAAATTTCTGGGCCTTAGCATTTTTGCTGCAAATTCTCGCATGAAATTTCCCTTGTGTCGTAACCACTGTGCGTCCCGTTCTTGGAGCCTGGCAATTTTCCCGTAAGTAAAATCTTGCATAAAATGGCTCTTGTGACGTAACCATGTGCATTTTGACTGCGCAGGCTCGCGCAAACTGTGCGTTCCGGCCTTGGGCCCCATATTTTGTCGGTAAATTTTGGCATGAAACTGCAGATGTCAATGTGAATTTCGACTTGCGCAAGCTCGCACAAAACGGTTGTCCCGTTCCTGGGGCGCGGCATTTTATGACGAGCTCGTGAGATTCTCTTCGGGGTCCTGGCGTGAAGCTTTCAAAATTCCTTGTGACACCAGCCTATGGAGATCCTAGTGGCATGCTGTCAGAAGCCTTTGCATGATCTTGTACAGGTCCTTGTGAGAAGCTTTTGAAGAGGTCCTGGCGAAATCCTCTCGGTGTCCTTACATGATCTGGTATCCTATATCCTTGTGGGAAGATCTTGCGAAGATTTTGTTGAAATCCTCCTCACCAGGTCCTTGCGTTACGATCTTGAAGATGCGTTGCGTTGATGCATGTATGAAATGTCTTCTGGGGTGCTCATAGGAAGCTCTTGTGTGAAGATCTTCTGAGATCCTCCATGTAGATCTACATAGAAGGTCCTGCTGCGCTTGCGATGATGTTCAACCTCGTTTGTTATTTGTTGCTGTTCCATAGTTACTGTTGCTGGTATCTGGTACATTGACTTCTACCGCCCACTCTGTTTGGGGTCTCCTGCCGGTGTAATTATTTGTGTGTATGTCAATAAATAAATAAATATAAATAAATATATATATATATATATTTATGTTTTTTTTAAAGTTCTACCGTACCTAGAGCGCCGTATAAAATTGTCTTTTTTGGGTTGGCCAAAGGCGATTCCCTGAGCTCATCCCAGTCCCA